ATGATGTGGCATGGGTTCCGGGAACATTTTGAACAAAATTAAATGTTTGTTTTTCAATTCTAACTTCATTGCTATACCCACTTTAACAAAAGACTTAGGACCCCATATGACTTACTTTACTTCAATAAAACACAACAGTGAAAATTAACCATGTTAAGAAATAGCATGCACAATGTGTTTCAAATATACAGTTTGAAACTTACAATATTTAAAATGCGTAACTTTGACAAGATAATTTGCCTGAAAAATGGACTAATAGACCAGAATTCCATCTGAATCGCTCATAGTACATATTCGATAAATGAAGTTATTACTGCTCTTAAGTTAATTGATACATATCACAAGTGAAAATTATTGTTTTAGGGTACATGCTTGCAATACTTTGTAACATTTTGTAAAAGCACTACAAATCAAAATCTGATCAACACCACTTTTTGTTAAAGAAATCCTCGAAGTGACCAATTTGGAAAAATAGAGCCTCATAATGATGACGATGACTTGTGTCCAACAGTAAGACAGTAACCTTGATTCCTGTTTGGGAAGTTCAACTCATCTGTATCTGTTACAACCAGTCATTCAACTTTATTCCCTTGGAGTATATCAACTTCTCCTCAGGAATCAATTGGTATTTCCAGGAAGAAACCTATAGCTTAATGTTTCTTTCCCAAAACAACCCACATAAAGACAGCGGTTGTGACAATAGAAGTGTGTGATTGTGGAAGGTGTGGTATTTTTATCTTCAGCCAGCTACAGTTTCATAGTGACCTTGACTTTGTGACTGACATGGGATGCTTCTAGTTCAGCACACTGAGCTCATCTGTTTCTCCATCACCCAATGTCACCTTGTTTACTAGGTGTCTTAGATTTGATTCTGTGATGAACCTGCTTGCAATAAGTTGGACTCATTTCTCTTGCTTTGAATGAGACTGGAGATATATGCAAAAAGTTTTGATATCTAAATCGCTGGCTTGCATCATACATGTATCTATAATAGTTGCAGCACTGTTATGATAACATCACATTCTACATAAGTTTGATTTTGGGGGAAGACAATGATAGAGAGTGTCACTAAGAAAGATGCCATTGAGTATGTTGAGCAAACCTGTCATGACTATTAAAACTTCAAGCACTGCATATAGTGAGTGAGTGAGTTTAGTTTTACGCTGCACTCAGCAACATCCCAGTTATATGGCGGCGGTCTGTAAATAATAAGAGTCTGGACCAGCCAATCCAGTGATCAACAGCATGAGCATCGATCTGCGCAATGGGGAACCGATGACATGTGTCAACCAAGTCAGCGAAACTGACCACCCTATCCTGTCAGTCACCTCTTATGACAAGCATGGGTTACTGAAGATTCATATAATAGTTGCAGCACTGTTATGATAACATCACATTCTACATAAGTTTGATTTTGGGGAAGACAATGATAGAGAGTGTCACTAAGAAAGATGCCATTGAGTATGTTGAGCAAACCTGTCATGACTATTAAAACTTCAAGCACTGCATATAGTGAGTGAGTGAGTTTAGTTTTACGCTGCACTCAGCAATATCCCAGTTATATGGCGGCGGTCTGTAAATAATAAGAGTCTGGACCAGCCAATCCAGTGATCAACAGCATGAGCATCGATCTGCGCAATGGGGAACCGATGACATGTGTCAACCAAGTCAGCGAAACTGACCACCCTATCCTGTCAGTCACCTCTTATGACAAGCATGGGTTACTGAAGATTCATTCTAACCCGGACCTTCATGGGTTGGATAAAAGATCCCGATCCCATTAGCTGCCTCTTATGACAAGCATAGTCGCCTTTTATGGCAAGCACATGGGTTGCTGAAGACCTATTCTACCCCGGATCTTCACGGGTCAGCACTGCATATAACTAAAAAGATCCCATAACAGCAGGGTGGTTGTTGTTTAATGCCACACTCAGCAGTATTCCAGCTATATGACGGCAATGTGTAAATAATCCAGTCTGGATCAGACAATCCAGTGATCATCAGCATGAGCATCGATCTACGCAATGGGATACGATGATATGTGTCAACCAAGTCAGCCAGTCTGACCAGCCTATCCCGTTAGATGTCTCTCACGACAAGCGTGGGTTACTGAAGACCAATTCTAACCCTTATGTTCACTGGTAAATCATGATTGACAAACTAACTGTTCACTGTGAGGTGATCCATATTATTCAGTTATCCAGATGACTCAGCATTTCAGAATTATGCAGCAAGATCAGATCCATACAACACAAATATAAAACACTAAACTGTTAAACTTACACCCGTAGACCATAGAGATGTTCGTTAATTTAAAACCGAGTTCAACAGTCCACTTTCACAGATATCAAATTTTAGCATTTTATTTAATAGTCAGGTTTATGATCAAAAGTGTACAGTTCATACAATATATTATTTCAAATCTGTAGGTCTTCTATATTCAGTTCTTTCCCTTCCATGGGCCATGAAATGATGTAATGTTTGAACTTCATGGGAGTATTCAAGTAATACATGAAACCCTAAATCAAAAGCCAGGTATTCAGTAACCATGATGACTAAATATTTTACCAGTGACGACAAATTTGTAATTTATGTGTGAGTGAGATCGAAAATCGATTGAAAGGAGGATTAAAAATAATATTTTATTGTAAAAAACATATTTTCGATTAATCGGAATTTTCTTGTTTAGTATTTTACACACTTGAATGAAGTAAAGTAACCATTAAATTTGATGAATATTCATGTACAAACATGTGCTCAACAGCGTAAAGCTATGCGCATTGTAAAATTTTAAACATTGTTTTTGTTTAATTACAATTCCAGTGTCTTTCTTGCATACGTGCATTTCATTGCATGACAGTATTAGTTATAATAAACATTAATAAGAACAAAAACTGCGGAAAAACCCTTCAAATTGGTGATTATATTAAAAATGTATATATTCCGATTATAATCAATAATCGTTCACCACAAGTACTCTGATAATCGATAGTGGATTTTGTTTCAGATTCCCAACACTAGTGTGAGCATGTGTATGTATGCATGCATGTGTATTGGTTCAATTACAACAATGGCATGAAAACATTTCTCAACAGCTCAGAGGAGAAGTAAACACTATACTTCAATTGTAAAATGATATAAATGATCCTTCTACTGCTAACAGTGTTCATTATTCATCAAGACATGTAACCCTTCAACTACTTCCAACTATAGCCCTAATTATGAAATATTACCCACCTACCTAGACTTGTAAAGGAAATATTACATCACAGACTATCTACACTTATGTAACCATTCAATAAGGTTATTAAGTAGATGTGCTAGGCTTGCAGTCATTGACATATGTACGTATACATTGAAATGACCCAAATGAGTTCAAGACAAGGCCTAAGAATTCAAAATCAAACTGTTTCAATGGCTGAGTACCGTGACAAGAACGTGTAACTAAATGAGGAAACAACTGAAAATTTCAAACAAAATGTTTCATTCTATGGACAATATCAGCAAAAGTACCTGCTGTCAGTGAAACTATTTATTGTTAAAAACAATAGATACAGAAACACTAATGAGCACGCAGGTTTGTGGTATATGTGCAAAGAAACTTTTGTACCACTCCCTAACACCTTTTATTAGTTGAAAAAAATATTTATCTTTTGTGGAAAATGAAAGGAAAGAAATATTGTTCATACCAATGTCATACATAAAAATCCCATAAAAGCTATGGTGAATTATTAATACCTTTGATTGCAATTCATATAAATCATGGCTGTCATACTTTTCATACATCTGACAGTGGTGTAAATTACTGTCCGATCAAACAATTTCTCCAGTTAAAACATTATTTCCATGCACATTAACTAGGTTGTACTATACCCTCTATGTTTACTGATCCTAAACCATTACACACACAAACAAAATATAATAAAAAATTACACAGAAAACTGTATGTTCTTCCCATCTTGATAAATGGATGACAAAACTTGACTATTGAGAATGTCACTGAAGATTAAGGAGATATGATTTCGATTGCATGTCATATTGGATTGTGAAGAAAACTCTTGAAATTTATGACACAAAAAAATAATCGAAAGTGTATCTGATTCAATGTTACAGATGATAATGGATATGCTGGTTGTTATTTATTTGAAATAAACATACCTATCTAAAATATCATTTCTATCTAACAGCTGTTTGAAAATATTGATGACTCCTGTACAATATATAATTTAACAGTTTATGTTTATAGTTTCAATGAGCACCAACTCATCCGATCTCATGTACCCAATTTAATATTAATTACATATAGACAGCATAAAATAAGAAAAGGTAAGTTAAATAACAATTAGTCAAAACAATACAAAGTTACATGTTTTCCTAGGTCTCCAAGTATAAGATTAGGAAATTTAAAATAATTTAAAAGCCACAGTAACATATTTTCGTATTGAACTCTAAAATGTTTGGATACGAAATCGAAAAGTAAGAAACTGTCACCATTAAATATAATTTTAACACACGCAACATGGATATCTAATCACAAGCTGTATGTAAGACGTTTGACAAAACTTAATCGTTTATTTAATACAGAATGTATACACATGACAAGTGCGCGAAAACAGTGATAACATGCCATGAGCATTTTAGAATCTCCGTGTAAATGTTTTGCAGATAGAAAAGTGTTGAATAAATTAATTAGAATACTAACAATTAATAAGGCTCGGGCGGGTTGTGCATTTGTCACGTTTAAATTGCATTACTACATACTGGCGACTAGAGTATCAATAATTACATCGCATGCAATGTTTGGGGAAATATATAGATCTAAAAATAGACCGAATGCTCGGACCCACTGCTACAGGCCTATATGGATGTGGGACTTATTCGCATGATTTCGCTTCTGCCTCACTTCACCCGTGGGAACATTTGGGCTGTTTTGCAGAGTCAGCGAGCACATACCAGAGACACGCCACGTTAATATTTGCTGAGCAATGAAAATTACCTACCTCCGAAGATTTTCTGATGCTTTTGACAACAACAACTCTCGTACCCGCTGTAAACTGTCTATCGTACTTTCTCAGACGGCAACCTATGACCATTCTCTACCCATCTACGTTACACGTCCGCTGACCCAGAGAAATATAGTTCTACATATGAACGCAGAAAATCGTGTTACTCGACGGCAGGGAGTGCATCATCTCTATGTAATATCAATACCGAAATAGATCTTACTCTGAAACTGAAAAGATGATTTTATAATACGCCGAAATATGAAAACGTCGTGCCTTGATTGTTACGTAATAATTTGACCTAAAACCGAGAATCACTGCGCCGGGTCGTCGTGACCTAGTTCCGCGGTGTTTACATGAGATGTGCAATCACTGTCACATTTTAACGGCAGATCGGACAGATTTGTACATTTACTAAATGTTGTATATAAAAATAAATACAAGTAGCTCTTCATTCATTTCATTTACTCTTCAAAATCTATTTATTGCTTTCTTTCTATTTTTTGGTTACTATTTTACTATTTGTCTTCTCTAAAATAACCTTTTTAGACTCCAATACCGATTTGACTTAAAGTATGTATGTTATCTATACCATTCATACATATGACTGTTTAATTACTCATCGTTTAACTATAAAGAAAAATCAGATAAAAATAGTTGTGTACTTATTCAAAATAATTAAAGTCAGCTGAACTAAATCAATACTATTTTGAAATAGATCTGTTTAAAAGAATGCTTTAAAATATTTTGGGATGTCATCACAAACGCATACCGCACAATTTTGGGTCATGGTGCACACACTGTCCGACAACACCTCACAAATTGTCGCCAGAATCGATTAATTAGCTTTCGTGTGAATAAAAGCAGTGGGCTGTATTCGTCAATAAACATTTCACCCAAACAACCATCAGTTCATTTAAACAACAAACACCATCGTTTTATTAGCAGCTGCAGATCGCTAAATTGGTGATATAATTAATTGTAGACTGGCTGATAAGTAGTGAATAATCATGAGTTGTACGTGCAAATTCAGCAGACGGCAATACACTCTGTGCAGGGATCTGTTACTTCGTACTGGTTGTAGCGATCCGAAGGTTATTTAAATTATCATGCATTTTCTCTGTGTGTTAAAACCTTATTTTGAAGTTTACACCACGTGCTGTCAAACTATCGAGCTGTTAAACAACCCATACACCTGTGAATCCAAAGTCAAACGTTTATTTCTTGATGTTGTACTGGAGGAGAAAGGGGTAGTGGTGGTTGTTTTGACCACAGGATCTTGTAACGCTAAAAACTGCCATCAAGGTATGTACTGTCACTGACGAGGTCTTAGGACTATACAGTTTTTAGCACTACAAGACCCTGTGGTTTTGACGAACCATTATTTTCCCCCTGTCTGCATGCAGCAATCTATTTAGTCAACGAGCACCATCCAACAAACTCGTCAAACATATTTTTTGTTATTTTGAAACAACAACTAATAAACTATAAATTTTTGGCCATATTTCTAAACAAACCATTTTCTTTAAAACATTAAACATCTCTCCCTTCCCCTCGACCCACTGATATACAAGCCATATTGGTATAAGCCTTTTAGATATTACCTACTGGTACAAATTCTACTTCTACTCTTTCTAATCCGTGAACTGTCCTGGAAGGACACGACGAAAACATCGCCAGAAAAAGCACGATGCCATGTGTGTGAAGATTTTATGGACGCTTCTGAGATCATGAGGTCAGGCATCACGTGATTTTCTCCCTAAATTGAGGAAAATTACGATTTTGTCCTGACGAACTTTGATGGTTTGATTTTAGAATTCGTAATTCTTTTTAAAACTTGACAGTTTTGTGTTTGCACTTCATCATATATCCCAAACAAAGTATCTACTTCAGAGGGGTTAGATTGAGCCAAATTTTGGAGATCCCGTTAAAATGTGTCTTAGTGCCATTTAAAGGTTTGGGTGAAAAAGTCTCTGAATAACATTAGGTTTGGGTTGTACTGTGTCCAACATGTTATGCGTTTGGGACGCCATATAGATGACTATTGGCAGCAAGTTTTATGAAACATACAACTTTATGGATGACAACTTCTTATTTATTGCATTAAGCGACGTTTCGATGTAGATTCTTACATCGTTATCAAGCTAAAGGACCCATCTCACCAACTTCTAGAATGACGATCAAACAATTATCAAGTTTTATACCAAATTAGATAAAACTCGTATATAGTAATCTACGAGATCTAATGTAGTTGCGACAATTGATGTAAAATTCTTTCTGAAGTCTGAATCACAATTACAGATATGACTTTCAATAATCTTTATTATATACGATGAATCACATATCCGTGATATCACATGGCTGTCGTGTAACTTATGTCGAACACATTTTGAAATATATTCAAATACAAGAGTAATTGAAATGATAAAATTTGCTCATCTCAAAATTGAATCATCTTTTCCTTACCCTTTTCCTTTATACGTAAGATCCAGCCTAATTCATTCGAATTCATAACCAAACAAATCTGTTATAACAAGCACTTACAATTGGTAAAGAGGCCATCTTCTGTTCTGCATGGTTTGAGCGAGGTGTTGGTCAGATTCGTGATTTTATTAAATCAGACGGAACATATCGTTCCCTTGAAGAATTCCAGAATACTTTTGAACTTGACATACATTGTCTCTATTATAATGGTCTTATCTTGATTACAAGGAGCTATCAGGCAGAGTTAAAGATGCGCAGACCTACTTCTATTCAGCTTGATACTACAGCTACTCGTAAACTGATGTCTATTAAGAAAGGAATAAAGTGTTATTATTGTGGTTTACGTGCAGCTGATGTTTGCTTGAAATTCAACAATAAATGGGAAGATTGTATACTTGCTGAACTGGAATGGGAAAACAACCCATTTGTACAACCGTTAAAGACCACACTGGATACTAAACTGCCATGGTTCCAGTTCTGAAATATACATGGTATTTTATCAACCAATTCTGTCCTATTCAAGATCAAATTATTCTACTCGCACTTTGCTAAGGATCACAAAAATCCACAACTTTACTAACACGTAAATTTATAATTTGAAATTGTATCCATTTGAAATTGGATAAATAATGATGTGGTAACCCCTCTTTAGGCAAACAGCCACTTTAATCTAACCTTATGCATTTGATACATGAGTAACCATAGAAATTGTTTTCATGGCACCAATCAAGCATTTTGCAAATCATGGAACGACTTATTAACAAGTACACAACACCTGTCAATAGCGGGTATGGGTTCCACAAGACGAAATGACAAACTGAAACCTAGGATCCATGTTTACAATAAGCTTAGATATTTAAACCAAATTTGACCCCACATCATAGTTTTCTGTTGAATCTACGATTTGATCCTTAGAAAAGTGTGAATAGTATAGCTGAAAGCACTTTATGTACTTTTTGTCAATGTGAAGTTGAGACAATAACACATCTTTTTGGGATTGTAAACATGTTCAAGCCTTTTGGCAATGTTTTGTACAATTACTCACTGAAAAATGATTGCATGTTCACAACATGAACTTTCATCTACAACCTATTGTGTTTGGAATGAGAAAAATATACATAGATAATGTTTTTGATCTATTATTATTGTTAGATAAATTAGAATAGGGATAACTGTACTGTGTTTGATGAACTGGGGACGTATACCGCCGATATAACTAAATTTGCGGCTACATAACCATCGATATACGTCTCCAGAGGGGGTTCATATATTTTGTCCACATGCACTAGGGGAGTGGTCATTGATTTTACCTCCCGCAGGTCATGGGCATAAAAGGTGAATGTGCACCATATACCGAGGTATTGTTCATATGAGATATAATATGTCTTTAATATTCGTGATTTCTTTTCAGATTGACTATGATAGATCATATGATTTTTGTTTTCACACTAAACTTGGCGGTGAGGTGGTAATTGATTTTTAACCTCCCGCTCATATGACGTCATGGGCATAAAAGGTGAATGTGCGGCCATATACCGAGGTATTAAGCTGTTCATATGCTAGCCCAGAAACACCATGTTTCTTTACCCACTCAACACATTCGTCCGAGACCAGTCTTGTTGTAGATTGCCGAGCGCCAGGCAGGATAATATCATATTTTAACGTCTTTTGGTTGACGCGTGGGGATCACCCTAAACTTGGCACACCACGGGGGCGTACCACTAAACTTAATGACAGTATTAGACGGGGTTTCCGGAAATTGATTTTACAAAAAGAGTGGACTGGGTAAAATATAGTTGACCTTCATCAAATTTCATGGAATTGTCGAGGAATATTCAAATTGTTTCCTGACCCGTTGTTCACATCGGAATTCCTATAAATACTGTACAAATCATCGTCAGGCACTGGGGCGGTGGGGTAGCCTAAAGTACTGTCGGAAATAGAAAAAAAATTGTTTTTTTCGCATTTATATCTACAGTTTAAGTAGTTAACATGTGAAAGTATGAAATATCTGTTAAACTAAGTTCGGCCTAACTACAGTCTCAATGGTAGGGAGATAGAAAATGTAGAAAAAGGACTTTACTGAGGAGAGATTAGTGCAGAAATGAGCAATGCGGGGTTTTCTAAGTCCAAAGCGACTTATTTGGAACAGACCATGGCTTTATGCAAATTAGTGTGCGATGATATTGTATTACAAAGGACACTTTTTAAATTCCCATTTTGAAATTAAACTGAGCTTCATTATAAATGATAGCTGACGTACAAAATAATAACTTTAATACTGAAACTATTAAGGATGTAGCTACCACGGATCGGCGTCTCACTATCACTATAAAAAGAAACAGGTAAGAGGGGTCGTCACAAAAGCAAAACCACAACGGGTGGTGCAGACGGTGGTTGGGGTCGGGCTGGGGGATAGAGATAAGATAATCCTTTAGGGGAATTAAACTGTGGAAGAAAACGGCATGTCGTAACAATTTACAAATAATATCCAGTCCTGTCTATCTTCGGGTGGTCATGCCACTTATATATTTTGAGACATTTAATACGATGGCTGATTTAAGCTTTTCTATGGGTATGGGTATCATCCTCTCTTACATATCTCAACATAAACTTTATGAAAGAAAGACACGTAAGATGTTAATCAATAGATGAGACATGTTCAACACACATGAAAAAGCATAAAATATCATTGAGATGACCCCTTGTGCCTGTATGCAGCACATGCATTTCATGCCAGGCGAGTCGACGGTCCGTCGTCATACCTGGCTGAGCGACCTAATTGCCATCTATAGTCTGATCTATTGTTTTCAGCAGCTATTCGTATTTTTGCCCAATTTTACGAGTAAACGTGCTTTTCTGGATATCGTATTACGCATCCCACTGAACGCCCAGTTAGGCCGATGTGGGTTATTTCGACATATGCTATTTGCAATTGTGTACATTTTAGGGATACAGAGTAACAGCCTAAAAACAGTTTTTTTTTCTATTTCCGATAGTACTTTAGTGGTTAAAGCGTTCTCTCCTCACGCCGAAGGCCCGGGTTCGATTCCCCTCATGGGTACAATGTGTGAAGCCCATTTCTGGTGTCCCCCGTTGTGATATTGCTGGAATGTTGCTAAAATATTGCGTACTCACTCACTCGTCAGGCACTTCGTGTATGTAGACTGAAACTGAGGTTGAAAAGGCAAGACTGGGGCAGTATACACAGAGATGATGTCAGGATTCTTTCGACAGACCCAGTGGTCGCGCAAGGGTCTACAGGCGTCCATGGGACGTCTCGCTCAACGTCGACATTTACGGGTGGGAATGTAATGGGACGACACAACTGATCAGTTGATATTGCAATATCAATGGTGTACGCTACCGAGACGACATCGTCCGACATCATGTTAACTTTTCTGAGTAAATGTAACGACGTTCGTCACGTCCACGTGTCTATCGTGGAGCACGATCCATGTGTAACAGACATTGTTTAGGCTGCATAACATAGCGGTACTGCCCCAGTCCGCTATTTCTCCAGACATCTCCTCATCAGCAATAGACTGGTAGACGCTTACGACAGGACCAGAACCATTAAATAATGCTAGCTCAGTGGTGAAGATGTTAAGTACACCACCCATAACGCAGTTCTCAATCATATTTGGTCGTCAGTGTTCTGCCTGTATCCACGCAAAGGTGAGTGAGTATGGTTTTACCCCGCTTTTAGCAATATTCCAGCAATATCACGGCGGGGGACACCAGAAATGGGCTTTACACATTGTACCCATGCGGGGAATCGAACGGAGTCTTCAGCGTGGCGAGCGAACGCTTTAACCATTAGGCTACCCCACCGGCCATATCAACGCAAAAGGTTTTGTTTTTATTGGAGTCGTGTCGCCACCCTTTTAAGGCATGTATCTCTGTCTCCTGATATCAGATGTGGGTTTTGTCAGTGAAATTATTATGATAACACATCGATCTAAAGAATGACCATATCTTATGTAGCTATTTTAATTAGCATAGCACTTGAACCGATATATGCGCAGCACATGCTGAAGAAACACTATATTCAGCGTATATCAAGCATTCGGTGATACGTCAGGATGTAAAGTGTAATTAAATATCACTCATATCCCATTAGTCGCCATTTACGACAAGCTGGGATTGCTGAAGACCACTTCTAACCCGAATCTTCAGGGGTGCACTTGAATCTATTACACTCAAGCACACACGCAAGAAAACAAATTAGACGCTCGATACGTCGCAGTGTAATAAATTATTGTTTAATTCTAAGACAATAAAAAGAAACCAACAAAAAACAGGTCGTGTATGTAACCTTCTAGTCTTACATCGGTTGTGGAATTTAAGTACATAAAATATGTTAATACAAAAACAATTCTGATACATATATGCTAGTTAAGGCAGTCCCACGCACGCACACACACTCACAATGTACTTATATCTTTTTTTATTACATTGTGGACAGTGATTTTGAATGTTTGGTGAGAATAAGATATTTTTAGTTTCTAAACAGACAGATTAAACGTGAGATTTTTATTGCTTGTTTCTTATGTACAGCGACCATGTCAGGTGCTATTTGCATGGTCAAAGGGGAGATAAGTCTCAACATAAGGGTTATTTGCCCTTGTCTGTGAGTCTGCGCACATTTCAAGGAAGTGAGGCAGTTTCCGTCTGGAGAGCTACAGGTCGCCAAAGACGGAAAGTATTCGCAACAATTGTAGTTGGAACGAGATTGTCAACTTTCTTTGATGGTAACTTATCAGTAGCTTATAGATAAGACTGTAGTAATTTTTCAGTGTACATGTTTTATTGTTCAACAGTAAAGGTGCCTTTGTTTACCATGTTGACACTTGCGAGTCCAAATTTTGAACGTCAATCAACATGTCTTTAACTATTTTCCTAAAAGCGAGGGACCTGTTGTGATTTTGTATTTCAGTGAGTGTGAACACAAATGATAAATATAACTATTCTCAGTATGAATGGTATGACTATTCAACAAGCTGACGTCAACATATTCAGTGGTGACTGTCAAACTGTCAGGTCGTCACGACACAAACACCGGGTGGTTTTAGCCGAAACATAACCAGAAGCTGTCCACACCATACCTCTTGTCATTTATCATACAGCTTATTTTGTTCTGTCCTGGGTCCTTGTATCTTAGCAGTGAACACGGCTGTTTCAGTTGATTAGACTGAGATTTTCGCTAGATTGCATTATCATGCATGCTCTTGAAAATTTGCCAACAGTTTTTATTAAAGATTGGAGATAACCTACCCTGACCCTGACCCTAACACAAGTGTCCCTAAGGTTCGAGGAGACATGAGAGATCCATGAAGTAATACCGAAAGGTTTTACTTGAGATTTAACTACTTGAGATATTTTACTATATTTATTTGGTGGCAAACAGGGTCTATAATTGTGCAATAGCTAATTTATGGATTTATCACTCTTTGAATAAGAGTGAGTGAGTGAGTTAGTTTTTTACGCTGCAATCAGCAATATTCCAGCTGTATGGCGGCAGTCTGTAAATAATCAAGTCTGAACCAGACAATCCAGTGATCAACAGCATGAGCATGGATCTGCGCAATTGGGAACCGATGACATGTGTCAACCAAGTCAGCGATCCTGACCACCCGATCCCATCTTTGAATAAGAACTGAGGACAGATAAATATTCTCATAAAATACTGACATCTGTGTACTTGTCAGGCACCAACACTGCGAAAAACAGCACCACAAAGAGTACTTACTGAATATCATTATATATACAAGTCAAGCTCCAAGGACTGAGGTTTACTGAAAACAAATGTACACATAATGTACACATAAAAGCCACATTGTACTTTAAGATTTCTATTATTTGAAGAGCTTCTTGTATGAAAACATTCACTGGTTTCTAGGTAGAAATGACTTACTTTGTGTTTAACACATATGTGTAATAAATATAGTGTAACAGTAGTATGAAGACAGTGCTGTTTTCACCAAGTGAAGGTTCTGTTTTTACTATGTTGATGAGCCACTTTTGCTAATATGGTGCAGTTATTCTTGATACTATTTTCTCTATAATATGAGTTGTATGCTTCCCTCGAGGGTAATACTCTGTGCACTGCATGCGTCATATTATAGCGTCTTATGATTACTAGCGATACAGCTTCTCAGTGGAGAAATTGGCAGTTACTGTGATAGCGGATAATATTTTTTCCAGTTGTCACCCTCCTGGGAGGGGGTGACATGGAAACTTGTAATTAAAGTATTTTACATGAAGGTAAGATAAAGTGCACTGCACACTTGTAAAGTTTAAGCTCAAATTATGGTAGATGTTTTCGGTGTGCAGAATGAAAATATGAGTTTCAGGATGTTATCATGGTTATTAATTTTGAAGAAAAATGTCCATGTTTGATAGTGTGCCACTTATCTCAGCACCTGATAACATTCCAAATGTCTATCACAGCTGGGTGTCAGCTGCATATGTAAATTAATGATCATTTTATTATAAACATTCGACCAGTTTCCACACATCACAATTCAAGTTTCATATCAAACAAGGAAATCAAACCATAATTAAATTAGGTCAGGGCTAAACTTCCTGTTTGAGCAATGTTATGTCATTAGAAATCTTGATTGTTTTGGTTGACTATTTAATGCTACACTCAGCAATGTTCCAGATATATGGCGGTGGTCTCTAAATATTCGAGTTTGAACCAGATAATTCAGTGATCGACAGCATGAGCATCTATCTACACAGTTGGGATACAATAATGTGTCAACCAAGTCAGCGAGCCTGATACAGCTGTGTATCGTGGCCTAAGTGGCAAGACGATATATCCCGATACTAGTTTAATGAGGCGAGACGATATATAATGAAAGTATTGGCAAGGAACCTGCGAGACGATTATCATCACGATACAGTGATGGCGATACGATACGTATCCCGATACTTTACAATTCTAAAAACAGGACGTATATGATAAATAAAATGACTGAATCTTTATTTGTTATTCAGCAGAACATGTGTTACATTCACACACACTTAAAAGGCTGTTTATGTAATAAAGTTTCAGCATTTAATACAATCAAACATATTCAGTATACCTTGCTCTAGGTTTCCCTTGGAAGGTTGTGTTTCTGCACCAATGCTTTCACAGACAATTTATACAGTAATTTATACCAGAATCACTGCAAAAAACTCATAAGTATGCTTTCTAAATTTTATCTTCTCTTTCTTAACAAAGCTAAAACATCGTTCATAGTTGTTAATAAATGGTGTTATTTGTCAAACAACTAAAACAAGTTTCAATTACTTAAAGACAAGTCTTTACAGTTCATAGAGATTGTTCACATGCTTTCACTGATACACTAACTCCTTTGTTCATGTAACAAAGATGGCAGACACAAACAAATTCCTTTTAGGTTCAGTTTGTTTTTAAAATTCAGAAAAATTTCAAAGAGACTCCCTTCCTAATCCTTATGCAATACTCCCTACAACTTTAAGTAATATTTAAGTAGTATCTGGATATATCGGCTCTTGTGGCGATACATCGATGTATCATGGACCCTCGCGATATAAATATCCTGATATATTGCCTAAATGTGTTTTGTATCAATGCACTCGTATCGCGTAGTTGACGATGCAAACATCGATACTATCGATGAATCGTTACACCACTAGAGCCTAACTACCCAATCCTGTCAGTTGCCTCTTATGACAAGCATGGGTTACTGAAGATCAATTCTAAGTTCTAACCCGAACCATGGGTATTAACATCGTAAGGCCACAGTGGTCAAAATCGGAGTGACAGAGTCCCACAAGTAGACATGATCATCTGTTTAGTATGTTGTAGCTCCCTTTGACTACAACATAAACCCATTCTCCATCAACAAGATAAACAGTTTGTGTCCGAAGTGATGTCATCATCACCAGCTATCTTATCACTAAACTTAGCTTGATTTCTCTTATCATGCTGTGGAGTGTAGCTTGATAGCTCACTGTTGTGTTGTTGGCATTATCTTCAAACCAAAGTTTTAGTTGCAAATTAATCCTTGGTAGTTATTATTTTAGAATTGTGACTATCATAAAGAGAAGATAGACCCATATAAAGCCTTGAACATGTTTAAGAAGGAATTTGTAGATGAAATAATTCTTATTTAGGACATTAATCATTAAAGAAAACAGACAATAAAAAAGAAATTATGTCATCATTTTGGGATTAATTTGACCTGCTTAGAGGGGTATTCAATCCCAAGTCTGAATTGTCCTTAAAATATTTAAAATTAGAGTGGAAAGTTTTGTTGGTATATATACTGTCGTTTTAGCTTTGCAGATGTGACTTCCATTTCAACAATAACAAGTCCATTAACATTAAGATGAGACTGATGTATAGGTTGATGAATGAAGTATTAAGTACCCCTGAATCTAGCTGGTTGTCTGCTGGTTAAATCAAACCTATTCTTTCTTTAAATGTATTTGCCACTGATTTGATTCCCCGCATGGGTACACAGGGGTGGAAATAACTTTAAAATTGCTAGTGTACTCCGGTACAGTGGCACATGTAAAATCACTTGCCCCGACAATTTTTCCACTATACCGGCCATTTTCTAGTTGATTTTTTAAATAAACACATAATTTACATTGGAAAGTCAACTGGACGCCGGTACTGTGTGATATACAAATTTGCTTGTCCGACAGAAAAAAACCACTGGACTCGGACGTCGGGCAATGGGTTATTTCCACCCCTGGGACGTGTGCTTGTATCTGGTGTCACCACCCATATGTCATTCTCTTCCCACAGAGGTTACTCCTGTCATATCTTCCTACGTAACCTCTGTTCTAATACGGCCCTTTCATGGTGTGAGCGTTCAAGACTCGTGATTGGAGGCAATCAGATTTAGTTGTGCAATCAGCGACGTTGTTTCAAAAGTGATCATTCGTAAGGCCTCGGTAATTTCCGTATGCTTCGAGAAAACTAAACCTCTTCCCCTGCGCGATGCGCAAACGTTTCTTCTAGACAGAACTCAGTCATGTTATGGGAGATCAGTGGCGTCTCCATCGCCCTCGTTGACAACGGACAAGCTAGCCATTAAATGTCTTGTGTGTAACATCAACACAAGTCCCCGGCAGATGGGGGAAATTTGTGTTAGTCAAGTTGAATCTAGGTCGATGTAACACGTGTTCTGATTGGATAGAAAGAAGGGAGATCATTCGTGTTGCGATCTTTTGCCGCTAGGGGATTTTACGAGAACCGGGAAATATGGCCGTATTAGAACAGAGGTTCGTAGGAAGATATGACAAGTAACCTCTGTGGGAAGAGAATGCCCATATGTCTGTATTGACAAATAAATTGTGTTGGTAATGAATTACAAAGGGAAGCATCTGTTGTGAATGAAAGTCTGTTTAGATTTTAACTTAAACCATCAAGATAATCCCAAAACTGCATATGATTTTTGTCCCAATATACTAGTCCTATTCCTAAGTAAAATATTGAAAGTCGTATCATTTGAAAAGTGTGTTTTGGTATTGTGGTATACCAGTATTAGTGACAGTCATACTGGCTGTGATATTGCTGAAATATGCCAGAAGGTGGTGTAACACGATGCTCATTCACCTGTTCATTTTCTAAGTGTTCTAGGCATGATATGAAGGTAATGCTTGGTGTATGTTACAGGCGAGATGGGTTACGAGGTGGTGCGGTTCGAGGGAGATGTAGACGAGGAGCTGATCTGCCCCATCTGCAGCGGAGTGTTGGAGGAACCCCTGCAGGTAGCACTACAGCAGTACATGTTGGATATAGTTTACTATTCCATGAGGGGCAGTGGGGTATCCTTGTGGTTAAAGCGTTCGCTCGTCATGTCGAAGACCCGGGTTCGATTTCCCTCATGGGTACAATGTGTGAAGCCCATTTCTGGTGTCTGCAGCTGTGATATTACTGGAATATTGCTAAAAGCGGCGTAAAACTCAAGTCAGTCAGTCAGTCAGTCCATGGTTTAAGATGTAAAAAATGTTTGTATATGGACTGTGTAGTATTACCCATTACAGTAAAATACATTGAATTATCATGAAACAGACCTCCTATTATCAGAAATTTGTGGGCCGCTGCAAAAGATATTGGACTGCTCAACCTTAATGACGGGCCACTATCAGTTCTGTTGTCAAGTGATGTCATAGTGGGTGTGTTGGCTTACGGTTCATTCGACTTTGGCTTTGGACTGGCAGATATTCTGGGGCAAACAAGTCAAAGCAACCCAAATTCCCGCTTTAGCGGTAATATTGGCTTTCTTGCTGGTGCTAACCTTAACAATTGTACTATTAATGTTGTTGTTGGACCAAGACCGAACACTGAAAACTGACGTTGTGTCTGACATAGTTTGACATGTTGCAGGCCATGGTCTTGGCAAAGGTCAAGGTCGAATTGTTCGATGACGTAATTGCATTCGGTCAGTCAACCCCGTCAGAAGTTGGTTTCGAGTAAACTTACAGTCAAATTCCTTTATTGTTTCCTTTTCTTTTCAAAACAAATTCCATGTATTTTAGCAATAATAACGGTAATGCTATTTTTGAGGGCATTATCATTTGCAGAACCCCTCGATCTTTTTCAACTGTCCTCCTTCGTCGTGCAGTTAAAGAACCACTAAACTTTGTTTTTTGTTACTCTTTTAACCATTACATATGAAAGATTTGTGGTTAGTCTTATGCGGAACACCAAATTTATTCTTTAAAAACGTGTGGTTAATTAATACCGAGCGATTAAAAGTGGCCAAAAAGTCGCCTGCTTCCCTCTGCCATATAAAACCACAAACAGGTTACGTAACTCTGTCGCCAGAGCACTGCAGTGGCGTCATATGAGGAATGATTTTCAGTTAGTTGTATAGAAAGTGTGTAGCACGCTCATCATTTGATGATTTCTATTATGAACGGCGACATGCCGAATCGTTGCTTTGTTGTCAATTGCTCCTAGGGGTCGGGTGATGGTGTCACCATGCACAGATTTCCACAGGACCCCGCAGTTCGTGCTAAATGGGTTATGTTTGTGAGTGCGAAGCGAGTGTTGTGGAAGCCTGAAATGATATCTTACTTGTGTTCAGATCGCTTCACGGAAGTTAAAGAATCAAAACTACTTACTAGTTATAGTAAAATATGTATATGATTGATGACCATAAAGATTTTCCATAACACAACTTGTAACATAACGATTTCTTCCTCGGAAGTGAGGTTGTGGTCGAAGTAACAATAATATTTAAAGTTCTTCAACAGAGCTTGGTATTTACAAAATTAATTCACTGAACGTTTTTACTCCAAAGTGTTTCACTCTACTCACTCTTTCACTTATGGTATAGGCCAAAATAATTTTACTAGAGTTACACACTATGATTAAGTAAGTATTGAACACCACTCAAAACCTGGATAACAAGACTTCATTCTCTTGGTTTGAAACCGCTTCCGTGGTGTAGTGGTAAGAGCGTCCGCCCGGAGAGCAGAATTTCGCGGGTTCGATCCCCGACCACGTCATACCAAAAGACGTTAAAATATGTTGGTCCCTGCCTGGCGCTCAGCATTAATGGGTACGACAAGGACTGGTCGGCTCAGAGTCAGTTTACTGTGTCTGAGTGGGGTATTCATGCTTCACTGCGGCATGGTATCTCAGTGGGCTAGCACTATAAAACCAGCTTCAGTCTGGGCTAGTACAAGCTGATACACATACACGCGCATGCAGGTCGTCATATGAGCGAGATCCGTGAAGATCCGGGGTAATAGGTCTTCAGCAACCCATGTGCTTGCCATAAAAGGCGACTATGCTTGTCGTAAGAGGCGACTTAACGGGATCGGGTTGTCAGTTTCGCTGACTTGGTTGACACATGTCATCGGTTCCCCATTGCGCAAATCGATGCTCATGCTGTTGATCACTGGATTGTCTGGTCCAGACTCGATTATTTACAGACCGCTGCCATATACCTGGAATATTGCTGAGTGCGGCGTAAAACTAAACTCACTCACTCACTCACTCATATGAGTGAAATATTCTCAAGCACAACGTTAATCCCAATTTCACCTCACCTCACCTCTTGGTTTGGTATACATGGTCTAACACTGTTGTGCCAGGTCCTTGGTGATTTATTATCCAGAATGATATACAGCATTTTTAAGTATTACCAGGTTAAATTAATTTATGGAGATTACTGAATGTCACAAACTGCAATGTGAATATGTTCCAGGCACCACAATGTGAACACGCGTTCTGTGCTGGCTGCATTCACGAATGGCTGACCCGCCAGCCCACCTGCCCTGTTGACCGAAGTCCGATCACATCCAACCAGCTGAAGCAGGTGCCCCGGATACTGCGCAACCTGCTGTCGCGGCTGCACATCAAGTGCGACAATGCCAGCTATGGCTGCATGGCGGTGATCAAGCTGGACCTGCTACAGAACCATGTGCAGGAGTGTGAGCACAACCCCAAGAAGCCTGTGCACTGTGAGCAGGGATGTGGACTTATCATCCCTAAAGATGAACTCAAGGTGAGACACGTCTTTTCTTAATGTTACAGCTGGGATGGAGGGACAGCATAGTTTATAAAGCCTATAAAGTCTTCACTGGGGTATGGGCTCAGTTCTCATCATGGGTACGCGTGCAGGTCCGGGTTAGAATTGATCTTCAGTAACCCATGCTTGTCGTAAGAGGCGACTAACGGGATTGGGTGGTCAGGCTCACTAACTTGGTTGACACATGTCATCGGTTCCCAATTGCGCAGATCCATGCTCATGCTGTTGATCACTGGATTGTCTGGTCCAGACTGGTTTATTTACTGACCGCCGCCATATAGCTGGAATATTGCTGAGTGCGGCGTAAAACTAAACTCACTCACTCACTGTCATCATGGGTTCAGTATGTTGAATGGGTATGTGGTTATATTCTTCTCCGTCACTCGCTTTCTTGTTTGCTCACCCACCCGCTTGCCCACTCAGAGGTGAATACAATATGTTGGCAAGGGACCTGTCTTAAACTGCTATGTACTTCTATAAACCTCTTACACTGCTCACAGCATTCCAAGTTCTTTTGAAAACCGCATGCCTATGGCATAGTACTTTGATTAGTGATCAGCCTGTGTTTACTTTCCTCAGACTCAATTATAGGCCATCAAAATATCGCATGAATTGAGGGGACACTCTTCAGTGTTTGGTTCATGTCATTCTCTGTGTTTTGTGCGCAGGACCACAATTGCACTCGAGAGTTGCGCAATATTGTGATGCAGCTGCAGCAGAAGATGCAAGAGATGCAGTCGAGAGAACGCTGAACAGAAACTGGCCCTGAATGAACAAAAACGAGAAATACAACTCTTAAAAGTAAGGTTCAACATATTGTGGAATATTAGTTAACAAGCGAAACTCATATGTGTGGCCAAGACTTCTAAGATGCCAAAATTTCCTGTGTAGAGTTACTTCCCTTGGGTACACCAGGAGCTTATGATTGTTTGTGCATATTTGTTGTCTTGATTTTTGTGCTTCAGGGCGTTAATGATGATAACAATACATTCTTACAGGAGTACATGAGATCTATGCGTGTGTCTAACCCACGGATGAGAGAAATTCAGGCAACCATGGAGAATGAAGATGTCATCAGGTAAGTTGCCAATGAAATTCTCAATCATAAATTTCACACTTTACATTTATAACATGACAGAAGACAGTAAATGGGTATAACACTGCCAAGTTTCTTAATAATAGTAGTCAGTATGTATTCTTGATGTTTAGGCAGCTATGAATACACAATGGCATTTAGAGTGTGATCAAATGTGACACACTGAGAAAATGTAATCCCAAATATAGCATGTGTTACATTTGATCACTTTCTAAAATGGCATTGTGTATTCTTAGCTTTTGGTCGTGGGAGCAGTGCCAATTTACACTCGTCAGATGGGTACATAAAGCCTGTTGTCAAGACTACCAGTTGTCTGATTTCAATTTTTGTGGAAGCTGCTGTGGCTGAGTTTGTGAGACGGCTTACTTTGTTTGTTGGCGACTAGGTGCCTGACTCTGAGAGTGTGGGTTCGAATCCCAGATGGGACTCAACCCAACAAAAGTACAAGAATCTGTACTTTACTGAGAAAGTGTAACATGTATTACATTAGGCAGCTAGGTGGAATATTCCATCAAGTTACCATTCTAAGAAAGGAATGCAACCATTTCTCATTCCTCAATGATGTTAAGTGGTGTTCCAGCCTGACCAGCTCAGACCAATATTGCACATTGTTTTATAAATGAGTCTGCCCTAAGTATTGCAATTTTTGGAAATGGTAATTTTTAATATGGAATTCAGTGGAATAAAATTACTTTGACTGCATTTTAGTTGTGATAACTTTTCTCCCACATGTTGTATTTGGAAATTAACCTCAAATTGATCCTGGTAATATTTTACTTTGTGACCTGCATCTTGAACTGAGTCAGAAATTCTTAGAAAGAAGATAAAGCATTAGGGACCAATGTCTTGTAATTGTGGCTATAGTAGACAGTTAACACTTGCTGTATGTAATGATGAGGCGTAAGTGGTCGAGTCATCCAAGGGGCTGCTGTTCTCTGTGCAGAGTTACGTCCCTTGGGATGCCAATCTATTGTTTGCCCCGACTGCCAGCGCGACAACTGTGTTTATGGGTTTTACCACATTTCAGTGTTTCTGTTATCCGGTATATACCAGACTTTGACCGGTACAAAGTTAGAATGTCCGGTAATTTCAAAGGCTGCCGGTCATTGTGTGTGGCAAATTTTAAAATCAATTTTCTAATTACCTGTGTCAGTTTTATTTCTCCTCGAAAAAGATTACGTTTTCACAGTGACTTCGAGGTGTTGTCAAATAAAAGATAGCAGTTTGGGGAAACCCCAGGCAAAAATAGCGGCATTGACGCATTGTGATAACCTCTACATTTCTGATTGGTTGTTATGGTGCAAGGTCTCACGCAAAATGAAAAGCGTGATCTCTTGGTCTGTAGAATTTACAAATGACCGGTATGAGACGGTCACAATGTCCAGCTCTAAAAAATGTGAAACAATTTCTAAACTGTTCTCACCATGTATTGTGCAACATTTCAGGTGGGTTGGGAGCTTACAGGCTGCCAGGGTGACGCGTTGGGGGGGAATGATATCTACCCCCGATGCGGTGCTACAAGCTGTCATCAAGAGGGCGTTGATCGACAGTGGTTGCCCCACACATATAGTCAATGAGCTGATGGAGAATGCCCACGAGAGGAGGTGGCCCACGGGTCTCAGTACTCTAGAAACGCGGCAGTTAAACAGAAGGCAGTATGAAAATTATATTACAAAGAGAATCCCAGGTAAGTACTTCACATATCACAAAATTTTCAAGCGTGCTTTGTTGTGTATAGGATATGGTATTTGTTTGGTACAAATTATTTATAACTTTAGAAAAGGATTTTATGACACTTCATTCCTTAATCAATTTATCAACTCTTCACTCAGGAAGCAGGCATACCATGCACTGACTTTGCAAGATACAACTGAGTGCAGATTATTTTCCATAAAATGATTGACTATTTATCGGATATCTTACTATCAAATTTGAATGAAACATTTGAATATAACATTTACACAAGGCCATCGAAATCTGACACTCTGCCCTATCTAACTTTGTTTCCTTCTGTTCCAATACAAACAAGATTTTGTCTGTACATGTTTTGTCCAAATGTGATAATGTGCTGGCTGTGACATAGCATCTCTATGTTTGTGCAGGGAAGCAGGCAGTGGTGGTAATGGCCTGTGAGAACCAACATATGCCAGAGGACCTTATAATGGAGCCGGGGCTAGTCATGATCTTTGCTCATGGAGTAGAATGACTCCAGGGTATGATATAGCTTTAATCAAGGTACGTGAAACAGCAATCATTGGTTAGAGATGGATTCTTGTCATTTTAATTAGTATTAAACTTGAATATTCTGGAAAAACATCTTAAAATGACATGGTTATTTTCTCTCTTTGAGTCTACTGATCATAATCAAAAAGCTCATCCATAGGCCTTGAGCATTTCACAGACATAGAAATGTTTACTTATATATTTAACTAAGTGTCACCTTTCTTGTATGAAGAACATTTCTAAGGCAATATTTTTCATTTGTGAAATTTGAAACACTGAAATAGCATATAAATGTGCTTATCATTACCTGAGATTATTGTTGAGATAATTCATTATGAGTAAGTCTTTCTGAAAAGCAAACTTATCACTGAGGTGACAGTAAGTCCAATACTTAAACGTTGGCTTACAATGATCAAAGGGCTGAGATCACTTTATGGAACTGGGCTCTGATAGAGATGGAACACAATTCTTGAATATGTCATGCAAACATAATAGTGAAATAACCTTTGTTTTCAGATATTTAAGGGAAGAACCACATCATCTCTGATCTCTGTGATGTACTTCTACCTGTGAAGACAACCGGATGCACACTCGGTCGATGTTCTGACTGCAGGAGGCCAGTCACTAACCGGTTACCAACTCTCGTCCAGTTGGATGTCCTTCACAAGCCCTGCACTCGGTCTACTGTCACGTCTTGGAGTCATCAGTCTCCTGCCTTACAGTCTGCTTGTGCTTTCCATGTGGGAATTCCCAGATGATGTGTTGCATGTAGGTGGCATGATTGTAGCCATCAATTACAGTGTTTACACAGGATACTTACCGATCAAAATATAATGCACTTTCAGTATATTCTGATTTTCTGGATTTCTGAGTTTCAGTTGAAGTTTTTTTATGAATTTAAGCTAAAACATGATAAAACCAAACTTACATATTCGTGTTCATTTTGCAGTTTCTGCTGTAAACTAGTGCTTTTTATGGATTTAATGCATTTCAATGATGGGTATTAGCTTTTTTTTTACAAAATACAAAAGTTAGCTTGTGAATTGTATGTCATAAGTTCAGGTTTGCCTGTGGATTTGGCAATGCTTGTTTCCGTGAATGGGGACGTCTTGGTACCTGGATACAACACACAGTTGATGATGTTACTGATAACTCATCCTCGATAATCTCCAGGGTACACGTTATGATAAATCTCCACTAGTACCTTTGATGCATCTACGGCTCGGCCCGGTAATTGTATTACCTCCCTTTGCTGACTTTTAATCCAATCAGGTGTCTGCGCTGGAAAGTTGAGCGTACCAATCACAAAACTTCTATCATAACTCAATTCTGCTTCTTTTATCTAACCGATTAAACTTGGCAACACAATTGTTGCAGAGGTACCCTGAAAGAGGTGGAAGGAGTTCTTGCATGTATGTTTTTGAGGTTTCAGACCTGTCTATTTGTATGTATTATTTTGGTCCCTAAATCTGAGTCTCACAGCGAGCAAACCTTCGCATCTGTGGCCGCCATCATTTTTGACACTGGCTAGCTTGTTTGTTTTGGCTTACTGTTAGAAGGCGGAGCCAGCAAAGGGAGGTAATACAATTATCAAGGCGAGCCGTAGATGCATCCAGGGTACTAGTGGAGATTTATCGGAACATATACCCTGGAGATTGTCAAGGATGCTGATAACTTTACCCTATGTCATTCTCTCTTTCTACTGCCATCTCAGCATTACGTATGTGATATACTCAATACTGACTTACCAAGCAATCTCTCACATGCACGAGCTGGTCACAGAGAGGGAATCGGGACCCCAATTATGGTTTGCAGCAACTGGCATGCCAGATACCTGTGATCTTGGGTTCGAATCCCCGTTCACTCTAATTATGTTTCTAGGTTTGTCAGCACCATGCTCATGGATAGGGTTTCACCAAAGTGGTGAATGTCTTAGACGTGAATCACTCTAGGCTTCCCCAGTATTAGGCTGACAGTTGATGATGTTACTGGAGTACTGTCGGAAGTGATGTCAATCCAGCTCACTCACTGGTCATATTTGGTTTTATTAGAATAAACTACATGTAATCAGAATTTGAAATAACGATTATCGTTTAAGTTGAACTGGAGCTGGAATGCATTCAAATCCAAATGAATTTTTAAAACTGACATTATCATTAGTAGATTCATCAGTGGCAATAACATTAACTTATGTGCTTAAGGCAATATTACTGTTTTCTTTAGCAGTATGTAACCTGCTTCATTCTGATATTTTTTCATAATACAGAAATAATATGAAGGAATACCCAGTTTCATGGGACTACACAGCTACTGAGAATAATGATCATTATTATTGTGAGCATAGTCCAAACTTTCTCACGGATTGTGGTCTACTATTAACTGTCAGCATCATTTTCTATTTTCTGAAATTATTGTTAGCATGGTAGGGTGGGGTTGGGGTGGGGTGGAAGTGGGGGTGTTGTAGCCTAGTGGTTATTCTAGTGGTTATTCTCAAATCCCCTCATGGGAACAATGTGTGAAGCCGATTTCTGGTGTCCCCTGCTGTGATATAGCTGGAATATTGCTAAAAGCGGCGTAAAACTATACTCACTCACTATTGACTAGACTGACTTGTGAAGGACTTTAGTTCCGACTGCTCTCATTATATATTATCAGTAGTTAAGTAGTAAGATTCTTGTTCAAGGCTTCTATTCATGGGAGTAGAATTCCCTGATTTTGTGTGAGGACATGCCGAGACCCATGTCTTCAAGCAGTGACAGAGTGTGATTACATTGTGCTAGTCCGATCAGGGTTGTGTTTTATTGGTAGCGTTTATTTCATGATTGTGATATGATTTATGCTAGAGGATGTACATACACAAATATTCATGTACACTGTGGATTTTCTGCTGTAAATTAGTGCTTTGTGTGGATTGTAGGACAATAAGACAGGATTAATCTTTCAGCAAGTGAAAGTAGTGCTTTAATGTGTATGTTTCATGACTTTTAGGTTATTGCAAATGTCACTTGTCTTTGTCCACTGGACCAAGAAATCAGTCGAGTACATTCCTGGGGGAATGTTTGTGTTAGGGACCGTTCATTAATTATGGAGAAACATTTTTGGCTGGGTTTGACAAAATTGACTCCTCTGTATTTTTATCTTGTTTTTTTGTCCTTCATTTTAACTGTACTGACCCTTTTCAGGATGTATGGTCGATAGGAATGGGACTTGATGCAACCAAATAAAAACATGACATTTCTTTTGATAACTTCTTTAATGTTTAGCTTATCTTTTCATGGCTGCTTCTTGCATTTTATGATTTTTTCAACATTTTTTGTGTTTTGGTGACACTATCCTGATTGATTTATTCCCACCCTTTTGCCCTTGTCATAGACTGGTCCCTGGCCCTTAAATATGACTAAATGTTTAAAATGTGTACCGGTAATGGATTTGTATCATTTGCAAGCAAACACATCATTCAATACATGGTAATTATCTGTAAGACTGAAAATGTTTGACTGAAGATTTGGTTCCTGTTACACAAGTTCCAGTTCTGACATACATGTCAGGAGTCAGTGTTAGAATATGGGAGTTGAGATTGTCTCCGCACGATGACTACTTTGTGGATCAGGGTTCTTGTGGAATGTTGTAGAGAAGGAACATTTGAGTGCAGTTTTGACAGAAGGATGACCTAGTCTTAGCCTGCTTGGTTCAATATTGTATCATTTGAGTTTAGTTTTGAACAGTTACAGTTTACAATGCATCAATATGTTCACTGTTGCTCGAGAATGAAATGTAGGTGTACTTCAGAAAATGATGAGCTGTCTAGGCCATATTGAATTGTTTTGTCTATATTCTGCTTGGAAATTCAAATATGGCTCAGTATAAGTATTCATCTTTTATAGTTTCATTTGAATACATACTTTGAAAATATGTTCCACTTTGGCGAGAATAATGTGTTTTTTATTTACACACTGAATGTTCAGTGATGAAAAGACGATATCGACAAGTGAATGTGATATTTAACATTTAATCCAAGCAATACATGTACTTTTCAGTTGTTTACTCCTGTCCTGTACGTTTTAGTGTGTTTTACTGTACATTTCTGTCTGTGTAACTTGTGTTGACTTATTTATCTTGTACATATTCCAAATATATATATGTTCATTTTTGTGTGATGTGAGACTGTTTTTTATTATGTTCCATTACCATGTATACAACTTCTTTCATCACATTTACAATTGGATCGGGGAGCCTCGTGGTTAAAACATTCGCTCGTCACACAGAGGACCCGTGTTTGATTCCTCACCTGGGTACAGTGTGTGAAGCCATTTCTGGTGTCCCTAGCCATGATATTGCTGGAATATTAGTAAAAGTGGCGTAAAACTAAACACTCACTCACATTTAAAAGATGTTGAGATGAATAGCGGCAAGATTTGATCGAAAACCTCTTTCTCACATTTTTTCTGTGTAGATTCTAATGAGTGCTTGCTGATGAAGATGTTAGAATCTACACAAAAACAACATTGCTGCCATTTATTACCTATCTAACCAAAAGAACTTGTCCTTGTTTAACATACACATAGGAATAACTGAAGTCCATTTAAGACGAACATTGATTTGCATTTAATAATGTGGTCCACTATACAGGATATGATCTTGTTTACTATTCATCTTCTCAGGGTTTGAAACACTTTTTGCATTGACATACCTTGAATAAATGCGTAGTTTTAGACAGTCAGCTAGGTTTTTATGGTGCAATTCATGACATAATGAAGCCCCAGCCTCAAGTGGTGTTAAACATCAATCAAGAATTACGAAGGAAGTGACACCACAGGTGCCTGTGCGTCGTATTAACAAAAGTCGGTCTTAGCCTTTTGTCAAATAATGAAGTTATGATGAACAGAATAAAATGTCATAGATAGATGGCAAGTATTGTCATGGAGCTACAAGTGTTTCTTAGTCTCAACAGTCCAGCATGATTAATACTTTAAAGGCAGTAACCTAGCGGTGTGATGATTTTTCTTGTGCGGTAGTTTGTCATGTCAAGTTTTTGGCGTGTGAAATGTGTGTTTCACATGAAGATGGTGCACTGTTTTGATTGCTTCACTCAACAAGATGGTGCACTGTTTTGATTGCTTCACTCAACAAGATGGTGCACTGTTTTGATTGCTTCACTCAACAAGATGTTGCACTGTTTTGATTGCTTCACTCAACAAGATGGTGCACTGTTTTGATTGCTTCACTCAACAAGATGGTGCACTGTTTTGATTGCTTCACTCAACAAGATGGTGCACTGTATTGATTGGTTCACTCAACAAGATGGTGCACTGTTTTGATTGCTTCACTCAACAAGATGGTGCACTGTTTTGATTGCTTCACTCAACAAGATGGTGCACTGTTTTGATTGCTTCACTCAACAAGATGGTGCACTGTTTTGATTGCTTCACTCAACAAGATGGTGCACTGTTTTGATTGCTTCACTCAACAAGATGGTGCACTGTTTTGATTGCTTCACTCAACAAGATGGTGCACTGTTTTGATTGCTTCACTCAACAAGATGGTGCACTGTTTTGATTGCTTCACTCAGCAAGATGGTGCACTGTTTTGATTGCTTCACTCAGAAGATGGTGCACTGTTTTGATTGCTTCACTCAGCAAGATGGTGCACTGTTTTGATTACTTCACTCAACAAGATGGTGCACTGTTTTGATTGCTTCACTCCAGCAAGATGGTGCACTGTTTTGATTGCTTCACTCAACAAGATGGTGCACTGTTTTGATTGCTTCACTCAACAAGATGGTGCACTGTTTTGATTGCTTCACTCAACAAGATGGTGCACTGTTTTGATTGCTTCACTCAACAAGATGGTGCACTGTTTTGATTGCTTCACTCAACAAGATGGTGCACTGTTTTGATTGCTTCACTCAACAAGATGGTGCACTGTTTTGATTGCTTCACTCAACAAGATGGTGCACTGTTTTGATTGCTTCACTCAACAAGATGGTGCACTGTTTTGATTGCTTCACTCAACAAGATGGTGCACTGTATTGATTGGTTCACTCAACAAGATGGTGCACTGTTTTGATTGCTTCACTCAGCAAGATGGTGCACTGTTTTGATTGCTTCACTCAACAAGATGGTGCACTGTTTTTGATTGCTTCACTCAGCAAGATGGTGCACTGTTTTGATTGCTTCACTCAACAAGATGGTGCACTGTTTTGATTGCTTCACTCAACAAGATGGTGCACTGTTTTGATTGGTTCACTCAACAAGATGGTGCACTGTTTTGATTGCTTCACTCAACAAGATGGTGCACTGTTTTGATTGCTTCACTCAACAAGATGGTGCACTGTTTTGATTGGTTCACTCAACAAGATGGTGCACTGTTTTGATTGGTTCACTCAACAAGATGGTGCACTGTTTTGATTGGTTCACTCAACAAGATGGTGCACTGTTTTGATTGGTTCACTCAGCAAGATGGTGCACTGTTTTGATTGGTTCACTCAACAAGATGGTGCACTGTTTTGATTGGTTCACTCAACAAGATGGTGCACTGTTTTGATTGCTTCACTCAACAAGATGGTGCACTGTTTTGATTGCTTCACTCAACAAGATGGTGCACTGTTTTGATTGGTTCACTCAACAAGATGGTGCACTGTTTTGATTGCTTCACTCAGCAAGATGGTGCACTGTTTTGATTGCTTCACTCAACAAGATGGTGCACTGTTTTGATTGCTTCACTCAACAAGATGGTGCACTGTTTTGATTGCTTCACTCAGCAAGATGGTGCACTGTTTTGATTGCTTCACTCAACAAGATGGTGCACTGTTTTGATTGGTTCACTCAACAAGATGGTGCACTGTTTTGATTGGTTCACTCAACAAGATGGTGCACTGTTTTGATTGGTTCACTCAACAAGATGGTGCACTGTTTTGACAGGTTCACTCAACAAGATGGTGCACTGTTTTGATTGCTTCACTCAACAAGATGGTGCACTGTTTTGATTGCTTCACTCAACAAGATGGTGCACTGTTTTGATTGGTTCACTCAACAAGATGGTGCACTGTTTTGATTGCTTCACTCAGCAAGATGGTGCACTGTTTTGATTGCTTCACTCAACAAGATGGTGCACTGTATTGATTGGTTCACTCAACAAGGTAATGCACTATTTTGAGTGGTACATCCAACAAGGTAATGCACTATTTTGAGTGGTACATCCAACAAGGTAATGCACTATTTTGAGTGGTACACAAGGTAATGCACTATTTTGAGTGGTACTCTCTCAAGGTTTGTCAGATGATGCTGAGATTTGGATTTGCATGTTACATGAATGTAAATGCTTTTGTTTAAAAAAGCAACTTGTGTTTTTCTTTTTGTTTTCACATTAGAAGTTTGATGCATGTGTGTTGTTGTTATCAAGTGTGTTTTTCTGGATGCTTTGTTTTGTTGATACTGCAGTGTCCAGTAACCATGGTAACTCATATAATGAAAAGTGCTTTCAGACATGCTTGTTGATGTTGCTATTGTGTGTTACATTCAAAAGTGCTTGAATTCTGAATTAGAAATCGGAAATGAGGTTCATGTCAAGATTCTTGTTGGGAGTTTACAGTGATGGTTTGTGTGATGAATTTGTGATGCAATGTCGTGCATGGTCATTTCATGAGCAGAAACTATCAAACGTTTATCCTTCACCTTGTTTTTTAGGTAAGAACTAAAGATGAAATATGATTTTTATTCAAAAAGGAATGAGGGGCTCTTCTTTGTCTGGTTATATTGTAACCTTGGTGACATTCTTGGACAGAGAAGATTACCGGTACCCCATCATGTGTCTAGAAAGAGGATTGGATCGTCATAACAAACCAATGAGAATGATTAGTTCTCTGATTACAAGGATAGCTGCTCACACTCTCAACCACTGGTTTGTGTGAGGCAATTTATATTTCTGATAACCTGCCATGACAGCAGTAATATTGCTGTTGTCTAAATAAGGCCAATTCGCAGACTTTTCGCAGATTATTCCATAGGGCTGGCTATCGATACAGATCATAGAGATCAATAATTGCTAACTAAATACCAGTCGATTATTGATTAATATCAGAGAAGTAACCTTGAGCAAAAATGCCCCAAATGATTTGATCTCTCTTCACTGGTGATATGTTTAATGCATGGATTGCTAACAGAATAGTGTCCTGAACATAATTTAGAGGCAACCCATGAATGAAGACCTACCTTTGTATATTGTTAGAGTAAGTTAAAAGTTTATTCTATCACAAACATTAATGTATGATATCATCCATAACACAATATTCATGTCGATAATCATTAAAAATCTGTCAACAATTGTCGATCTTTTTAGCCAGCCCTACTATTCCAAGGCTGGTTTGTTTGAAAATCATGATATCAACTTCAAGTGTCATTCAGAATAGGTGTGTGTATATACATTAATTGAAATGGATCATGCTCTGATATACTTCTTTATTTTGTTAGTAATCATTGAACTACAAAACTTTCCAAAAGATTTATTTTGTTCATTCATTTTTGATTAATGCATCAAAGGTGGTATTGTAGCATTGACAAAGTTTATGATGTCTGACATTAAAAAATTAGCATTGTTAGCTCTGTACATATATATATTTTAATCATAAGTGTACATTAAATCATAGTCTGGTTTGTACAAATAACTTACCATTCTGTTTTAAATAATGTTTGAAAAAATGTGCCTGTAAAAATAAAAAAAAATATGCTGGCTTGGCTAATTATTATTGATTGTTTTGTTTTGTTATCTGGGAGGGAGGTTGGTTGTTGTTTAACTCAATATATTCTGTAAATAATGAGTCTGGACCAGACAATCCAGTGATCAACATCATGAGCATTGTTCTACACAATTGGGATACACATGTCAACCAAGTCAGCAAGCCTGGCCACCCGATCCTGTTAAGTCACCTCTTACGAAGAGCAAGGGTCAGTGAAGAACAATTCCAACCTGGATCTTTACTCGTCACTAGAGATCTGTGTAAGATGACACTTGTGTCTATGAAATACTGTTTGGTTTTATGTAGCATTTCTGTTACAGAATTCTGGTAGTCTGAGGGAAAGTGTACCATTCAGCTCTGCCTGGAAGACTGTTTCAGTGGTATCATGGCATGTTGGCCTGAGGTGGAATGAATGCCTTAAACAATGCAGGTCCTTTGCTACTTATCACCTAGGTGAAATTGGTATGGTGCGAACACACCATGAAATATAATCAGAGAAACACTGGGATTTGAACCTGTGATCATAGGTTCTTGGCAAACCTGAGGACCTCAACGGCAAATTGCAACATCTTAGACAATGTGAGTGAGTGAATGAGTTTAGTTTATGGCGCACTCAGCAATATTCCAGCTATATGGCGGCGGTCTGTAAATAATCGAGTCTGGACCAGACAATCCTGTGATCAACTGCATGAGCATCGTTCTACGCAATTAGGATACTATGACATGTGTCAACAAAGTCAGTGAGCCTGACCACCCGATCCTGTTAGTCACCTCTTACGACAAGCATGGGTTGCTGAAGACCAATTTAATCCAGATCTTCACGGGTTTTAGACAATGTAGACAAGTGTGTCTTGCCTCGGATGTTGAAGTACTTCAGCAGTTTTAGGATATAAATATGTCTGTAATTCAAACTGATGCATGCCTAGACAACCTTAATGAAACTTGTGAGCACTGCATCACACAAGGTTCATCAGACCTGAAGATGCACGTCATTCAACTCGGTGAGTCTTTTCAAGTTAAATGGTTAAGGGGCCAACATGCTATTTGCGTGATCAGCAATCTGAGATCATTACAAAGTTAAAGTTGTAAATGCCAAAGATTTTCATTACATCCGTATATAATCTGACTGTCATAAAATACAAACAGAAATATTGTTCAAAGCAGGCTTAAACCCAAATCACTCACTCACTTGCTTTCACCAAACGGCAATATTGCAGAAAGTCTAACAGGATTTCTCCGTATTCAGAATGACAACCAACCCAATAGTTAAAATTTTATTCTGCAAAGTGAAACAACACAATAAAATTCAAATATATTCTGAAATGTTGACAAGATCCATGATGAAAATATATGCATATATGTACCATTCAACAGCTATTATCAGCAGTGGACGAATATTCTGAATGATAATGTTCAGATCAAGCTGCTTTCTTAGTGTGTTGAAGGTAATGTTGGAATATATATCACAATTTGTGTATGCTGCTCAACATTTCCTAGGGATAATAGTATCACAACTGCCATCAACTGTTGCTTTATTTACATCATTGGTCAGAGAAACAAATGGACGATAGATGACAACAATCTGCCATTGCATAAGATTGTTTACATGTTTATCAATATTGACACATCCACCATCACACATAAATAACGGCAGAGAAATTAACTCCCATGTAATCATGAACGAAATGGGAAAACAGGCAGTAATAATTTCAGTGTCTTACATGGAGGTTACTTTCATAGCAAAACATATCAACCTGCTAAACAGACTACAGATTCATTGTTGGGAAAATGTCTGACCAAAACATGTCAGGCATCTGAATTTTGTACAAACAGACATATCCACATGATGGAATGGAAAGTTGATTTTTTAGCCAATACTTTGTTTCATCCAATACCTGTTCTGTCATGGGACCTCCATTAACTCTGGCTTTCTGTTGGAGTATGCTAATATACCAAGGTTTATCTTCTGAATATTTGATTAAAACTGTCTGCTACATCCATTTGCTTTTTTCATAACAATGTCAACGTCAATATATTCTGAGGTGGCAGCATGTCTTCTGTAAAAAAGCAAATATATAATAGAATCATGATGTTACTCTGTAACTCTGAGTATAGATTGCTTTTATTATTGGAACTGAATTTCCTGATGGATCATGCTTCAGGTTCATCACTTTGAATCATTCCAACATCAACACTCTTTCGTGTACAATGAGATTTCAAGTGGATGGTGTTTTATGGATTTTATGGCTAAAGAAAGTAGCATTGTGTGTCTGGTAAAACTTTGGTGCGCCCTACACTTGGCAGAAGAACGAGAAAGTTCATATTTTTTTGTAAATAATGTACAGCTCTAAAATATTCTTCATCCTGAATATTCAGACCTTGATCATGAACATATGATTTGAAATTTAGAATGAAAATACACGTTTGAAAATATCACTTTAATACAAATGTTTTGATGTGTGATAATCAAATTCAAAATTGTCATGTTGATAATATTGACAATAATAAATGTGTGTGTGTGTGTGTGTGTGTGTGTGTGTGCCCATTATCACAATCAATTTCAGTTCAGCTGCAATAACATTCACAGATAATAATCTCTAATAAGGTCCATGAATTGTACGCTACGAGAACCAGGACAGGCAAATGTATATTTCTATGGACATGCTGTATTATAAGGGTGGATATGATTAAGCTCAAAGCATGTTTTTGATGTACTGCTAACAATAAGATAGAAAGATTCAAAATTTGTCTGCAGACTAAACGGAACAATGACCTACAACATCTATATTTGAAATAGGTGCTGGGATACAAACAACCTCAGAACCTGTCCTGGTTGATCAAGCAATGTGAGTATGTCATGTCATGTCATGTACGGTACTCACAGCACAGAACTGACCTAACATCAAAATACAATATGATATGGCCAGCTTTCTATGGAATATTTGAATCTCTGGAATGACCAGATTAGGATTACCGAAAGTGTAACCTGTAGATAAGCTGACCGCCTCTTACAGATTTTTTTTCGTCCTCAAAATTCGTCTTATCTACGGTAATATATGGTAAGTACATAATATTTGACTGTGGAAACAAAATACATGTCATTAAAAAACTGAACACCCAAATCTCTGAAACAAAACAAACAGATACAACAATACAAACATAAGCACCATTTTACAATCTTGACTAAATGATAAAACCAGAAAAAAGGGAAATAATATAATGATGAATGCATCTGAAGGCTACACAGTGTAGACTGTGCTCCATGGACCCTAGGATCCATGGTACAAGGGCCAGACTAGTTCCAGCAGCCATTAATGTTGTTGTGAAACTGAAACATTTCCTCATTTTGAGAAAGGTAATAATCAAAGATAAATCTTATCTATGTTATAAAATTTCAGACCAACAAAGTGGTGCTTGAACAGGACTGCTGAACCATAGTCTCTATTTAGTGATTTGTGATTAACACCACTAATAACAGCATTCAGTTACATCGTGGTATGTCCAAATTGATGGAGGCCTTAGGTGTTGACCACTTTGGAGAAACCCACGAGCACAGGTTTTATATCATAGCGAAATGGGATTCAAACCTGCAATCAATGTTTTTGATGTGCCCAAGGGTCATAACTCTGGTGAAAGAATCCTAGCACCTTTGATGTGTGGGCCAGTAGGTGCACGTGTTGACCACTTTGGTGAAAACCACGAGAACAGGTATAATTTCATAACGAAATGGGATTCAAACTCGCAATCAAAGTTTTTGATCTGCCCAATGGACATAACTCTGGTGAGAGGATCCCAGCACCTTAGATGAGTGGGCCCTCTTTAAAGTTCCAGCAAATGTTCGACCTATGGCTGATTCTATATTATGCTGTTGCTCTTTTTATAGTACTTAGTTTCGTAAATGAAATATCACGTTTCATAGTCCATTCTGCATTGGATGATGTTGTTGATTCATTTAACATAAACATCAGCATGATATGAGAAGATAATGTAAACATTGAAAGTAAAACCACCTTCATGTCATAGCATATGAAAATAGTTTTGATTTGTCAGGACAAAATAACATGTCCAATTGTGATTTGACTAATATTGATAGAGTGTGATGTTATTGCTTCATACACAACATACACTATATCACGTTTATTGCAAGTAGTTACACAACTAGTTGATATGTACACTTAGTAAGGCAAGATCAATCCGCCATTATATATGCTGGATATGCCTAATCTTGTAAACATAAAACCCACCACAACCCCAACGATGCATGGTGTAATGGAAATGACTTTCTGATTACTGTATTCCAGGGTTTAGGAATCACGCGTCATGTAAAACCCTGGTATTCTTTGAAAAAGTCCTGATTAAGATTCAACAACATACTATGCCTCCTGGATGCAGTGAAAGGTATGTATGCTTGTTTCTAGATTCATACATGATGGGTTAAAACAGCTTCTGGAACATGTAGCCTTGGTTCAGAGGAATGTTCAAATTTGGTAAAAAAGGAATTCCATGATAACAAGTATGTTTGATGACTGTAGATTAGCCGATGTCATAGATAAGCCGAGGTCTGAATTGACCCTTAAAATCAGTATGAAAATAGAAATTATTTAGAAAATAGGACAAAGTTTAAAAACTCTGACAATAACACTGTTACAACCCAAAACAGGATGGCAGTGAGCTCATATCCACATCTTCAAATACATTTATATGCATAAGAAAATAAAGTATATGTTTTACCACATAAGGAAAGAAAATCGTAAAGTTTAACCAAAATCAGACCCTATATTCTTAAAAATGAGTCCCTATATTCTTAAAAAAAATTCTATGCGAGGATGACTCACAATTTTAACTGAGTGGTCATGGAAAGTAATAAAAGATTAAAATATTTTAAAAATGTCATTTTCAACTTTCATGAGTGCAGTACATTTACATCCGGAATTTGTCTGCAGACTAAACGGAACAATGACCTACAACATCTATATTTGAAATAGGTGCTGGGATACAAACAACCTCAGAACCTGTCCTGGTTGATCAAGCAATGTGAGTATGTCATGTCATGTCATGTACGGTACTCACAGCACAGAACTGACCTAACATCAAAATACAATATGATATGGCCAGCTTTCTATGGAATATTTGAATCTCAGGAATGACCAGATTAGGATTACCGAAAGTGTAACCTGTAGATAAGCTGACCGCCTCTTACAGATTTTTTTTCGTCCTCAAAATTCGTCTTATCTACGGTAATATATGGTAAGTACATAATAATTGACTGTGGAAACAAAATACATGTCATTAAAAAACTGAACACCCAAATCTCTGAAACAAAACAAACAGATACCACAATAAAAACATAAGCACCATTTTACAATCTTGACTAAATGATAAAACCAGAAAAAAGGGAAATAATATAATGATGAATGCATCTGAAGGCTACACAGTGTAGACTGTGCTCCATGGACCCTAGGATCCATGGTACAAGGGCCAGACTAGTTCCAGCAGCCATTAATGTTGTTGTGAAACTGAAACATTTCCTCATTTTGAGAAAGGTAATAATCAAAGATAAATCTTATCTATGTTATAAAATTTCAGACCAACAAAGTGGTGCTTGAACAGGACTGCTGAACCATAGTCTCTATTTAGTGATTTGTGATTAACACCACTAATAACAGCATTCAGTTACATCGTGGTATGTCCAAATTGATGGAGGCCTCAGGTGTTGACCACTTTGGAGAAACCCACGAGCACAGGTTTTATATCATAGCGAAATGGGATTCAAACCTGCAATCAATGTTTTTGATGTGCCCAAGGGTCATAACTCTGGTGAAAGAATCCTAGCACCTTTGATGTGTGGGCCAGTAGGTGCATGTGTTGACCACTTTGGTGAAAACCACGAGAACAGGTATAATTTCATAACGAAATGGGATTCAAACTCGCAATCAAAGTTTTTGATCTGCCCAATGGACATAACTCTGGTGAGAGGATCCCAGCACCTTAGATGAGTGGGCCCTCTTTAAAGTTCCAGCAAATGTTCGACCTATGGCTGATTCTATATTATGCTGTTGCTCTTTTTATAGTACTTAGTTTCGTAAATGAAATATCACGTTTCATAGTCCATTCTGCATTGGATGATGTTGTTGATTCATTTAACATAAACATCAGCATGATATGAGAAGATAATGTAAACATTGAAAGTAAAACCACCTTCATGTCATAGCATATGAAAATAGTTTTGATTTGTCAGGACAAAATAACATGTCCAATTGTGATTTGACTAATATTGATAGAGTGTGATGTTATTGCTTCATACACAACATACACTATATCACGTTTATTGCAAGTACAGTGTACTCTGTCAATACCGGCATCAGTCGGGACCAAGTAAAAATGCCGGTTTTGACAGAGTGCCGGTTTAGCTAGGTTCGCTTATGACGCCTGCGCACACGGAAGTTCGCTGTCGTACTGTCACTTTAGCATTAACAAGATGTTTGAATAAGAAACAAGGCAGTGTCTGAATGCACATTCATATTGTTTAAATCAAATAAAAATGTCTGGAATCTCTTATTAAATTTCAACTGATCATATATTATCGGCAGAATTAAAATTATAAACTATTTTTCGCAATGTTATTGCAAACAACGATTCTTGTTTATGCTTCGCAGCGGGTCTACAATAGCATTGTCAAAGAGCAAAGTAACGATGTTTCAAACATCGAGGAAATCATTAAATAAATTGAAATCAACAATAACATTCATAAAAGTTGTCAAACGTACATATAAAATTACTATTTCCATACTTTTGTGCGATTATGCAATGTAAGTCAAGTCACTGACAAGTTACATCTCGCTTTCACCACGATGCTTAATGTGAAAATATATGCATGAAGCATTTTGTCATAGGCCATAACCTAGCACGATATGTCCAATACGTTCCATAATTTACGATATAGGTAGCGATGTCTGTCTTAATATGTTCAGAATAGCATTATTTTACCCAAAAACTTTCGTCTTAATCTAAAAGCTTCCGCTTATTTGAGACGGTATCCATTTCCATAATATGATTGGTTGCTTAGGTCACGGTCTGATTTTGACCAATCACGACCCTTATAAGCAGAGTGTAGTGAAAAGCGTCGTTAGAAACCAATCTTTATCCAATAAAATCGCTTCTTACAAATGTGAAAATACTCTCGCAAGAGTACAGTGATATTGTTGATGTTCAGAGCTTTCGAGCGATACACGCCATCAAACGATTCGCCTCTATGTAAGTGACACGTGCCACTCACTAATTAACAAGAAACTGATTGACACTTCCGTTTCTGAATAATCTCGAGTCAATACCCGCGAATCAACAAAATGTAAACACTTGCTTGTTTATACAGTCAAACTGCCCACTACATGTATTAATTACTCTGGGTAAGTGTTACGCACCACTCACTGATTAACAAGATACTGATTAACACTTCCCGCTTCTGAATAATCTCGGAGTCACAGCGAATTGTGTTGTTACATCATTTGGACCTAGTTACATCAAAGGGTTACGCCGTCTTTCATGTGCCGGTTTTTACAGATTCGTTTTCATAACAACTTGTTCGTTGGGACTGAAAAACAATGCCGATATCCTGAATAGACAGATGCCGATGTTTACAGAAGTTTCTAAATGATAATAACGTGCATTTCTGCCGGGACTGAAACTTTGTGCCGATGTAGACAGAGTGCCGGTGTTAAGAGAGGCCGGTATTGACAGAGTCCACTGTAGTTACACAACTAGTTGATATGTACACTTAGTAAGGCAAGATCAATCCGCCATTATATATGCTGGATATGCCTAATCTTGTAAACATAAAACCCACCACAACCCCAAGATGCATGGTGTAATGGAAATGACTTTCTGATTACTGTATTCCAGGGTTTAGGAATCACGCGTCATGTAAAACCCTGGTATTCTTTGAAAAAGTCCTGATTAAGATTCAACAACATACTATGCCTCCTGGATGCAGTGAAAGGTATGTATGCTTGTTTCTAGATTCATACATGATGGGTTAAAACAGCTTCTGGAACATGTAGCCTTGGTTCAGAGGAATGTTCAAATTTGGTAAAAAAGGAATTCCATGATAACAAGTATGTTTGATGACTGTAGATTAGCCGATGTCATAGATAAGCCGAGGTCTGAATTGACCCTTAAAATCAGTATGAAAATAGAAATTATTTAGAAAATAGGACAAAGTTTAAAAACTCTGACAATAACACTGTTACAACCCAAAACAGGATGGCAATGAGCTCATATCCACATCTTCAAATACATTTATATGCATAAGAAAATAAAGTATATGTTTTACCACATAAGGAAAGAAAATCGTAAAGTTTAACCAAAATCAGACCCTATATTCTTAAAAATGAGTCCCTATATTCTTAAAAAAAATTCTATGCGAGGATGACTCACAATTTTAACTGAGTGGTCATGGAAAGTAATAAAAGATTAAAATATTTTAAAAATGTCATTTTCAACTTTCATGAGTGCAGTACATTTACATCCGGAATGAACTATATTATACCCACAGTGCCTGTGACGTCTCATGAAAGCATGTGCATGGGCTAAATGATTGAACAGCTTAGGGACTATGCTCTGGACACGGAAACTGACGGGGACTAGTCCATATCCCCAGTAAAACTTAGTTTGGTTTGGGGCCAAAAACTCAACACAGTGATTAAAATATGAGTGAAATTCGTTAGTAATTTCATGAAATACTCATAAACCTCTACATATCCAACACGCCATGTCTGTCCTAGTTTACCGCACTCACCAATATTCCAGCTATATGGCGGTGTCTCTCATAGGAAGCTGTACATACTATTATAGATGCTGTACAAATTATCTCAGTATTTCTAAAGTTTCCACTGGATACGAGGGGATGATAACACTATACTGTATACAGAAGCAAATACTTGGTTACAGAGAGGTCATACTTCAAAAGCTCTATCAGAAATATATATTAGCATGGTTCAATAACTTTTCTTTAAAATGAATTACCAAATAACATGTTCACATATATACACATGTAATAAAAACTAAATTCATTTTAATACATTCTCAAAATGTTGCTACATTCAGCAGTAGGACTTTCATGATATGATATGGCACGGTATGGCATGGTATGGCATGGTATGATATATGGTATGTCCAGTGACTTTCCAAACACAACATCCCATGATTACAATCACACAATACCATACATATCTTCATCATACATACAGTAAGGCTGTAGCACCTGATATATTGGAACCAACATGGCATCTTCTGAGAACCTGAATGCAGATTTTCTTAGTGGACGGTGCTGAAATTGCATAAAGCACAATAGGAAAGGATGGCAACAGACACTGGCACAGAATAATATGACAATTTGTAAGAAAATACATACATACATTTTTAAACAATGTGATATCAGTGTTCAAAACTAACAAGGGCCCATGTCAAACTAATTTGCTCTCGTAGTATTTGAATCGGTAAAGGGATTCATAATAGGAAATATCACCATTGGGAAGAATTATGAATGATGATTGTGTCATTAACAATATCTTACATTAACTATTGTGAAAAAATAAAGTTAAAGATAAAGTTTTAATTTACTCACACAATATACAAAGTGACATCTTTATTCATGAGCAGTTTCTAAATTATGAAAATAAATTTTAAATTAAATGCTATTTTTGTTAAAGCCTATGCTTAAATTTGTCACCACTCACCATTGATATGAAATTGATTTCTTTAAGATGTTTTTAATTTTTAGTCAAAAGTTATTACACTCTCATATTAATCAATAATCGATCAATATTTAGTTAATGATTATCAATCTCTTTAATCAATATCAATAGTCAGGTCTAAATAAACAGTACGTCACATTAGGATTACGACAAGGATCCCTTCTTTTCCATGCATCATTTTGAACACTGAATATGTTATCAGTAGAACCGGTACCAGCTGTCACAGAGAGCTATGTTTCACCAGACAAGTAGGTTCCATGATGAGGAGGTTCTCGGTCAATGTCTGATATTTTAACAACAAACACTTTTCATCACTGCACAAGGTGATTGTTAACACAAGCCAGATTCATCAATCATAATTCTATGCTCTTTGACATCGTATTCCACTTGTGAATTCCATTGAAGGATATTTAAGTTAAGTGTTGCTTTTAGGTCTGGAAGCCTTTTCACAACATTTTATGATTATCTCTAATTAAATTTCAAACTGCAAGTCATCTTAGATGCTAACACCAGAGCTTTGGAATCATAACAATTATGACACTGTGGTGACATAAAATAACCACAGTCTGTGTTCAGCTACTCAGATTGTCTGTCTTCATTTACCCTGCAGCAAAGTCAGCATTAACTGTTGTAGCTGGAACACGAGAGCAATGCTACCATTATGCAGAGTGCAGTTCTGTTTTCTTCTGCTGTTTGTAAAAACTGAGTGAAAACATTTACAAATCTAAAACCATCAGGTTTACAACAGGAACAATTCCATGTGACGGATTTCACTGTGCACACAATTACCTCACAATTTCTATAGAAAACATCAATAAAACATATCTATAAAAAGTCAACAACCATCAAAGAATTCTTTAGAACCTTAACTTAGGTCTAATTTGGTCCATAGGGCAGCATTCACACTATCAGGAAGCATATACGCCCACACATCAGCAGTTATGTAAATAGTAACTCCATATATAACACATCAGATCCATTCACCAAGTGTATACTCATGACTAACTATATTACCCTGCTCTTGGGGACATCTATAAGAAATCTGTTATAGGAACAATCTGGACTACACTTTCTCTGATTAACAAGAGAAGCATAAGACTTGTTGTTTTGATGTACACTCCCCAGGGTGTAGATAATGAACTGTTTACATGGCAGGCTAATTCTGGAAAATGTATTACTGGGAAGTAATATAGTTTGCATTTTCTTGAATTCATAATTTGTTTAAATACTGCAATTGATGCCATTACGAAAAATGAAGTACTGTACTGTTTTCAATGAAAAAATACATGTCACCTTTGAAGGTTATAAATATCATTTGGGCTCAACCATATTTTTGGCTCAGTATATTTGTCAATTAAAACTTGTAACATATGTTTTATTTGGGGTTACAGTTTCCCAATAAAAACAGATTCTAGTACTAAGTGTTTAGTCTGTACTTTACTGAGAAAGTGTATTCCCAAATATAACATATGCAGCGTTTAAAATTCCTGCCTGTCCGACCGTCCGGAATGGTCTATTTTCATCTTGGACGGTCAAATTTCAAAAGTAGCCTGTCCGGTGGTCTGGTAGATGTTTTCACCCCTAACAGTAAATATTTCATAATATCAGACAGGTTCTCTGGTCGTCAGTTTGAGGTGTTTAAGGTATTATGATAATTATGTTAAACTATTTACAATTGGACAGTTCATTTTACAATAACCAATCACAACACATGTACTTTCAGTTTGCCTAAACTCGGTGCATTGCCTGTTAGTGCTATGTTGTTCATTGCGATGCTTGCAAACAGTAAAAATATTCAGAAACCTGATTTTTGTTTTCATTGTTGAAAACCGGACAGGCAAGTTTGTATCCGGACTGGTAATTTTTTAAAGTTACCAGTCCGGCTGTCTGGCTTGGAATTCTGGGAGTTTTAAACACTGACATATGTTACATTTGACCACTTTCAAAATGGCATTGTGTATTCAATTAAGACTCAAGTTGAGGTTTTAAAACATCTTGAGTTAGTGACCGACGGAGAACAGGTCACATTCTCACTGAACTGACATGGGCATGCTCAAAGTTCTCCTTGTTTATGAATGAATAACTGGAGTAATCAGAATTGATAAGAACTATTACAATTTAGAATATTTCTTTGTGTAGACCCAGTGACTAAAAATTGTTCTTTGAGAAAATGGGAAATTATTATTTTTTACTTTTTATATATACTAGGCACATAAAGAAACTGTGCATACAAAAATTTAAAATCTAAATTTATCAAACCTGTGTAGACACATAAGGATTTAAACACAGAGATTAGTGACATGTATCCAACATGCATGTGCCACGTTCCGTGACGTCAGTGGGTTTGTCCTTGAGACGTGTAATACGTTGTTGCACGTGCATTCCGGGAAAGAGAAACAGAGCAAATGAATGCCACACAATACTGTCACTTTGGAAAGCTCAACCCCTGCCCTTGCGATCGTTCAAAAAATTAAACGGCTATTGAAATGCAAAGCATGCCAAGGCTCACGTCTGCACAACGTCATGAGGCCATTGGGATAATCCGTGGGACAAGTGGCTGCACATTTCCACTGCCACCGGAACACCATTTCTGCACTGGTGAGACGCTACCAGAACACAAATGACGTCATCGATCGGCCTCGTTCTGGACGTCCACGTGTAATAAAGCCAAGACAGGACAGATGGATAAGAGTGACCCATCTTCGCCACAGGTTTCAGACTGCAGTGATGATTGCCCGAACCATCCCAGGACTTCGCCGTATCCACCCCAACACAGTTCGACAACGTTTACATCATCACAGGATCAGACCACAACGTCCCGCCATACGGCCTATCCTGACACAACGTCATCGACAAGCTCGCCGAATGTGGTGCCGAGACCCTTTGTTTTGGTGGAGAAATGTTGTTTTCACAGATGAGTCAAGGTTTAACATTTCCAATAGTGATGGACGTCAACGTGCCTATAGACGCATGGGAGAACGTTATGCACAGGCCTGTGTCTTGGAGAGGAATCGCTTTAGTGGTGGTTCCGTGATGATTTGGGGTGGAATAACAGCACGCCAAAGAACTCCTTGGTGATTGTTCAGGGCAACTTAACTGGTGTGAGCTACAGGGATCAGATTCTTCGACCTGTGGCAATTCCTTTTCTGCAACGTCATGGCCCTGGGTTAACATTCCAACAGGACAATGCCCGCCCTCATATGGCAAGGGTTGCTATGGATTTCTTGCAACACCACAACGTTGACTTACTGCCTTGGCCTGCAAATTCACGGATCTCTCCCCGATAGAGCATGTTTGGGACGAGATGGATCGACGTCTACGCCGTCTTCCTCATCCGCCAGATAACGTCCTTGACCTTGCAACAGAACTTGGGAGAATCTGGCGTGACATCCCACAAGCCTTCCTTGCACGTTTGATAGGCTCTATGCGTCGTCGTTGCACTGCTGTTCTCAATGCCGATGGTGGACATACCCGTTATTGAGCTTGTGACATGGTCGTTTGACCCCTGTCCCGCTTGGGACTCGTGACGTCATTGTTATTGACTTTTCAATTGAAATTCTCCCGACTTGTTATGGTCTCATGATCCCTCCATTAAAGTGTATATGTATCTTTGACATTGTTATCGTACTTATCAAGTGGGATAATATTTGACAATGCACAGTTTCTTTATGTGGCTAGTATATAAAACCATACAAACAGGTATCTTGAAATATTCAGCAAACTTATATCAAATATGACACAAATCTATTTAAAAGACTAAAATTCATCTTTTTGTGGCCTGCTTGACTGTTTATTTTTGGCAGATCTCCTGGACTTGATGGAGGAGAGTATATCATAGGCTTGCTGGATCTCTATAAACTTTTCTTGAGCTTCTTCCTTCTTCTTGGGATCTTTCTGCTTGTCTGGGTGCCACTGACGTGACATTTTCCGGTAGGCATGGGTTATTTCCTCCTGAGTAGCACTTGAGCTGACACCGAGGACCTGATTAGGTAGAAATGGAAGAGGTGAGGTGAGGTGAAATGGGGTTTAAATAACGTCGTACTTGAGAATATTTCACTCATATGATGACGTGCATGCGTGTGTATGTGTGGCTGCTTGTACTAGCCCAGACTTAAGCTGGTTTTATAGTGCTAGTTCACTGAGATACCATGCCGCAGTGAAGCATGAATGCCCCACATAGACACATTATACTCCGAGCCGACCAGTCCTTGTACCCATTAATGCCGAGCACCAGGCAGTAACCAACAAGTACCATATTTTAACGTCTTTTGTAGAATGCGGCTGACGATCGAACCCGCGACCTTCCCCTCTCCAGGCGGACACTCTACCCACTACATCACGGAGGCGGTATAGAAATGGAAGATCAGGTGAAGCCATGTTGTAGTGTATGGAACTACAAGAAGTATGTAATTTTTAGAGTTAAATTGATATTTTATACTTATCCTGACTCATGCTCTTTTGCTTGTCTTCTTCTTCTTGCGAACATAGTGGAACACTTGTATCTCCTTAATTGAAGCTCCCTTCAATGTAAAATCACTAATTGGTACTCACCAAGAGTTGCCTCCCTTGTCCTTTTGGCGGGAACAGGTGTCGCCACCCTCTGGCCTCATGCTTCACTCTCTCCTGATTTTGCGAGCCCAACACTTGAATTTACAGGAAATCCAAAGTGTTATGTGGGAGGATGGAGGAGCTAACCTCATGAGTCAGGATAAGTATAAAATATCAATTTTACTCTAAAAATTACATATTTTTCCTTATCCTGACTCATGCTCTTTACTTGTAGAATCCCTCTGACGGAGGTGGGCAAAACAGAATACTTTGGATTTATAGAATTAGTGATTTATATAGATATAACTGTAATAACTCCTTACGGGAACTTCATAAAGGCATAGACTTAGATATTTCCTCTATTATAAGCCATTGGTTATATTTGCCATACTGGGGTATTTACAATAATAATATACTGTGATATTATCAAATAACAATATCAAAGCTTACTCTTGATAGAGAAGCTATATACAACTGAACATAATCATCAGTAAAAGCTTAAGGGTGAGTAGACCTAAGCTAAGAAATATATACATAGTGCTAGAACTCCGTGAGGAGTTATAAGCTAGATAATGCATGTAGCAATTATGCATATTAATCTCGTGGGACTACGCGGTTAACGCTTCTTGAGGACTGTCAACTGCTGTCACGGCGAGGACCAAGGACCGAAATGGTGAATACCTGAGACTTCCTCGGTGGTGATATCTCTCAGATAGTGATTAGCAAACACCATGTTAGATTTCCAAAAGCATCCTTCCATAATTGTATTCAATGAACAGTTACCGTGTAGGGCGAGTGGGAAGCCAATGCCCTGATCTCATGGGGATTTGATGCTGTTGGAGGGGTCCAGTCCTGCTGCCTTGTAGGCTGGCATGACAGTTATCCATATAGATATGGTGGTGCGCAGAGACTTCTGTCTGAGTTGTTGCCGACAAGGGAATGAATAATCGTTTGAGAAATCTTAGCCTTGTTTTGGAACGATAAGTAAATAGATTTTGAGAGCTCTGACTGGGCATAGAGATAAGTCCAGTGTATCTTGAGATCCGAATCGAGGGATAGTGCAGGGGATATGGAATAACCTGTCTGGTTGACCTGGTAGTTGATTTTTGGCGATGAAATCCCATCTTAGTCCCAGGTGTGCTGTGTTTTGATTGTCATCAAACTGTATCCTCTCATAATCTAGTGCGTGAATTTCCGACATCCTGGCTGCTGTGGCTAGAGATAACAGGAAAAGCGTTTTCTGTGAGAGAAATTCAAAGTTTAATCGATTCCAAAGGTTCATAAGCCTCACTTGTGAGGTGTTGTAACACTATATTCAGATCCCAAGCTGGAAGCGGAACTTCCGCTTTGGTCCTCAATCGAAAGCACGTGAAGTAAAGCCAGTAACTCTGGTGTTTTTAGTCAATTTGACACCCGTTCTCATAGTAATCACAGAACTAAGGGCTGCAAGATATGTTGACAATGTCGGAGCCTTTTAAATGTTTGTTTTGCCGTAAGTAACACAAATAATCTGCCACTTGTGGATGAGTAGCATCTCTGCGCTGTAAATCCCTTTATTTGCTGCGTATTTTTTCAAAACTGTGCCACTTGTCGCCAGTACAAGTTACATGTAGAATTAAGTAAAGGCAAGCGTGACCGCTTTTGCCGCCCTGGTAGAATATCCTCTCTTGTTTAAACACATTTTAATACAGTCCATAATTGAAGTTGGAATACTTCACAGGCTTCCGTGCACCCGTCTGGTGTGTGGATGTATTAACAGATTTGAGCTTGGGTAGCTCTAGTGTTGGTTGACCGATTTCTTGAATTAGAATGGGAAACCGATCGTTCTGGCCGCCAGTAGGGCGACCAAAGTGAGTTGGAGGCTCTGTGTTTGTCTGATTTTCTGTAACACTTGGGGTATTATTGCTGGTGGCGGAAACGCATGCGCATTGAGGCCTTCCCAAGATATGCTTAGAGCGTCCGTTGCCCATGCTTGTGGGTCTGGGACTGGTGACCGCGAATGTCGGTAGCTGATTGTTGAAGCGCTGTGGCTAATAGATCTACTAGCGGCTACTCCTATTTGCTTGATTATCTGTGCAAATATTTCTGTATTGAGCATCCATTCTGTCGGTGGCGGTTGATGTGGCCGAGGAGAGAGTCTCATAGTACATTCTTGGCTTTCGGGAATGTGACATGCTCTGACATGTAGGTTAAGATCGTGGATGAGATCGAACAGTTGAAAGCTTAAAGTCAATAGGTTCCAGTGATCTCGTTGGAGCCTTGTTTGTTCACATAGAACGCACTGTCGAAGTTGTCGGTATGAATCATTAAGTCGCATTCTGTAGAATGGTGCTCCAATGAAGTATGGCGTTGATTACCGCTTTCATCTCTAACATGTTTATATGGAGCTTGCTTTCTTGCTGATTCCATAACCCTGATGCCGTCCGGTTGGCGAGATGAGCTCCCCAACCTTGAGCAGCACGCCGTCTACATATAGATGGGTTTTGAATTCCTGCTCTTCTAAACAAATACCTTCGGACATTCGACCTCCTGGTCCACCATAGTAGATGGGGTCTGAGATGTTTCGGTAGACTGAATGGTTGTAGGTGCGCCGAGATGTGTATTGATGAAGACCTGTAATGGGCGTAGTAACTGTAATCTGCCTCTGACTGTCATGTCTTGGGCTGATGTGAGGAGACCCAACAAGCTCTGCCATTGTCGTGAAGTGGTAACGGAGAGAGTAGAGCTGGCGGAATGGTCTGTTGGATCTTGAGCCAACGGTCTTCTGTAACGACGATACGGTTGAGATTCGTGATAAATCGAATGCCTAGAAACTGCAGATCTTCTGGCGATGGTACTAGGTCCGACTTGAGTATGTTTACTAACCATCCTAGCTGTGTTAGTAGCTTTATGATGTAGTTTAACTGTAGTTTGAGGCAGCTGTGGATCTTGATCTACTTGTATCCCGTCACCGTCGAGGGTAGAACGCGACTGCGTAGCCCTAGACGATGTAGATAGGTGACAATAGGTTTCGTTATCTCCTTCGAATAGCCAGGGGCTGATGATATTCGAATGGGAGTACTTTCCATTGGTAATGTAGCCCGCCTAGTGTAAATCTTAGATATTTCCTGGATTCGGGATGTATCGGGATGTGAAGATATCGCCTTGCAGATCTATACTGGCCATGTAATCCATGGGGCTTAATCAACTGCCGTAACACTGGAGGTAGGTGTATCATGCTTAAACTTTGGTGGTTTGAAGTAGATAATTCCTGTTGAAAAAGCTCATGTTGTAAATGAGTCTGTATTTCTCCTTGGAGTTTTTCTTGGGTACTAGGAAAACTGGGGAGTAGAAGCCTGGTTCGATGTTTGCTTGATCTAGTACTTCTATGGCCTGCTTGGTTATGAGTGATGTAACAGACTCTCTTAACTTTGGTAGTTGTTGTGCCTGTAAGTCGAACTTGTGAGGGTTGACTGTCAGCGGAGGCGTGGCCTGTAGTGGGATACAAAATCCGTGTTGAAGAATGTTGGAGACATAAGGGTCTTGTAACATTCCCCAGTTCTCCCAGTGTAGTTGGAAATGGCCCACCCACTTGTGACGGTTGTACTGGAACGGGCTGGGGTGGAAGACTCCAGTCGTTTCCCGAACCTTATAATCTTTCAGCGCTTTATAGTTCGCGAAAGGAACCTCTGGGTGTCCTGCCTCTTCCTGACCCTCCTCTATAGTTGCCATATGGGCGACGAAAGAATCTTTTTCCTGGCGCTGGCTATCTTCCTATCCCGTGCTTTCTGTAGTCTCGGTGAACTTAGATCTCCTGAGTATCTTTGTGAAGTCTGCCTGATGACGCTGGCTAGCGGTCCATCGACTTGATCATAAGGACTTCTCTGGAGTCCTTAGTGACTTCCTTGGAGACTTTGTCTATTCCTCCGTCAAAGATGGATGGGGAAGACCACGGGCTGTATAGAGTGGAGCTGTAAAGTTCTCACCCCAGCTGCAGGAAGCGAGGAGGCCTTGACAACGAAGCTAGCTAAAGCTGCTGCTGAGACAGATGTGAGATGATCTGTAAGGAACTGCTGGTCCTTCTTTTGCATTAGTAGGGCCGAGTAGATCATCCTATCATCTTCAGAGGTCGTCGACACGCAAATCTGGTGATAAGTGTCTCATTGATCGTTCTAGATCTATTTAGGCCAAAACATGCGTCTCGCCATGGTTTCTATCTGCACCAGCTTATGATGCGTCAATCTTGTAGTTCTTGTTCTTAACATCGCTGATCAGCTTGTAGTTGTCATCGATGTCTTGTGCCTTCAGGAAGGGGTCCATGTTGTGCGTGGAGAACTTCTTAGCGTGAAAGTTCGGCAGATGTGGTGTCTGCACTTCGCGTGGCTTTATGGAAGGCTGTATCTAGATTCTGTGGCACCACAGCAATCGGGTCGATCGGAGGTAGGTGACGCGCCTGCATCGCCTTCCTTCATCAAGTATGTCTGGCGCTTGAGTTGCCACTCTTGGACGGTGAAGATAAATCTAGGTTGTTTACCATCCAATATCTTATCTCAGCGCCTGAGAAGATGATGCCTCCATCATCTTCTGTACCAGCATCGGTGATGAGAGGTTGATGCTCTTTTCTGATGGTGAACTGTGGGCTGCTATCTCTATGTCGGGTGACGCTTTGGGAGACCTGACTGTAGACTTGTGTGCCGACTTGTGTGGTGACCTGCGAGGTGGTGATGTGCGTGGAGATCGGCGTGGTGAACGGCGTGGAGATCGTCTAGGTGATCTGCGTCTATGGGATGACCTTCTCGGAGATCTGCGAGGAGAATGTTGATAGCTTCGCGAAGCTCTTGAGTAGTCCCTCGACGTCCTTCTGGACGATGACGGATCTGTGTGACGGCCTTCGTGCAGCTTCCTCTGCGTCCGGACCTGGGGAGCATCGCCTTGACCTCCGTCACGGCTTCCGTGATGTCTGGTGGTCTGAGTCCGCATCTGAGGATGAGGCCGAGGACGGTAACGATCTCTGTACAGACTGTACATCTGGGTCCTTCGTCGAGGTGGTCTGTGACTTCCTTCTCGAAGGCTGCTTTGTCGTGGCTGCTACGCTGACTGGGGGTGCCTCTGGGGTGTCGTCTGCGTTGCTCAGGCCCTGGGCTGGCTGCTTCTCCCGTCTGTAGTGGCCCTCCATCATGGTCATGATCTGCCGCAACAGCTCGTCTGGGATGGTCTGCGACGAAGTGGTCGGTGCCCTCTCTGCGATGACAGCTGCTGAGCCCTCAGGGAAGTCGTCTGACATCAGTGTAGAGACATCAGGCTGCATGGCTATCTCTGCTGATGTCACTGTAGCTGTCACCGTCGCTTCTTGTGGCGCATGCGCCAGGGATGATGATCGGCTGATCATCGCAGAGGCCCAGTTCGGGCGGCTGGAACGATCTCGCTGAGAAAGTTCTTGACTCCGACTTCGTAGACTTCCCTTGGAGGTCGACGCTGCCCTGGGGTCCGAAGTCTGCGCTTGAGAAGACGTTGAGGCCCTCTTGGACTTTAGAAGGCGATGACGGGACGCCTGGGGGAGGCAGGACGCTTCTTAGGTGGCGGACTGCATCCCACGCCCATCTTCGGACGGAGTCTCTAGCGAACACCAGGACGGGAGGGGGTCGATCGACAGTAGCTGACTGGATGGGGAATCCGATGTATCGCCGCCATGTCTAACCCTTTGTTTGCGCGGACCTATCTGCAGCACGCCTCACGATGCAAAGATATTTATGAAAAGCAGAATCAGATAAGGAAAAATATATCACGGTGCTTTAATGACAAAGTAGCACTGTGACACAATGAGTGAGTTTAGTTTTACGCCGCACTCAGCAATATTCCAGCTATATGGCGGTGTGACACAATAAAACACCACAGTCTGAGATAGGGTTAAGGGCCACGTTTCAAGCTCTCGTGATGCATTTAAAGTGGATGTTTATCATGTCCTCTGTCAAAAATTTATGCAACATGTTGATTATTATGGAGCTTCAACTTGTCATTTTGTAACTTTCATTTACTTGTACAATTATTTTAAACTGTCCTCACCCATGTTTAGGATTGAAGTACTTTTTAATAATTCATAGTTTCTGCTGTGATACAGCTGTCGACAATGATGTTATAGCAATTTGAAACCTTTATCAGTTATTATCAAACCACAGAAAGTATTTCTCCTTGTATGTTTTTAAGTTGTACGTATAGTTCATATAGGATTTTCTGATCAAACAATGGAGGCTTTATTTAATTCCAGTTCAAACTGTCTCCAATGTTTGTTATTGATTACATTTTAAGAAGAGCTCATTGTTACTTTTCTGATATTAAGAAAAAAAAGGAAATCCTTTCTGTAAGTGCAACTTTGACAACTGTAGTGGAAATATCGGCAACACCAACCTTATATGCATTTTGCTCTCCTACAGGATCGAACGTCTCCTTGATTTCGTCCCAGATCTTCCTCCAGCCATGTGCTTGATAATAATTGTACAGTCGATGCATGGAGTCTTTGGTTTCAGCCCAAGCTGGAGATTTAAAGAAATTTGGAATGGCCTCCCTTAGAGGGATGTCCTCTCCATCTTTTGTTGTGATAGAGCCGTTAAAATATATCGCACATCCCCATAGGGCTAGATAAAGGGTGCCATAGAAAGTCAGTTTGCTGACACGTCGGAAAAAGCCTCGTTTTGGCTCTGGTTGAGTCCTCCATGATGCACCCTTCCACTGGACAAAGATGGCCGACATGAGCGGTGCTACTGCCACGTTGTCTGGGTTGAGGATTAACCAGGGGGTGCCAATGTAAGCCCCTAGTGCAGCCCAACTCCAGGAACCTTTGTGACAGCCAATGTTTGCTACCAGATGAACACCTATGTAAAAAAATACTTTACTTTGAACACTATTAAACTAAAAACTGTATCACCATTGATTAATGTTAAAAGAGTGCTTTGACAAGCTTTTATATCATCTACTTGTCAAAATCAAACTTTCAGATGGTGCAAAATTTCTGTACAATGCATTTTGCTTCCATTAAATGACCACCCACCATATCAAAACCTGTTTCACTAACAAAATTTATAAACAGAACATAACAAGATGGCTTGGTGAAAGACTTCAAGAGACACAATGAGTCAGGATGACTCCTGGTAGTAGCCAGCAAAAATCCTAAATAAATATGAACAGTTCAAAATTTGAGTGTAGAATATAAAACTTGGAGAAATGCCGCCAAAATACAAAAGAGAAATATCAACAAGAAGCATAAAATGTGAATTATTTTGTCATTCTCAGTGAGAGTAGTTTAAACACACACTTTACAACCATTGTTTCTAGTATGTAGTGACATACAGCTTTCAACACAGTCTTTTCACCTATTAACTTACTTTATCAGCAAAGGAGATACCATTCATTCTCAGAGTGAAATAATTATGAATACAGCTGCTAATTATGCACTTGTACTGAACTGTAAATCTCATATGACTTTGACTGATGGGAAACTGAACATCTGTAAACCATCCTGCCCCATTAGACTGAGTGAGTGAGTGAGTAACATCTGCTCCAGGAATGTGGATTTGTGATGGATTGTTGTTTATGATATGTATGAGTGAGGCTATGCATTTCAATCAATAATTCATTATAGAGATATTTTTGTTTCCATGAAAAAAGCAATCAAATCCAAGTATTAAACAACAGAAGTTTAATTTTAAGAATATGCTGCTGTTTAAGGCGAATACACCTGAAATGGGTAACTGGGTCAGGTTGGATAATGCTTCTTCAGCTGTCCAGTTCCAAAATTGCTACCCATCCTATCCCTTATTGACATATATCACTGTTTTGAGCATAAACAACATTGAATACACATGGACAGATGCTGATAAGAAGTATAGTATAAATGTATCAACATGTTCAAGAAGAATAACAAATTCACCAATATTAATCTGTGATGAAATACACAACGGGTAAAAAACTATTTGCTGCTGTGAAAATAGAAACATGCCTCAGCCCCTTAACTTGCTAAAACATTAGACCAACACTGAGGTGAGTCTGTAGAAGGGGTAATACTCTATAGCCGTGTCATGATGGCTGTACAAGACTGAACCCATGTCTCCATGGTAACAGTGCCTGATGCGTAAATTCACAACTACAAATGGCTAATCCAAACGTGAGAAAATAGATACATTGGTATCTGAAAGATAAGACAAGAAACGTCTCCCCCTCTCTGTCGATAAGTAACACCCCCCCTCCACAAACACCCCCACCTCATCCTTATCTAAGGACCTGTTGGTCAAATCATCTGCTGGTTCACACTGGACAAGCACCTAAACACCAGAGTGAGTGAGTGAGTGAGTTCAGTTTAAACCGCTAGACTACATTTTTGTTCCCATGCTTTAACCGTACTGAACCAGGCTGTGTCTACCCCATCTGAACACATCAACACCAGTACTGAACCAGGCTGTGTCACATCAACACCAGTACTGAACCAGGCTGTGTCACATCAAGTACCAGTACTGAACCTACTGAACTGTGTCACATCAACACCAGTACTGAACCTGGCTGTGTCACATCAACACCAGTCACATCAACACCAGTACTGAACCAGGCTGTGTCACATCAACACCAGTACTGAACCAGGCTGTGTCACATCAACTGACAGGCTGTGTCACATCAACACCAGTACTGAACCTAACTGTGTCACATCAACACCAGTACTGAACCTAGTGTCTCAACACCAGTGTCACATCAACACCAGTACTGAACCAGAGTACACATCAACCCAGTACTGAACCAGGCTGTGTCACATCAACACCAGTACTGAACCAGGCTGTGTCACATCAACACCAGTACTGAACCTAACTGTGTCACATCAAGACCAGTACTGAACCTGGCTGTGTCACATCAACACCAGTACTGAACCAGGCTGTGTCACATCAACACCAGTACTGAACCTGGCTGTGTCACATCAACACCAGTACTGAACCTAGGCTGTGTCACATCAACACCAGTACTGAACCTAACTGTGTCACATCAACACCAGTACTGAACCTAACTGTGTCACCATACAACCACTGTGTCAGTACTGAACCAGGCTGTGTCACATCAACACCAGTACTGAACCAGGCTGTGTCACATCAACACCAGTACTGAACCAGGCTGTGTCACATCAACACCAGTACTGAACCTGTGTCACATCAACACCAGTACTGAACCAGGCTGTGTCACTACTGTGTCACATCAACACCAGTACTGAACCAGACTGTGTCACATCAACAGTACTGAACCAGGACTGTGTCACATCAACACCAGTACTGAACCAGACTGTGTCACATCAACACCAGTACTGAACCAGGCTGTGTCACATCAACACCAGTACTGAACCAGGCTGTGTCACATCAACACCAGTACTGAACCAGGCTGTGTCACATCAACCAGTACTGTGTCACATCAACACCAGTACTGAACCAGGCTGTGTCACATCAACACCCAGTACTGAACCAGGCTGTGTCACATCAACACCAGTACTGAACCAGAACTGTGTCACATCAACACCAGTACTGAACCAGGTGTCTGTCAACACCAGTCACATCAACACCAGTACTGAACCAGGCTGAACCAGGCTGTGTCACATCAACACCAGTACTGAACCAGGCTGTGTCACATCAACACCAGTACTGAACCAGGCTGTGTCACATCAACACCAGTACTGAACCAGGCTGTGTCACATCAACACCAGTACTGAACCAGGACTGTGTCACATCAACACCAGTACTGAACCAGGCTGTGTCACATCAACACCAGTACTGAACCAGGCTGTGTCACATCAACACCAGTACTGAACCAGGCTGTGTCACATCAACACCAGTACTGAACCAGGCTGTGTCACATCAACACCAGTACTGAACCAGTACATCAACACCAGTACTGAACCAGGCTGTGTCACATCAACACCAGTACTGAACCAGGCTATGTCACATCAACACCAGTACTGAACCAGGCTGTGTCACATCAACACCAGTACTGAACCAGGCTGTGTCACATCAACACCAGTACTGAACCAGGCTATGTCACATCAACACCAGTACTAACACATCAGTACTGAACCAGTACTGTGTCACATCAACACCAGTACTGAACCAGTGTCACATCAACACCAGTACTATGTCAGACTGTGTCAGTACTGAACCATCAACACTATGTCAGTACTGAACCAGACTGTGTCTCATGTGTGTCACATCAACACCAGTACTGAACCAGGCTGTGTCACATCAACACCAGTACTGAACCAGGCTGTGTCACATCAAGTACTGAACCAGGCCAGTACTGAACCAGGCTGTGTCACATCAACACCAGTACTGAACCAGGCTCAACACCAGTGTCACATCAACACCAGTACTGAACCAGGCTGTGTCACATCAACACCAGTACTGAACCAGACTGTGTCACATCAACACCAGTACTGAACCAGGCTATGTCACATCAACACCAGTACTGAACCTAGACTGTGTCACATCAAGTCCAGGCTGTGTCACATCAACACCAGTACTGAACCAGGCTGTGTCACATCAACACCAGTACTGAACCAGGCTGTGTCACATCAACACCAGTACTGAACCAGGCTGTGTCACATCAACACCAGTACTGAACCAGGCTGTGTCACATCAACACCAGTACTGAACCATCAACACCAGTACTGAACCAGGCTGTGTCACATCAACACCAGTACTGAACCAGGCTGTGTCACATCAACACCAGTACTGAACCAGGCTGTGTCACATCAACACTACATATAGCTAGTAATGAAACTGACTTTGTCGTTACCTAGGAAATCCATAAGACATTTTTCGCCATGAGCCTTATGGTTAAAGCACTCATTCATCACGCTGAAGATGAAGGGCCAATACCACATATAGTTTCAATATGTACAGCCCATTTCTAGCATAAACCTATACTCACTTACTTCCCCTTGGACTAGCAGGATCCTAGTACCCCCATGTACCCACCTATACCAGCCCCGAGTTGTGGCAGGGAGACAGCCAGGATGAAGCCCAGATCAAGCTTTGAGCTGTCCACGTACTGCTCAGGTAGGAGGGCTCGGACAAGGTAGCCAAGGATGTTGCCCATGATTATCTCCCCTGCAAATCTGCTGGTGCTCCGAGAGGGTTTCCGAATAACGCTCCTTCTTTCGGTAAATTCCTTCTCCCATTCTTCATCTCGGTTGCATTCTTGGACATACTCTGGTAGTTTCCATAAATCTCGTATCCATCCAAGTCCAAAAAGACCACCTGAAATATAGTTGAGTTATTTTTTAAATGAACCAGCACAAAGGCTGCAACAACCTAACTATACTTTTTATTATTTGGAGTAAAACATTTTCACAAGCTCTGTAGTCTAATTTTGTTTTGCTTAAGAGGCCTATCAGTTGGAAGTGTAAATGAGTAATATAGACAGCATAACAGTCTTCCTTCTCACCATCATCAGGTTGATATGGCAGGAAAGCCACAAGTAATTAGATCTTTGCCACTAAAATCCAGGAGGTGAGGTGAAATGGGGTTTAACATCGCACTTAAGAATGCTTCGTGCATATGACGACGTGCATGCATGTGTATGTGTGGCTGCTTGTACTAGCCCAGACTTAAGCTGGTTTATAGTGCTAGCCCACTGAGATACCTAAAATCCAGGAGCATTGGTTTGGTATTGGTGAGGATATAAATACATACATTAATCTACTTTTGCCTAATGCATCAAACAAGAAGAAGTTGACTAAAACAATGCAAATCCTTAATTATAAGTCATCGATATGCAACAACAGTATTAGCTAATTAATAAATCCAATGAAAATGATTGAAATAATTATTATTCAGTATTGAAATATTTAGCAACAAAGCTTAGTGTTTGTCATTGTATTATTGAAAACAGAATTGAAGATTTAGATATGTTGACCGTTATTCTTTCTAATTTTGAATTACATGAATATAACAAGGCATATGTGAACACATATTTCTAAGACCATTGTTACAATTTGTGACTTTTAGTCACTCCATGACAGAGATTGATTCTCTATATATTGATAAATATAACATTACCCAAATTCACACAATTAATTTAGCAACTTCACTGAAAATATAGTTTCATATATTTTCTTGTCCTCCAAAAGAAATAAAATAATGACAGAATAGTATATCATAATGAAAATGTGCATAGATATTGATAGTAACGGCAGAGACCATATACCGGTATATGGTCTCTGGTAACGGTACATTAACAGCAATTACAGTTTTCAAAACACTCACATGACTATGCATGCAGTTATGCCACAACTTGAATGATGTTACTTACCACTGTTACACTCTAATTTGTGCAACACCAATTTTTCTCTTCATACATCCCAAACAAAAATCTATAGACGCATTATAATATCACACGGGTTTCCACCTAAGGTAGCACCAGAAACATTAACATACGTTAAACGTCGCAGTGATGTTATTTTCAAAGAAAACTTGACATTTACCTCAATGTAAGCAACTCACCTAAAGTCGACCACCAAACAAATGCATGACGATCCCGTTTGAGATAAAAGTGATGCAGACCGACCCATCCTCCGAAGAACCAGAGGACGTATGCTATAACCAGCCGAGCCATTACGAAATGCCACGTTTATGAGGTCTTGGAGTTTATACACAACCCATGCCAGTCCTAGGTCATCTTATCTTCCTGAACGGAAATTCCCACCACTGCACATGCGCAGTCACCTGTTAGACCGATAAAGCTATAAAAGTGACGTGTCCTTAGCCCATAGTTTACGTCTGTTTTAGGGATAATGTGTGATGTTTTTCTGTAACCTTTTGTGTTATTAGCAGAAGGGCACGCTGAAGAGTGAAATACGGATGTGAGAAAATTACTACAATGCGTTATTTAAAGTAAATTCGCGGGGAACCCCTTCCTTCGCTGCCTGTGCATTTCAGCCAAGGGGATTTCCCACCATTCCCACAATGCAACAGTTTGTGTATGGTTGTTAGGCAACCACAGGTGCTTTCACTGAGAGCGGAATGGTCGGTGATACGAACATAATTTAAACTGCAAGATGGAGAGAAAACCAGGACATTTACCCGTGGATGTCCGGCTAGCGGTGGATTCGTTGGTTTGGGTGAAGGTATGGTGGAGAAATTACATTATCGAGCTGCACTAACTTCCTTGTGTCCTCAGCATGGGGTCGAGTTCGCTATCGGTAGTTCAAATCACTTTATTCGTGGTGTGACTAGGATGTACAATGGTACTGACTTTCTCTATGTTTTGAATATACTGTTTATTACACATTATAATGTGTGATGTTTTTTCTATACACGGGAATTTTCATTCATATTTTCTCTTATTTAGCAGATAATGTTTGTTTGTTGGTTAACGCCACACTCAGCAATATTCCAGCTATATGAGTGAGTGAGTGAGTGTGTTTAGTTTTACGCCGCGCTCATCAATATTCCAGCTATGTGAGGCGGTCTGTTAATAATCGAGTCTGGACCAGACAATCCAGTGATCAACAGCATGAACATCGATCTACTCAACTGGGATACGTTAACATGTGTAAGCCCAGTCAGCAAGCCTGACCGATCCCGTTAGTCACCTCTTACGGACAGCTTGGGTTGCTGAAGACCAATTCTAACCCGGATCTTCACCGGCCCAATAGTAAATAATGAAAATAATATATCCAGTTTGTCAGTCATCAAAACGACAGTTACTGGTATAGTAACATTCCATACACATATCTAAGATCAAGATGTTAATTTTGTGATGTGGTTTTAACGCATTATTGGTCAGTTACAACTCTCTATTTAAAAGCCCGTGAAGATCCGGGTTAGAATTGATCTTCAGTAACCCATGCTTGTCGTAAGAGGCGACTAACGGGATCGGATGGTCAGGCTCGCTGCCTTGGTTGACACATGACATCGTATCCCAATTGCGTATTTCGATGCTCATGCTGTTGACCACTGGGTTGTGTGGGCCAGACTCGATCATTGACAGACCGCCGCCATATAGCTGGGATATTGCTGAGTGCACACGTTCTATTTAAAATGTCTTCCCTCTTTTGTTTTAAGCTTGTTTACTGTTTATATGCAATGTTACTACATTCAATGTGTCTGTACAGATCGTCGGAATAGGCAGCACTGCTGTTGGCAAGACATGTCTAATTAAACACTTCTGTGAAAGCAAGGTAAGACTATTTTACACTCAGGTTGGTCATCAGTTCGATCTGGAAGTTAGCGAGTAAATAAGGATACACAGAACTTCACTGAAAACAACTGCTTGTTTTTTGCACTCCAGACTTATAACACTGTCAAAATCTGCATTGAAGCGTTGCTGAATGCAATAAATCATAAAGTGTTTTTTATCAGGATAGCAAATAATACAATATTCATACATCTGGATACTACAGAACATACATATATTCAAGATTCGAAATAATTAACTGGGGACATAAGTTTAATGGTTGTTTGAATGAAGCACAAAGAAAAAGATATACGAATATAGGAAAGTAATAAAATGGAGACAGGTGAGAGAAGAGAGTAAGAATTGATAAAACATTGGTTTGGTTTGCATCAATTGTAGTGGGGCCCATTTTTCTGCAAATTTGGTATTGTCTCCTGAAATGATTTTTTCTATGTTGTGATTATGTTTTATTAGAGGCAATAATTGCGTAAATATGGGCATAGTCTTATTGTAATGACAATTTTGAATATAACGCTTGGTTGTTATAAACAGGTGTTTTTATAGAATATTCTTCTTGGGATCGCCAAGAAGGAAATTATACATATTTAGGTCTAATTTTAAACAGGTTCTACTTTCAAACCAAAATTGGAACTCATTTATCATAATTTGAACTTAAACCAGTTGTTAACCATAACGGTAAATATTTTCCTGCTCTGGTTGGTTGAAATATCACTAAGTGTAAACACGCTGTCATGACTGTCTATCTCACACACGTATATTATAGAAATTTACATTCACCTTATCCAAATAATTTTAAGATGTATTTTGGGACATTGCTCTAGACATCATTACAATTGTCGGTTCAAATAATATTAACATAAACATAAAATATGTTACGATGAACTTTGAACTCTTATTGCCAGTGATAAGTATATGTTGTAGTATTGGATCGCCATTTTTATTACAATATAACAAAATACATGGGAATTGAATACTGATTTCTAACGGTCTTTCAGGTATTTCAAATTTCAGTGAAACCTTAAAAAACAGAGAAGTAACTCTTTAGATCACTGATTATTTCAATGAATATGTATTTAATACTAAAAGATTAAAAAAATATTCGTAAACCTAAAAAGTATATAAATCGAGTATAAGCCCACATACCAAATTTGGTGAAATATACAACTCCAAGCTATTATACGTTTTATATAACTCACAAAGATACGAATTTATCGAGGAAGTAAAACATCTTACCATTTTTCAAAGTTTTTTTTCGTTTTTACAATTCATACACAACTGTCTTCATACCAATGTCATGTTTATGTCCAGGAGGGAAAGACACGTGCAAGAGAGGTCAGTATATCAAAAGGTTAAATACGTCATGTGACACTGTCTTTTTTGTGACATTCACGCCCCAAAAATGTTACTTTTGCATCTTGTGTCTTCAAAATTGAAACGCACAGTTTGTATTTTTGCAGAGATATTTCATGCAAACACCTGTTTTTTCAGCAATTTTCTGTATGATGTGGATAACACGCACATTGTGACCCTTTAAATTGCTTTCTTTACATTCAGTATAAAAAACGATAATTGAGATACAAAAAAGTCGTGATACATGATAAAACATCACGCAGTCTCGTTACAAAACGACTGCAACCTATCATTTTGTGTTTTTTAAAGTTATTGATGTTTCTTTAAATGAACTCAGTCAGGTTGTAGAAGAATCTATTACCAAACAACTAAAACAACTTGACACATAATTGTAAAATGTAGAGGTAGCGTTAGGAGATCCTAGGTACGAGTATACCTGTGGGTTTAAATCAATATATAGATGTTCCTTCTGTAACATCTGTTATATTGCATGGAATTACACTTTCTTAGCAAATTATCGATTCTTATACCTTTGTGTGGAGTCATCCGAGATTCGAACCCACACTCTCAGTGTGAAGCTCCAAACTCCTGCACACAATTTAGCCATAATATCCCATAGAGCCACCGAAGCTTCCACGTACTACATGTTGTTCTTACTAAGAAAGTGTCATCCCGCATACAACACGTTGCATTTGAACAGTTTCTGAAAGACAATGGGATTTTTTAGATATTTCTAAATAGACGATTGTATGGTTAATCTTTAATCTTTATACCGGAACTAACTATTGTGTAAATGTTTGACAGGCCACAATAGCACCAGACGGCCAGGATGACCAGGTACTCTTGAGGGGCGGTCAGGCGTTATAAGGCTGGGGGACACATTGAGGGGAACCAGGGGAGGGTCCTAAAAAGATCACACAACTAATGACAAAACAAAAACTCAATTTGGAAGGGCCAATGAAGGAATTGACTGTTGATTTATATTAAAACCCACTGAAATCAAAGCAATGATTGAACTGTTTGTTTACTCATACACTTGGGATAATCCAAAGATTGTAACTGACAAGTAAACAATGTTTGTAAGGTCTATCCAAGATTATCAAATGTATCATATCTGCATTCTATTATGATAAATACACTGTCTCCATTTGCCACCATATCTACGGCTGGGCATCTGTCTAATTATGCAGAGACTTAGCACATGTTTTCTATCGCACATGCCTGTAAGGTGATTGGACGCTTTTGAGTCGCATTTTTCAAGTCGGACTAATTAAGATGCTCTGTTAGCGAATGAATCCAAAGTATTTGTAATACAAGAATGGGGACATGATACACTGGACTAGTGAGGATGGACAAGGTAATACTAGGAACTGAATACATCCCCAGTCCCACCCTCACCCCCATCCCCACCCTCACCCCAGCCCCATAATAAATGACCGGTCCCTCAAGTAGGGTAGTTGTTAATGGTTCTATGTATCACATGGGTATGGTGGAAACTATCAGAGCAGCAATGGGCGTACGGGTGGAAAGTTACTAGTCGGCTGTATACATTGTACATTTCAATGTCATTATAAAAGATTCACACAGATGTCAGTATTAACAGTCCTAACTAACCCTTTGCTACTTGGTAACTACATTTTGTCACGTCCTCTGACACGGTCTGGTGGGATTTCTCTTGTGGAGCATAACGCGCTCAAGTCACTCTACCGTTGTGCATTTGTATTTAATGACAATCTTAAAGGTAGCTATGAAACGATACCCAAAGACCGGAAACCGTAGCATGTGACCAAGATACGTCCCAGCTGAATTCTATTTTTGCATACGACCCCAGTTTTGAAACTACCAGATGCATGAGATGGGGCATTTGTATACTCGAAAAGCCTCTAAAATGGCACGGCAACGTACGAGTCGGTTTGATGAGCAGCGTTTGGGTGATTGTTCAATGGTTACCTTTAATATGAACTTCAGCATATTACAGAATTCATATTTCCGGGTTCGGAATATTCATACACGGGGGAGATGGCTGTGATTGTAACATTTATAACACTTCTGGTTCTTATATTGTAGGTGTTAGGTTTAACTTTAAACTCACACCCTTGTTGATGAAGATTGTAGCTGATAATGTGTAGCATACACAATGAGTTATTGTGTTGTGTTCATTAAGGGATGTACGATATTCACATCCGAGATGTTTTATAAAAATATCATGTTTAGTGAAAATATATGTACTTGTTAGTCATGTCGGTAAAATAATGATAAAATGTTTTGAATAGAAGTGATGCTTTGGTAGTACATAATTAACGTCAACCCTGATATATTGTAGAAATATGTTAGTTTTGTAAACATCGATAGAGTAATTTAGTATAGATATAATATTAGAACCTAAATCTGAGTGAATATTGAGTGTGTAATTTGTAGATAATACATTGTATTTCTTTGGAAATGTTTATGTCTTTGTTGATGGGGAATATATTCTTCTGATTGAAGTGTTATAACAGATCTCAATAACAATTCAATGTGCCATGATTAACGTTATGAGTTAAATACACATTTTGTATGTGAAATGCGTAATGTCTCAGATTGAGGTTATAGTGTTCGCTCCCCACGCCCAAGTCACGTGTTCGATCCCCCCATGTATGGGTGTAACATGTGTCATCTATTTATTACTGTACGTTAACATTATTTGTATGCCCTTTGTATGAACACTGAAGAGTGAGTCAGTGAGATGAGTTTTACGGCACTTTTAGCAATATTCCAGCAATATCACAGCGGGGGACACCAGAAATGGGCTTCACACATTATACCCATATGGGGAATCGAACCCGGGCCTTCGGCGTGATGAGCGAACGCTTTAACCACAAGGCTACCCTACGGCCCCCGAACACTGAAGAACAAGATAAGTGCATGATGTACAATAAACACTGAACCTGACCAAGAAGCAGATCGTGAAGATCGTGTATACTTCGCAAATCAGAGAGTGCAGGGAGTCTGCTAAATTTTGTATGTGCCATATAATATTTCATGTACATATTCTTTGTTCATACAGCTGATATGTATGCGAATAAATTACACAAGCTCATGTTTTATTATGAATGTACTTCATGATTTATATTAATTTAATTTTACATTTTGAACTTTACAAGTTCAACACCGGGTACCAGCCGACTGTTGGAGTAGACTATGGATTTAAGATTCACGAAGTGGAAGGAACCGATCGTGAGTAATTTCCCGTAATATTCCATCAACCGCAATCTGTGTGAAGCTTTGTGTTCTTCTTGTGATGGATCAAGCAATTGTTTAGAACAGCCTCCCAAGTCAGTTATAGGAATGACTAGTGCTGTAACTATGCGTGGAACTATCAATGGATTGCAATTGTTAAGTCTCCGATAGCAATTAATTGATGGTAGAAACGAAAAACTATCGATGCATCGATGGTATGTGTGACTATCGATAGTTTAGTAATTGACTTCTGTTGATAAATGCGCAGCGCAAAATACAAGATGTTTGGGTGCAGACTTGCAGCTTCATTGAGTTTATGTTTTAACTGTTTACTTGATCTGGGTTTCAAGTTTCTTGTCAGTAATTAAAAGAGACTGAACTACTTCAACTTGTATTTATCGCATATACACTATACATTAATTGGGAAATAACTTCAAATGAGACATATCAAGGAGAGAAAAAACTACTGCAATAGTATTGCAATAGTTGGTCACAATAGACTATCGCTATCGCAATAGTATGTTTCAATAGACTATCGCTATCGCAATAGTTGTTTGCCCCTCAATAGTCACCCCTAGTAATGACTTGATGATCACAGATGTGAAGAATCGATCCGATCTCTGCTGTATTGATATTTCTAGTGTATTTGATGTAACAAAGAAGACACAATGTGATCGATGATTACTGATATGATATATGATATATGATATTAATGTTGATGCACCAGGTTCCCAATGGACAATCCATTGAATGCGACTCTGTCTAAGGAGATGGGTAGGGATATATGATAGGTCCTGTTTTGTCGTTGCATATTTCATCTTACAGGCAGTGAATTTCTTTGAGTGGCATTTAAATTCTTTGAGTGGCATTTTTAGAAGTTGGGAAGTACAATATAGAACAAACTTTATGGATAACAACTTCATTTTATTCGTGAGTGCAACGTTTCGATACAGATTCTTGTACCGTTGTCAAGCATGTGAATTAGCGTTCAAATTCTATTTTCACAGTTCCAAAATGCACTATTGAATAGCCAAGTGGTTAATCTAAATCGGTAATAGGTCGTGAATCTAAACACCGTTGGTTGCTTCTTAACACGAGGACAATGAAATGCCACTTTCCATGTAGTCGGTATTGCAGGCGAGACGGAGCAGTGGGGTTTTCTAGTGGTTATAACGTAACCCGATTTCGATTCTAGGGTACGGTTTGTTATCCCGTGTAGATCCGGGTTACGATTGATCTTCAGCAACCCATGCTTTGGTAAGAGGCGACTAACGGGATCGGGTGGTCAGGCTCGCTGACTTGGTTGCCACATCCCATCGTATCCCAATTACCTAGATCGATGCTCTTACTGTTGATCATTAGATTGTCTGGTCCAGACTTGATTATTTACAGACCTTCGCCATATTGCTGGAATATTGCTGATTACGGCGCAATACTTAACTCACTCACAAATTTCTGGTATCCTCAACAGTGATATTACCAAAAGCACCGTATCACTATATACGCTCCCTGTTCTGATTATGTTTGTTTGGACAAATTACAGAATGTTGAATGGTCTGTTCTTGAATGTAATGGGATATGTACAGAAACTTCCACGTGGTTACGTTGCTGTTGATATGTTTGTATTTATTCCCGCAGTCCGAGTCCACCTGTGGGATCTGTCTGGCAGTACGGAGTACATGGACGTACGGAACGAGCTCTACGGAGGAACAGATGCCATGTTCTTGGCCTATGACGTAACAAATGCGGCATCGTTCGAAACGCTGGACTCGTGGATACGAGAAGTTAAAAAATATTCATCGGGAACGCCTGAAATCGTCATCGTAGCTAACAAGGTAACACAATCCCAGATTGCGCTTTACATGTACGAGTGATTGAGTGAGAGTTGCTGAACGCCGCACTCAGCAATATTACAGCTACATGGCGGCGATCTGTAAATAATCGAATCTGGACCAGACAATCCAGTGATCAACATCATGGACATCGATCTACGCAATTGGGATACGATGACATGTGTGATGCTTCGATGGTGTTGTTTGCTAACTAGTGAGGTGTAACGTGGTCATACATATGTGTCGGACGTCTGGCAAGAGGGCGGTTATCAAATATGGTGACCATTGAGCATCGGAGTAAATGAGTTTAGTTTTACGCCGCTTTTAGCAATATCCCCACAATATTACAGCGGGGGACACCAGAAATGGGCTTCACACATTGTACCCATGTGGGAATCGAACCTGGGCCTTCAGCGTGACGAGCGTGTGTATTTGCGGAACACGTTATTCAAGCAATTGATTTGCCTGGTGTATCTGCTACAGAACTGAGATCACAAAACAAGCTAAGTTTCATGACACAACAGGTTCTAGACCTGATATACATGCTTATTTACGAAATGTTACTTTTTCACAGACAGATTTGAAGCAGAAGCGTTGTGTGTCGACAGCCGAAGGCAAAAAGTGGGCTTCCCAGAACAAGATGAGGTAACTGGGCAACATGTACCATACTTTTTCGGATTCGACCAACCAGACCAAAATGCCGCAATCACGAAATGAAAAATAAACTATTCATTCAACTGACCGCACCATCATTGGTGGACGAGAAAAAATGAACAAACTACAGTTATCATACCGATATAAAGCCATGTATAAGTTAATAATTAATGATTGATCAAATACACAGAATGCAGTATGGTCCGATACGAATGGTTAACCTTATAGTGCTCTTGTGAACGTTATATTCTATGTTTGAATTTCAAAATGAGACGTTTTACTGTCATTCATTACCTTTCCACAAACAGTTTGAGACAACATCTGTTCAAAGGAAATTTTAAAAATCGATTGATTTACATAATTCTGTATTTCCATATCGATCGATCCCACTGAAAGAAAGATGGAGAAGCAAAACGTTCTGAAAAACCAGTGTCTCCTTTTACAGAAAACACTCATCGTGTTTTACATTAGCAGAAGAAATGATATCATGTTTCTACTGTGACTGGAGTGCTTGCCTAAGAACTATGTATCAAAACTCGATAATGATACTAAAACAGAATGCACAAAAATGTTCTAAGATAATGAGGGGCGGTGGGGTAGCCTAGTGGTTAAAGCGTTGGCTCGTCACGCCGAAGACCCGGGTTCGATTCCCCACATGGGTACAATGTGTGAAGCCCATTTCTGGTGTCCCCCGCCGTGATGTTGCTGGAATATTGCTAAAAGCGGCGAAAAAACCAAACTCAGTCAGTCAGTCAGTCAGTCTAAGATAATGATAGCAGAGGTGACACATCACTGGCCACGACATAAAACTATAGTGAGTGAGTGAGTTAATATTTAACGTCACATCGGCAATATTTCAGCCATATCGTGACGACATAAAACTATAGAAAACAAACAAAAAAGACAAATAACACTGAGACTTAACATAGATAGTCCTAACAAAGGGGAGAGCTTGCGTTCCAATCAAATTCCGAGTCATAACTTGAGAAGCATAAATGATCTATTTCAACGAACCTCGGTATTTGCACTGCTCAAACGCTTTACTGGTGTCGGTTGCCGCCAATGTGAAACAAGAAAAAGAAAATAATGTCGGGCGAGGTAGACGATTTACGTTGATGCTTGACGCTGCACTAAGCAATATTCCAGGTATATGGCAGCTGGCTGTAGATAATCGAGTCTGGACCAGACGATCCAGTGATCAACAGCATGAGCATCGATCTACACAATTGGGATACGATACACTATCGTTAACTCAAGCATCATGACTGTGCGGGTATGCACCCAATATCAGAGGCTGTGAAAAAATATCACTTTTTAAATATTATCTACAACCTTTTTATTGTACATCGCCTGAAATTACACGTTGCTGAGACCCGTGTAGATCCGGGCTAGAATTAATCTTCAGTAACCCATGCTGTCGTAAGAGGCGACTAACGGGATCAGGTGGTCAGGCTCGCTGACTTGGTTGACACATATCATCGTATTCCTTATAGCTGGAATATTGCTGAGTGCGGCGTAAAACTAAACTCACTCACTCATTCACTCCCTACACTTTGCTTAAGGATTTCGTCACGATATGGCTGAGATATTGCCGATGTGACGTTAAATATTAACTCACTCACTCACTCACTTAAGGATTGCTTTACATCCATGAAATAAATGTCAGTCAGATTTTCGTAAAATGGTGCTACTTTGTGTTATTTTAGTGAGATAATCGACACAGAAATCGACATATTTTATCGTTTGATTCTTGAACCGTTCACACTATGACATTTATAAAGTAGATCTGTCAATTTTTGAACTCCATTTAAAAGGTTGATCCTGTACTTTTAAAGTAATCGCGAACAGATCTAAAATGACGAGAAATCTAACAATCCAATAACACACAAGAACAAGTGCTTGTTGCAACCAGAGACACTGACATGCAATTTACATCGCTGTCAAAGCGCTGATACCTGTCGGCGTTGTATATTGACATGAAACTTGCAAGAGCATATACTATTCGTCAGCCTTTATATCAGAGCTTTTCGTAGTCTGTCATATTAAGTACCTTTGTCAAACTCGTCAATACAGCAATCTACACGATGGAGAAGATAGCAAGCAAATACCATTTTCAACAATTGTAATCTAGAGTCATAGCTAACCGGATTCCACGCAAGACTGGTGTCCCAAGCAACATATACAGCTAGGTCGCTTTCGGCAATCGAATGGATAGGTATTTACTGGCCTTCGTAGGGACGAGAAATATTACTGAGCGCACACTCAGGATACAGACAGGACGAACGCACGCACACATCAACTAGACAGACTGAAAAGGGGCAGCAAGTCGTAGAGTACTGCCCCCTTTAGTTCCCTTTATACTGAAATTCATACTTAAGAACTGAACTGAAATTTGATTCGACTTAATAGCTTTGTGTGGTATCATTTTTCACGCAATATCTCTCCACCTCTATATATATTATTTCTAACATGGAAAGTGTCTATGTCGCTGTATCTGGTTTCATTAACCTTATACAGTGAGCCACCTTCGTCTAATAACTGCCTTTGGACATTACTAACATCCTTTACGGTGAAATATGACGGTATACATTACGCACTGTGTTGAAATGGAGCCTGTGAGCATACAATTTGCGGCAATGTGATTGCAAGATCCCAGACCCGATGTCGGGAAATAGCTACCAAAAGTTATCAAAATCTACAGGCTTGAATAATCTGTACTGAAACATATTGGAATTGTACATTTTGATATTGACTTGATATTGGTGTGGTTGGCACCGTAGTTCAGATTGTTCGGATTATATGAAAGGGCAGCTTGAGCAAATGTGATGCTGGTCTCTGATTGCGCAGGTTATTACTCTAGGTAGGATTACGGTGGCTGATAAATACGTCCAGTCTCGCGATTTTATGGAGAGACCACTAACATTAGATTATAACCGTTGTTGAGTCATACGTTCAGTATTTCTACACCTGCTCATGGATAACCAACAATGGATAATCTTTGAATATTTCGTGTATATGGAGATTGTTGAACTGAGTATGTTTTAAAGTGGAATTAAATTATGATATGAAGAACAGTCAACAATGAATAAGTGACAAAGTCTGCTGAAGACACTCGTCGGATATGTCGAGTATTCGGCTAGAGCGGATAGCTGGTCGACTAAAACGAGCATCTAGGAAAAGCGAGTAGTCGGTTATATCGAGCAGTTGGTTAAAACTCATATTGCTAGTTGTGGAATATAGCGAGTTGTTGGTTGCAGCGAGGGCGAATCAGTGTAATTGTAAGTATCGAACCTGATATGACCATATGATTTTGAAAGTCTATGAGTTTTTTGTGAGTGTAGTTTTACGCCGCTTTTAGCAATATTCCAGCAATATCATGGCGGGGGACACCAGAAATGGGCTTCACACATTGTACCCATGCACGTGGGGAATCGAACCCGGGTCTTCGGCGTGACGAGCCAACGCTTTAACCACTAGGCTACCCCACCGCCCCTGAAAGTCTGTAAGGCTCTTTACATCCGTAGTAGACTCCAGTTTGCTGGTACAATGTCTGTTGACATCGGGCTTGAGTTCCACGTGTTTAGGAATTAGCAGATAATGTGGCATGCAATAATATTCTTGTTTGTTCGCTTCTTATGACGGCAGTCTGTAAGTAATCGTGTCCGGGCAGATCATCACGAGCATCAATCTCTGCTATGGGGACACAATGACGTGTGTCAGTCAAGTTAGCCAGTCTGACCAGGGAGACTCTGGTCGTAGACGATGATTGGTGTGGTACCGATAAGATTCATAATCGTAGGTTGTGGGATTCGAAATCCGATCCTGTGACGGCCAAGGGACCCAAATCTGCTTGATTGATTGACACTGGTTTACTAAGTCCCCTGACAATTAATTATATTTCTAAGGTTATTTTAATAACGTTTACACTCGCAACGGAAACTGACGGAGATAACCGAGTCACGTACGTTCCTTTGTTCCAGGTACTACGAGACCTCGGCAGCGACGGGAGAGGGCGTGGTTCAGCTGTTCGGTGATCTGTTGAAAGGCGTCTACAACCGGAGGGAAGGGGGTAAGCCGAACTCCACGTGGTCACAAAAATGGGATGCCCAAAGACTGTCTGACCTATGTAGCCCCCTCCCGGACAATGAAAGGGGAAACTCGGCCCGGGTGTGACCACTGGTCACTCAAGACAAGAGTCCGACATGATCTGATCCGTACAAGAACCATTGGTTGAGGATGGTGTTTTTTCAGGGATGAGAAGATTCACTGATGTAGCTGTCATTGGACGTTGTTGTCACGGATGACCTTTCACGTGGATAGAAACACTGATTGGTCACTTGTGGACTGGGGAAAATCATTGATCGCTGATCAGATGGCTAGCCGCTAGACAACTGATTGGATGGAATCATTGATCGACAACTGATCAGATGGACGGGATAACCGCTAGACAACTGATTGGATGGAATCATTGATCGACAGCTGATCAGATGGACGGGATAACTGCTAGACAACTGATTGGATGGAATCATTGATCGACAGCTGATCAGATGGACGGGATAGCCGCTAGACAACTGATTGGATGGAATCATTGATCGACAACTGATCAGATGGACGAGATAGCCGCTAGACAACTGATTGGATGGAATCATTGATCGACAACTGATCAGATGGACGGGATAGCCGCTAGAAAACTGATTGGATGGAATCATTGATCGACAGCTGATCAGATGGACGGGATAACCGCTAGACAACTGATTGGATGGAATCATTGATCGACAGCTGATCAGATGGACGGGATAGCCGCTAGACAACTGATTGGATGGAATCATTGATCGACAACTGATCAGATGGACGGGATAGCCGCTAGAGTGAGTGAGTGGAATCATTGATCGACAGCTGATCAGAGAGATGGGATAGCCGCTAGAAAACTGATGGGATGGAATCATTGATCGACAGATGGATGGAACCATCAACAGCTGACCAGATTATGGCATCGATTGACAACAGATCAGATGGACGAAATCGAGGATTCACAACTGACCAGATGACAGAATCATTCACCGACAACATATCCCTGAATCACGAGTGTCAGGTGGATGGAATTATGATCGTTACGGAGGAATGATGTGAATACGGGGAAGTGTTCGTGAAAATTCGACAGGAAACCTACATAATGTGTCATGAATGTACCATAAATTAGAAATATTGCCATCGATGATTGTCAAGACACAAGTATGATGAATGCATCACCAAACCGATTCATGAGTCATGGGAGGTGGTTAAACGATCCACTGTGTTGTATTATCCGTCAATATTGTCTTTGTGTACAGTGGGTTGCAGTTACAGGCAACATGAACTGACACTTGGTAATGTCCTCCTGTGGTGAGTCTGGTGACCAGTGTATAGTAGCTACTATTCTCGCCGACAAACAGAAGTGTGGTTGGTCTGATCCAAGACAAATGTGGCTGGCTACGACTTATTTGGTGTCTTCACGGACTCTTGGCACAGACTCCCCACCGTAGCACTTGCTGCTGTATTACTCAGCGTTTTCCTGTACGGTTTGCGCGGAGAAGCTTCTGTGTATGCCCTAGGTAACTTGTATTAAAATTGTAAATAACCAATATGAAAAATTGTTTAAAATAAAAAAATTTCTTCTTGGATGGTGACTGGACAAAACACGTTAAAATACCACATTACGCTCAGAATAATGTCCTACATGGTTGGATGTCATCAAGGACATATAACGGTACAAATACAAGAGAAATCTGGTATGATGATAGCAAAAAACATAGCGGTGACAGTTGCGTGGCACATCACAGCCATTCACTAAACACATTCATATTCTGTAGAAACACTTCTGTACTTACATTGTGTCGATTGTATGGATTAATATGTTTTTGCCAATTTACAGCATCAAGAAAACAAATAGTAACATATTTTTCAAACGGGAATTTTTCTTTCAGGATAAAAACGTAAATCTTTGTGATTCGGGCAAAATATGCATACGAACTATAGGTGGTGAATAGTCAACATCTTCACTGCACTTACATGCATAAACACGCACAATGTTACAAGCACCACACTTTCGACTTCAGACAGTAGCCTGCTTGTAATGACATTAACAATTTAAAGGCACATTGTCATGGGTAGATAGTTCACAGGGTCATGAAGAACTCAGTGTGACATTACCGGAGTTGGTAGGTAGCGTCAGGCCACCATTCATCACAATTCGCCCTTTAAGGGTTTGTTTGCCAGACCTCTTGGCCTTGTTAGATGGCAGTGTCACTGTCCTGGTGCTTTTTCCTTCTGGGGATCTCTCAGTTTTTCTGGATGCCGCTGTCGCGATATTTACCTGTGGGCATGGGTTATCTCCTCCTGTGTGGCGCCCGGACCCTAACTTCACACCAGGATGGAAAAACTGATACTGTAAATGGTCTGTAAATAGTCGAGTCTTAACCAGATGTCCAGTGACAGCACACCTAAGCAACGGCCAATACTAGCAGGACACGGTGACATGCAATACCCCGATCTGATCTGACCATAAGATCCTCTTCAGACATCTCCTACCACACGGATCGGGCACAGGAGTGAGTGAGTGAATGAGTGAGTGGGTATGGTTTATCGCCGCTTTTAGCAATATTTTATCGATATCAAGGCGGGGGACACCAGAAACAGGCTTCACACATTGTACCCATGTGGGGAACTGAACCCGGGTCTTCAGCATGACGAGCGAACGCTTTACAAATTAGGCTATATCCCACCTCCTTTTCGGGCACAGGGCAGCTTATGATTCCTTGAGTAAACACGAGGTGGGATAAGAAGAACTGACCGACCTACACAATGTATTGTTGTCCCGGTGGCTCTTTCGTATTGTATTGGATACTACAAAGTAATTAAATGTGGAAGGAAGATTGTTGTTTCCAGATGTATCAAACCTGCCTTCTTTTGATCGTAACACTCACGCTTTGATTTGCTTCCTTTAGGGCTTTAGCACTGCGGAAAGGGCTAGGGTGTAATGCGAATCAGGGACTGTGAGACAGACAATGAAGACACTGAAAAGTTGTTGACTGTGGAGTGTATGGTAGACACTGACAAACAATGTGTTGATGTGTTTCATACAGTGTGTATTATTATTACTATTATGATTATCATTATGCTAATACATGTATTTGTATAGCGCCGATATCCAGCTCAGCTGCTCAAAGGCGCTTTATTTTTCCGTCGATCATTGGATGTGAATCATAGGCTGTGCAATTAGACAGTGATATATGATATATCATTTTAACATAATCATTGCGTGTATTATGCTGTGTTTATGTGTGTGTTGATGTGTTTCATACAGTGTGTATACATGTGTGTTGATGACACGTGCTCGGTCGCGTTTCAACAATAGAAAGTGCTGCATGCACCCTGCGTGGTTTTACGTACCACAGTTGAAATGGGAGGATGCGTCAGGTTAGACTTCGCCTCATAACTACCTTGTACTGCCCATTTTCAAATAATTCATTTATCCAAATGTGAAGTTTGTACAATATTGAATGGCATGCTAGTGTAATTAAAAATGTGTCCTTATCACATGCTAAGATATTTGTATAGAGGTTGTGTGCATGTGACTGACATTCCCCACTCAACTGGCACCGTCGTCACTAGTGGACACTTCATACTGATCCACGCACGTTTCGTTTTAATATGTTGCGTTTTAGTAAGACTCGTACGCCCGGCACAGTCTGGTTCCACGAGTGTAGCGACCAGAACTGGGATACGACTGTAGCGACCAGAACTGGGATACGACCAGAACTGGGATAAACAGTCCACAATTTCGTAAAACCCTATTTACTGCAGTACTGCTCCCGGTTAACTCTAAAACTTAAGTCGATATATGCCACTCAATTAGTATTCCGTTAGTGTACACTACAATCTATTCTTTTATATGTATGCTTTCTGGTCTGTGATGTGTCACACAGCACGGGATGTTATTAATGTTGACGCTGGTTGTCGTGATGTAATGTTCCGATTATAGACTACATTGTTCTATATTTAGAACAGGAATTCCCAGATTTGGCCTTCCTGCTACGCAGGTTTAGAGGTTATACTACACTAAATGAGAATCGCTTGCTCACTGAGCGAGATGCGTATGTAAACAAATGAAGAGATAAAGACATGTGACAGCTGTGATTGGATGAAATAGTGTAAGATGTTTATGTTTTTTAAAAGCATATCCAACCAGTAATTAAAACTGACCACAATTTTAAGTGTTCAGTGCTGTGATTTCCATCACCATGACTTATAGACGGGGGAATATACGCATCACACCACACTACCCTTGAAAAATTCTAACAAAAGGTTTCTCAGTGGTTTTCACTTCTACTTGGTATGGTTATCAACAGAAAAAAAGTCTACCAAAATCCCACTGTGCAAAAGGGGTTAAAATCGGTTATTTCTATAACATGGTATCAAGCAGCAGCCAACTACAAGCGATACAGATGAAGAACAAGTTTTTAGGTGAGTAGTATCCACTGCTTGTTTACATTGGAGACAACACATTTGCCAGCATATTTACATGAAGTCTTCTTCCTGCCCATAATGTCAATTTAATGGAAATGGTAATTATTGAGATATGAATTTTGTTGAGTTAGAATATACATCAGCTTAAACTACTCCAAAAAATGGTGTATGATATTAAATGTATAAGTAAATCCATCTCAATGAATGTGCTGTCTGCTATGATGTCAATATGACCATCAGAAGTATATCTACATCGAATAATGGGTAATCCATAATAAAACTTATGATAATAGTTGTTAAATACCAAACAAACAAGATTCACAACAATGTTCATTGAGGAAATTGTAATATAAAGCTTAATTTCAAAGAAAAGTGCAGCAAATTTACAACACCTCCAGCCCCTCTGCTTGAGCCAAGCTCCTCTGCAGTGTGTTTCACTTTCTCTGCATGGAGTTTGACCTATATAAAAAACTGTTTTCTTGATGCCTTATCATACATTCTTAAATACCCAGATGAATTTTTAAATATGATTTTTTTTTTAAGTAGTACCTACTTTTTATCATAATTTCCTATAAAGTTACATGTGAACCATTTTAAACAATTAGTTTTATATTGATTGATATAATTTCCACAAACATAAAACACTTAAGTGCCCTGATTAAGAAAAATGAATCTGAATTTTAATGTTTTTCAAATAAAATATAATGCAAAAAATCCTATTTTGATCATGATATTTTAGATTTATAGTAATGAATGAACATGAAATATTTAAGTGCTTTGCCTAATAAAATTCAATTGCATGAATATAAGATCTTGCTATTTAATTTGGATTTTTGAACAAATAACTATCTAAAGCATTGACATATGAATAGGTATGAAAAATGTTATTATCTCTACATATATTTTTGGTTATAATAAAACTTAAGTTTAATGTTGTCTTATGATGTTCCAATATACTAGTATTAGCAAAAACTTTGAAATCGAGGAAAAATAAAAATGTTTTATAGGAAATAAATATTACCATCTTTTCTCTATATAAATGCCAGTGTGAATTGTACCACTGTTTCATCATTTGTTTCCAGACCACAGTTGGAGAACACTTATTCAAGTGTCAGTTATGTCTGAAAAGACTTGACAATGGCCGCGGACATTGTGAATATTCGGCCAGAAGGGAGCCGATGGTATCAACGCTGCTAGTGCTCAGAGAGGTGATGACATTAGTGTGGAAGCAGGATGCAAGGTGCACTTGCACTGTCGCAAACAGTATATCAATCAGCATGATATTGAAAATCAGAAGAAGAAACAAGAGACACAAAACCCCTTTGAAGCCAAGTTCTCGTGGTTTTGAAGGATACTTTCAATAGTAATTCGACTGTATATTTTGTGGTAACACAGTTTCCTTTGTAGTCCAGATTTCAGCTACGCTAAGACTTTCAACTTCGCAAAATCAATACTAGATTGTTGCAAAAAAAGATGTGATGATTGGTCTCTTGCAGTGAAAGGACGATTCAGTACTATGGAGGAGATCTGCATGCAGCCGATTGCATCTATCATCATCAGTGCAGTGTACACTTCCGTAATGGCAGTGATGTACCAGTGAAATTCGCGTGATGTCCCTAGAACTAAAACACCTGGGCGGCCTAAAGACAGTGATCAAGAGCAGGCTTTTGCTAAAATGTGTTTGTATCTCGAGGACAATGATGAGGAACAGATGACTATTACATACCTTCGGGAAAGAATGAGGAAGTATCTGATGGGTGAAAATTCTCTCCCTACACCAACTCCCATTTGAAGAACAAACTGAAGGAACGCTTATGGGGACTCTATCTATATAGCTGACAGAGAAGGACTAAGTGACATTATCACATTCAGGGAGAAAACATCTAATATCCTCCAAGCATATTACAAAATGCAGAACGTGAAGGTGACGAGGAAACACAAAGAAGGCCATAATTGCGATCGCTGCAAGATTGATCAAGAGTGACATTAAAACAGATGTACCAACTTCTACTGATTGCTATCCAAAGTCAGAAGAACTTGGACTTGATTCTGCACTGTCATTCCTTCCAGATACACTACAGAACTTGCTCAACTGTCTGTTTGTTGGAAAGAACAAATCAAGAAAAAAGTTGCTGCTATTGGCCAAGCCATAATACAGGCAGTCAGACCAAGGGCTGTTATTGCACCTCTCCAGATTGGCCTCGGGTACAAGTGCATCACCTTTATCGCCAAAATTCCTTGTGGGAAACATTGTCTTGCATGGGGGTACAGTTCATCATACAGGGAAGTATTACGCTTTGAAAAAATGCTGCAAGTTGTGTCACACCTCGACTTGCTGCTTGAAGAGCAGGATGTGCCAGACATATCAGTATTGTTTGCCTGTGACAATGTTGATCACAACACCATTACCATCGATGGGAAAGGTACCTTTCATGGAATGGGCATGATAGCTGCAATGACTCCAGGTGGAAAATCATGTCATCTGGTAACAAGGCAAAGAACATCAGAACTGAACATTGCAAGAATGTCAAAAATTGATATTAAAGAATACAGATTCACTCAGCCATGTTCTTCACAAGGTTAAGTTCAAACACCTCCCTTGTTTTCAGGCCTGTGACAGAATGGTTGATATTTTATGGGAACTATCCTTCAGTTTCAAGCAGACAGTTCAATTGGCAGGGGATGATGCACATCCTTCATCAAAAACAGAAACATCCCGGGTGTGTCCTCTATAGTCTATCTGCCCATGATTGATATGTATCCAGGTGACAAGTCATGCATTCTGTCAACGTTGGAATACCTGACCAGCCTATCCTTCAGACACAATATCTTTCCAGTGGTAACATTCGACCAGCCCTTGTATTGGAAAGCATCCGAGGTCATTCAAGCTGCACCAGGGGAATAGCCCTTTGAAGAGTATCATACTTAGGCTAGGTACTTTCCACATGTTCATGAATCTACTTGGAGCAATAGGCACACTGATGGCTGGGTCAGGTCTGAAAAACATTCTGGAAATAGTGTATGGTGAAAATGCCGCGGTTCATATGATGTCTGGCAAGGCTGTTCAAAGGGCATTTCGTGGGCACCTTCTAGTAGACAAATGTCTCCACCAAATGATCTTGAAATCGGCAGTGGAAGATAACCCAGATCTTGCAAACCATGTGCTTGAAATTGAGAAAATTTATTCCTCCTTGTTAAAGGGAGACAAACAAATTGAAGAACTCAGACAATCAGTGTCCTTCATTCAAGTGATCAATGAACTTGACAAAAAGAAGTCCAGACTTAGTGCAGACTCCAAAACAAGCCAGTTGTGGATAGGATATCAGAAGATGCTTGTCACGTACTCGAGAACTGATCAAAGCTGATCGCACTGGATCCTGGGATGATCATCTCTGTGCTATAGCTAATGCATTGCCAATATTTGCTGCAGCTGGACATTACAACTACCTAAAGTCGGGCTTACCTCTATAGTCAAGATATGGCTGAGCTGGACACCAGAAACCCAGAAGTTTTTAAGAAGTTTCAAGATGGTTTCCTATGTGATCCTAAGAACAAACCAGTTTTGGGCAGGCCTCAGTAGTGATCTAGTCATCGAACAAACACTAATGAGATCAATAAAAGCACAGGAGGCTTGACCCATGGCAGTAAGATGACAGAAGAACAGCGAACACTATGGACAATGTCAGCACCCATTACCTCTGAGTTGAACATTGCCATGCAAAACTTCAATGAACTCACATACTCCACAAGTGAGCAACATAAAGAAGCCAGTGTCGCCAGGATTGAGAGAGACGCTTCGATCTGTTGAAGATACATTCCAAACTCTCTTCTTGCTCTCCTTTCACCTCAGACCCAGCTGAGAAATATCATCAATGGTATCGTTGCAAACGAGGATGCAAAATGTTCATGAATATGACTCAATAGGGAAAAATATTATTGACAAAATGGTTGGACAGCCTGTATATTCTTTCTCCATCAAAAGGAAAGAGAAAGCCAAGACCTTGGGAAATTCTGCTGCTGTCCAGGTTGTTCTGACAGAACAATGGATCCCAATTTGCTGTTTCAACGATTCCTGGTGGTGTCAAGAACAGGGATGTGGCATTTGAAGAAGTGCTGAAATATGAGTTAAGTCCATACCCACCATCTCTGTTTGAGGACAATAAGATTATGAGAAAGGCAGACAAACCTCAACTAGCTGAAGCTGTCAATGATCACTGTAAAAGATAGCAAGATGTGATCACACATCAGATGTCATCCCACAGACTGAAAAGTATGTGCTAGATGGAGAGCTCCTTGCTACACAAGCTAAAGTGGAACAACGGTGACACTTACGGAAAATTGCCAAGGGATATGGAGATTTCACAACAAGGCACTATGGGATGGCAACTATTGTTTTTGATGGGTATGGGACTGGCCCTTCAATAAAGGATAACACACACCAACGGGCGGGGACAAAAAACAGCTTCCGGACTGTTAACTTTACACATGAAACTGAATTTGAAGGGAAGAAGGAAGAGTTCCTATCCATAGACAAAAACAAACAAGGTTTAATCAACTTGATAAGTGAGAAACTTAAGGAAGCTGGATGTAAAGTCATTCAGGCACATGGAGATGCAGATGTTGACATCGCAAAGACTGCAGTAAACAGTGCAAAGACCCATTCTACCACACTGATCGGAGAGGACACTGACTTATTGATTCTCTGTGCTGCATTACTGTATAGCAGGTGGGAATTCACTCTATTTCAGATCAGACAATTCTTCAAAAGTCAGTCTGAAAGTGTACAACATCAACTGGATGAAGCAACTTCTTGGAAATAAGCTGTGCACCCAACTGTTATTTCTGCACTCATTTACAGGCTGTGATTCCACGTCTCGGATTTATGGCATTGGGAAAAAATCAGTGTTCCAGAAACTTGTCAAAGGTGATCAAGCCCTCCAGCTATGTGCAGATACTTTCACTGCAAAAGAGGTAGAACAAGCAAAGATAGAGGAAACCGGTCGCCAGGCCATGGTGATCCTATTTGGTGGAGAGAGAAGATGTTCCCTGGCTGCATTGCGCTACAGTGTGTATTCACAAAAAGAAGGTTGTGGCTGCTAAATCTTTTGTTACACCTGAACGCCTTTCCCCAACGGAATCAGCCACCAAGTTTCACTGTCTCGCCTGCCTATTATCAGGTCATGGTTTGATGGACATGCAAACTAACCTCGATCCATTGCAATGGGGTTGGAAACTTGAAGACAACCACTTTGTTCCCATCATGACATCACTAAATGCTGCTCCAGACAGTCTTATCAAGATCATACATTGTAACTGCACAACTAGTTGCAGTTCCGCAAGACGCCATGCAGCTGCAGAAAGAATGGACTTCTAGACGAGCTAACGGCACATACTCGGACAACCTAGCTAAAACGAGAGATGGGGTATTCGACCTGGATTATTCTGTGTTCCTGTATCATGCAATCATGTTTATCAAAGTGTCCAGAAAATGTGGATAGTGAAAATCAATGTGGAAATTCAGGAACGAAGTACCACTGTCAGTACGACGCCGGCTCCGATACAACGACGGCTGTCTGTGTACGTGAAGTAAACTGCAGTGCAGGTAGGAGGCACACTTGATGTACCCATGTACATTTGCTGTGGCATTCGGCTTCAAACCGTTCTTTCGTATATACTTGGCAACCATGAGAATCCACCGTCATATATTACTCACTGTAGCTTTGAAAAACCGACAAACAAACAAATCTCTACTCGGCATTTCACCTGTCGCCCACCTGCTTTCGGTTTCTGTTTGACAACGCATGACTGTGACACAGCAGGAAACGCGACCCACTTTGAAAATGCCCTTAGGGACCGTTCATAATTTATGGCTGGGGGGTGGGTTGGGGTGGATGGGTTCAGGGATACTCTACAACAGGGCCTTATATAGTCTCCCTGGTGGGTTGGATGATGATTTTTAAGGGGGGTCACCCATTTTGTTTTGGGGAGGTAGGGGGGTCATCAATTTGTCCACATGTACTAGGGGTGGTCAGCAATATTGTACATAAGAATATTAAAAACATGCTTAAAATTAAATTATCTGAAGGAGTGGGGTGGGGGCATTGATTTTTGAACATAATATGCAAGGGGTTCACTTACTTTGTACGAAAATTTTAGGGGTTGGGGGGTCGTTCACATTGTACATGCTTCTCCATAAAAATCATCTTCATCCCCCCTAGCCATGAACTATGAACGGTCCCTTATTCACTGACAAAATGCATTTTTGTGCACACTTCTGCGGGCGGTTATAGACATAAAAAATCTGCCAGAGAATATGAAAGCAATAATGAATATATGGCTAGTGGGTCATAATTTTGAGCAAAGAATATTCTGTTTTAACAAATTACCTTAAATAACACCCCTTTATGAATGGTGTTAAATAGGGATGGCTATCGTTATACACCATAGAGATCGATAATCGTGGAATAATTATCGATCAAAGATCGATAAATATCGGAGAAATAACTCATTTAAAGAATGAGAGTTTGGGGAATATGTGAGTATTAAGTGAAACATCTCTCCCTCTCTTTCTCTCAGAGTATTCAGTCCCTAATAATGATCACAGTCATGCTGTTTTCAATACTGCACACACTCTAATGCGCATGCATGCACACACATGCACAAACACACACACACACACACACACACACACACACTCTCTCTCTCTCTCTCTCTCTCTCTCTCAGATCACATACTGTTATCATTCTCAGGAACATTCGCTGCTCTCAATACAATCGAGAAGCAAGTGACGTGCACGCCATGCTCTCCAGAGATGTACCAGCCCCGTGCCAAAATCTCCACGGCTTTCACTCAGCCCAACTGTGACTACAGAAAAACTCCATGTGAAGAAGGCGAACTACAATGTGGAGGCGACTCCCCATCACAGAACTTCCAGTGTAGATGTGATGAAAATAAAGGATATAGACCTAATCCCCATGAAGGATGTGACTGTTTTATCAAGGACTCCAGTCACTGTGCATGCCAGCAGCACCAATGTAGACCTGGCGAAAAGTTAAGAGCAAGTAAGTGTCGTACAAATATGAATTACGTCAACGCTGCTTTATATAGTATTTCAGTTACATCATGGTTGACAGATCAATGCAACAATTGCTATATGTGGGATAACACTATTTTTGTCAGTGGAAGCACAGGTGGCAAATGGTATAGGGCGTTGGAATTCGCTGTACAGAGTTGCGCTACTTGGACAGGCCATAAAATGTTTGATTTGGGGTTTGAATCATGGATCGATGATGTATCTAGGTTTGTCAGCGCCGAGATGGTGATGGTTACTTCGGTCTTTCCTCCCACATTAACCTGACACGTCGTGATCTAAATGGACTACTCACTTCAAATCCAAGACTCACTGACTCTTAGAGACCGCATCCGTGATGTAGTGGTTAGAGCGTCCGCCCGGGAGGGCGGAAATTCGCGGGTTCGATCCCCAGCCGCGTCATATAAAAAAAATATGAATATGGTACTTGTTGGTCCCTGCCTGGCGTATTAATGGGTACAACAAGGACTGGTCGGCTTGGAGTCAGTAAAATGTGTCTGAGTGGGGTATTCATGCTTAACTGCGGCATGACATCTCAGTGAACTAGCACTATAAAACCAACTTAAGTCTGGACTAGTACAAGCGGCCACACATACACACGCATGCGCGTCATCATATGAGCAAAATATTCTTAAGTGTGACGTTAAACCCCATTTCACCTCACCTCACCTCACTGACTCTTAATAAAGTGCAAACTCGTTTGGTTGGACTCACACTCTCAGAGTAAAATAACAAAGTCAGCGGCCTAACTCACAAAGCCACCGAGGCTTCCACAAAAAATTGACATCGGGAAACTGGTAGTGTAGATCACCTACTTGTACCTGTAACAAGTGTAAATTAGCATGTCCATGACCGTAAGCTATGAATAGACAGTTCCCTTTAGGAAGGTGTCAATTGTAACATATGTTATATTTTAAAATTATGTCAATGAGGTACGAAATTAGCCTTTATGGCTCTGAAAACTGTGATAAAAAGATCATAGTTTTGAGAGTTCAAGGACCATAATCCTGGTCAATCTCGTATTCAAACCCACATGGATGTCCAGTGCGAGTAAGGGACGTAACTTTGGCACTTTAAATCGGTTCATATATATACGAGGCACATAAAGAAACTGTGCATTGTCAGATTATTATCCCAGTTGATAAGTACGATAACAATGTCAAAGGTACATATAAACTTTAATGGAGGGATCATGAGACCATACCAAGTCGGGAGAATTTCAACTGAAAAGTCAATTACAATGACGTCACGAGTCCACAAGCGGAACAGGGGTCAAACGACCATGTCACAAGCTCAGTAACGGGTATGTCTACCATCGGCATTGAGAACAGCAGTGCATCGACGACGCATAGAGCCTATCAAACGTGCAGGAAGGCTTGTGGGATGTCACGCCAGATTCTCTCAAGTTCTGTTGCGAGGTCAAGGACGTTATCTGGCGGATGAGGAAGACGGCGTAGACCTCGATCCATCTCATCCCAAACATGCTCTGTCGGGGAGAGATCCGGTGAATTTGCAGGCCAAGGCAGTAAGTCAACGTTGTGGTGTTGCAAGAAATCCATAGCATCCCTTGCCGTATGAGGGCGGGCATTGTCCTGTTGGAATGTTAACCCAAGGTCATGACGTTGCAGAAAAAGAATTGCCACAGGTCGAAGAATCTGATCCCTGTAGCCCACACCAGTTAAGTTGCCTGAACAATCACCAAAGGAGTTCTTTGGTGTGCTGTTATTCCACCCCAAATCATCACGGGGAAACACCACCAAAGCGATTCCTCTGCAAGACACAGGCCTGTGCATAACGTTCTCCCACGCGTCTATAGGCACGTTGACGTCCATCACTATGGGAAATGTTAAACCTTGACTCATCTGTAAAAACAACATTTCTCCACCAAAACAAGGGTCTGCGGACATGATTTCGGCGAGCTTGTCGATGACGTTGTGTCAGGATAGGCCGTATGGCGGGACGTCGTGGTCCAAAGTGACAGTATTGTGTGGCATTCATTTGCTCTGTTTCTCTTTGCCGGAATGCACGTGCAACAACGTATTGCATGTCTCAAGGACGAACCCACTGACGTCACGTAACGTGGCACGTGCATGCATGTTGGATACATGTCACTTATCTCTGAGTTTAAATCCTTACGTGTCTACACAGGTTTGATAAATTTAGATTTTAAATTTTTGTATGCACAGTTTTTTTATGTGCCTAGTATATTTAAATGACACTCAGGTGAAAGTGTGAAAGGTAAACTGTAAAGGGAGCTGTTTGTAGCGGTATACATATTCGGGGTAAAATGGTATGCTCACACCAGTTATGGTACGTATTGCGGTACAAGGCATTCGGTTGGTCCGTGCGGTATATGAGATATCATCATAATGTAGAAGAAGAAAAGAAATGCAAAGATTTTGACAAAATGATTCGATTTCTAGACATAACAGAAAAGGTTTTAAAAAGTTCATAATATGACGGTACGAAAACAGAAGATACCGAATGTTTGGATTGCATTACGGTATGCCGAACCCAAGTCAAAATACCGCGGTTCTACTAATACCGCGGTATACCGTTTCACCCCTAATAAATATAATCAAGTATTAAATGTTTTGGTATGAGGTCAATACCAGGCGTGTACATAATTGTATAAGGAATCTTATTTAAGTCAGCCAGCATATGAATATTTTTTAAACATCCCAACCAGAATGTTTTGTTTTCACTTAGTAATTCTTGAATGTAACATATACTCTCCCAAAAAAGAAACGCATATAGGAATTTCAACTGTATTTTTATGTTTATTTTGAAACATCTTGTAGGCTTTATAAGTCAATGAAATATAGCGAAATTGCACACTGGGAATGCAGACTTATCCGTCTTTGGCACCAACTCGAGGAAAGTCAGTTTGAGTGTCACATAGAGACGTGTGGTGGCGCTGAAGTCAATACCTCGTGTGACCATCGTGGGCATCCAGAACTGCACGGCATCGCCTCGGCATCGAACGAATAAGTCTCAGAATCTTGTGTTGCCCAATCGCAGCCCACTCTGTCTGTAGTGCCTGTGCGAGTTGCTGAAGTGTCTGGGGCTGAGGGTTACGGCGTCGCACCCGTCTGTCCAGGGCATCCCACAGATGTTCGATCGGGTTTAAGTCCGGTGATCTTGAGGGCGCGCACATTGATGTTGTGGTTCTGGAGGAAGTCTCTAGTGTGACGTGCTGTGTGGGGCCTGGCATTGTCCTGTTGAAACAACTCCCTCTGGCGATCAATGATTGGAAGGAGGTGTGGGCGTAGGATTTCGTCACAGTACCGTTGAGCTGTCAGGTTGCCCTGGATCACCACGAAATCACTTCTCCTACGGCAGGTGATCGCTCCCCACATCATAACACTGCCCCGGCCGAATCTGTCCACCTGGGTAACGCAAGCGCCGGCGAAACATTCACGTCGACGTCTGTACACCCGCATTCTTCCATCGCGTCGTTCCAATAGAAATTCTATGCCACTTCGGTAGGTTCCAGGCCTGAACGTTGGTGCACCATTGATCTCGATGTCGATGATGTTGTTGTCGAAGCACAGGGCCAAAATAAGGTCTTCTGGCACGTAAACCAGCCTCTCTCAACCTGTTCCTGATGGTCTGTGCAGAAAGCCTCCTCAATCCGGGTATTTGTCGAGCGGTACTGGTCGCCGTAGGTGTTCGATGACACAGGTGATGTACCCGGATGTAGCGATCCTGTGCCGCAGTAGTCGCTCAAGGTCGCCCACTACGAGGGGCATCTGCTACCGCACTCTGCCGGCGATATCTCTCCCAGAGCCGTGAAATGGTGCTTTGGTGAACATTCATGTGTCGGGCAACTGCACGTTGAGACTGGCCAGCTTCAAGCAAACCAATGGCGATATGACGATTGGCTTCACTTAGACGTGGCATTTTGCGTTCGTCAACAATATTCCAAATATAGTGAATAATCGACAGACAGCAGTCAACCTTTTATACCTATCATTGAGACTATCTGATCCCCAACTTTCACGTGCATTGCATGTGAATTATGTATTCTGTGACAGTACACGCCGAAATTGAAAATCATGCTGTTAAATACAGGTATTTTATGGATGGTGCGTTTTGTTGTGATGTTTCAAAACATTAACACCATAGGACTCATAAACAGAGCAAAACCTTTTGTAAAATGAATCACCTTTTAATTCATTGCTACATGCAATTGCTATTTTCATGATGCGTTTCTTTTTTGGGGGCGTAGGATTTCGTCACAGTACCGTTGAGCTGTCAGGTTGCCCTGGATCACCACGAAATCACTTCTCCTACGGCAGGTGATCGCTCCCCACATCATAACACTGCCCCGGCCGAATCTGTCCACCTGGGTAACGCAAGCGCCGGCGAAACATTCACAGAGCAAAACCTTTTGTAAAATGAATCACCTTTTAATTCATTGCTACATGCAATTGCTATTTTCATGATGCGTTTCTTTTTTGGGAGAGTATATATACATCGGGAAAATAATTAAGTAGTACATAAACTCCCAGACAAAAGAAAGGATCCATCCTTTTATGATGGTAGCTTAAAATGAGTGAGTGGGTGAGTGGGTATGGTTTTATGTCGCTTTTATCAATATTCCAGCAATATCACGGTGGGGAACACCAGAAATGGGCTTCACGCACTGTACCCATGTGGGGGAATCGAACCCGAGTCTTCAGCGTGACGAGTGGACGCTTTACCTCAAGGCTACCCCACTGCCTAGCTTAAAATGTATAAAAAAGCTGTACTTTGGACCCTACATTTGCGTGTTGTCGGTGACCGGTTTCGTTATGAAGAACGTTTTGATAACGTTTGCAATTTTTTGGACAAATCCATTATCCAAATTTATACTTTCTTTTGCCCGTCAGTATATTTTCAGATAACACAGAATTTGTTACAATCGCATCCTGTATTTTTCTGACGAAGCAGATTTGGTTTTGTGTACACCACAGACACCGAAATCGATGTCAATGTTTCATGAAAAAAATATTTGACTTCTTTTCGATTTCAGATTTTGTTTTTCAATTGTTTACATCAGTTATTCTCTTTTTACCGTTACAGATTTCACTTGTGTACCAGTCAGTAAACCAACTATGTAAGTATCATTTCTTGCAGCACATTCGCCCCCTTTTCGTGACTACCTGCTGTTTTCTGTGATCCGTTCATATTACTTTCACCATTATTGAGCAATGTAAGTCATATCCAGCTTTGTCAGATAGTCGAGACGGCCTACTCGGACTGGCTGAAGAAGCTATATCACCAAACTTATTGTATCCCATAAAAATATTATGTGAAAACAGTGGACTCTACTGGCTCCAAGCTAACACAGGATATGTCTATGTGGATCTGTTTTTAAAATGTGATTTGATTTTACACACGAAGGTACACTTTTAACATGACATTAAATAAGTATCCTAGATATCCTTGAAAATCAATAATTTTGCTTTGCAACAACAAATTTGCAACATTTCAAAAGTAGACAGGTCCAATAAAGGTCGGAACACAAATTTGAGTTCTTTCAGATTTTAATAGGTTGGGGAAAAAGGCGGCAGTTTGCTAGACTGCTTACAGTTCTCGCCCTGCAACACAACAAAATTGAGATAAGTACTTGCACAATAAATAACAACAAACAGAGAGAGTTGTTGGAATAAACACTAGGGAAATATTCAATTTATGAATATTTATCCTATACTACTGCTGCACCTTTATTGTGATAATTACTGCAAATCATCACCACTGTGATAATTGAAAAGTACCAATAACAAACACTCAAATATATTCACCAAATATATATAGCACCAAACACTCAAGAAACTGTAATTCCTAGTCATATTTACAAATATGATATTGCAGTTGAGGATTCTCAAATAATAAAATGAATAATACACTTGTCCACATAAACATTTAATGAGTTATATATTTATTTAGTATGGCGTGAGAAGTAGGTCATGTGCACATCTTACCTACTTACATTGACAAAAAGTACTTTTTTATGAATGTTTCACCGGCGTTTCTTTTCTATCAGCTTTGAGTACGCTATTTTAATTCTTGTATTAGCTAATCGTGAATCCTGAATATGTTACTAATGTTGATCAATACCCTCACACCAGTCATGGCTGCTGTATGGTGTATGATAATTTATTATTATGAATATACCCCTGTCTCCTTCAGGAAGCCCCCAGCAACTAAAACACCAGGGGCTACGGTAGCAGCTATCATCCTAGGGGTGCTGTTGGCTATTGCTATACTGATCATAATAACTTTGGTCGTCATACTACGTAAGTGGTGTTGCTTAATATCGCCAAGTTAAATTTTTTTTCCTGAATGAAGATGTAAGATGTCAATCTGTAAATGATTTGCCCGCAAATAGTAACTGGGTTTTGTTCGTTGTAATTGCTCTTGAGATCAATTCGTTGTTACTTATAATGTGTCAACATGTATTTGTATTCTCAATATTCTATTCTTCAGCAACCCAGGCTTGTATCAGGCTGCTAACGGGATCGGGTGGTCAGGCTCGCTGACTTTGTTGACACATATCGTTGTATCCCAATGCTTGTCGTAAGAGGCGACTAACAGGATTATCTGGTCAGACCGCTGACACATGTCTTTGTATCCCAATTGCATGGAACGATGCTCACGATGTTGATCACTGGATTGTCTGGCCCAGGCTTGATTATTTACAGACCACCACCATATAGCTAGGATGTTAATGAGTGCGTTGTTGAACGCAATTGGGATACGATGACATGCGTCAACCAAGTCAGCGAGTCTGACCACCTGATCCTGTGAGTCGCCTTTTACAACCACCATGGGTTGCTGAATACCAATTCTAACCCGGATCTTACATTGTATGGGACGGAATATATAATGTATGGGAGAATTCTTCACATCGTCTTATCCAAAGCCATTGTTGTTCCAATGCAGGATATATGAACTCGGATGTCTTTTCAGCAAAAAAGAGGACAGAACAAGCCAGTTGTGAAGTTAACTGAGCCAGAAGGTAAAGTGTTCTTACTGTTCATCCATTGTGAATGTGATATATGAGGTGTGGTGTGTTTTAAGTGTTTAAACACTTAATTGTTTGTTTGTTGTTTAACATCACACTCAGCAATATTTCAGCTATATGTCGGCAGCCTGTAAATAATCGAGTCTGTCAACCAAGTCAGCGAGCTTGACCACCCGATCCCGTTAGTCGCCCCTTAGACAAGCACGGGTTGATGAAGGGATCGGGTGGTCAGGCTCGTTGACTTGGTTGACACATATCATCTTATCCCAATTGCTTAGATCGATGCTCATGCTGTTCATCACTGGGTTGTCTTGTCGGCGTTAAACAACAATCAATCAATAATGTAAAGAGCGAACCTCCTGTATATCTTCAAGTTGATTCTGATCGTTGCTTCAGTCGAAGCAGGTCCCCCCCAGCGATATGGTGCAGTTCAGGAAAGAAAACAAGCGCGGAGAACACCTGTACAACAGAATAAAGACGGTTTTCATTGAAGCTGTTGACCCGAAGGCCCTCCTGTTACGGATAGACTTTCGCGGCTTTAATGATGTAAGTACTTTGATTACTCACGTGGTCAACGTATGGGTAGTTGCATACACACTCGATTTGACCTGACATCCTAACGATTTGATTGGATAACCTATGACCTCTCAATTAGGTGACGGAACTACTTTCTCATTCATAGCAAACACATGGATTCAATCATTCTACAACTTATAATACACGTTATAATACTTCAGGGAAAAAGTTACTTTGTTACACTATATATAGGGGTAGAGTGAACTCTATTTCTTTTCGAAGATGCCAAGTGTAACACTTAATAACGATAAATCTAAGGCAAAATACAAACAAAAGCGACGATGTCGGCTAACTGAAGCGCTGTACTACTGACGTGTCTGCCCCATTACATAAGGCTCACGTTACCAGAAAAACAGGGGCGTAGCTAGTAGCTACCATTATGAAAAAAAAGCCCAGGCTTTCACATGATTGTTGCTAAAATGGTTGGGCAAGCCCTCAATACTATCTAAATATAAAGCTTTACAACCTATGGGGCTTACACGAAAAAATGGCTTGCAACGTGCCTGACAAATGGTATTTTAAACAGTCTGATGACGGTAAACGTTCAGGTTATTTTTCTTCTCTAATTATTTAAATTACATCTGTGATTAACTTACACCATAAGGGGCAATATGAACTACTACCAATTTCTACTACCAACGTAAGTTTAGATCAGTAGGCATCTGCCACATTCCACAGATGCATTATGGGAATGTAGCCTAAACATTGCGAACGTTGCTGTGTCGCTGTTTAATTGTGAGTCGAACTGAGAGATTATATCCGTCGAAAAACATAAACGTAATGTTTCGAACCGAGGCATTATATCCGTCGAAAAACATAAACGCAATATTTCCATCAGTGATGTAAGCCGAGTGAAGCAACTGTAAACTAAGAAATGGGGTGCTACGGAGTAGTTTACTGTTGGAGGCTATATGAGGCGATGACAATGCATTGTGACATGCCAAGGGGGCAGACGAGAATGGCGTAGTGACGGTAATACAGTGTGACATCATGCAAAAAGTGTACTACAGAACAAAATTCTTCTGCAACCTCTTTATAAAACCGGTTTTGGTTTGAAGTCATAAAAATAACAAAAAACCCACGCTATTTTGTCAATTTTATGCATGTGACCTGTGACCTTCCTGTGGTTTCTGACCTCGCTTTCGCTCTGTCAGATACCATAGGAAGGACACTCGTTTCGTATAATTCGTATGTAATGAGACCTCGTGAGATATTTTCTATGTGGGTGATGCTGCCATTACTTTTCAGCTGACTAGATATGACACTTTTCTTCATTTTGCAGATGAGTATATCCGCGACTCTTAAAGTCGCCTTATGTTAAAGTTGTATACTGGTCTGTGAAAGAGATTTCTAAAATGTAATGTTTTGAATTACCTGTAGTTGGACGATTTTAGACAATTGAGGAGCTCCTAGTTCGTTGATGGTGACTTTTTATATACAACTGTAACACATACTGTAACATGCTTAAGAGTATATGAAAGGATCACTTTAAATCTGTGATGACACAAGGGGTTTCTTTAAAAATGTGAAGGCATTTAAGGATTAATATTGAAAGAGTGGGATAAAGTGTTAAGGAATAATGAAGTCAGGCAATGCATTGTACAACTTCGAGAGTTCGAGAATGACATACTCTTCGAGTAAAACGTATTTCGACTGTTTTCAGGAACGACTGCATCAGTATATCGAGAAACACGCCCGAGAAGACGGCGCCGTTGAGCTCCTGCTGACCGTGAAGAGACAATTTCCCAATGACTGGTTCCAGAAGCTAACGACAGCTTTACGGCATGACAACATTGGTCTGTCGCACACTGCTGAAGAAATGGAAAAAATCAGAAACAGATTATCCAGTATGTAAATATTACATCTATGAACACGTATTGGTTTTCACATTTTCTAAAGTGCATTTCAGCAACATTGAAGATACTTACATCTGCGTATACAATGCATACTTCCACATATATGATACTTACATCTTCGTATATGATACTTACATCTTCGTATAAGATACTTACATCTACGTATATGATACTTACATCTTCGTATAAGATACTTACATCTACGTATATGATACTTTACATCTTCGTATATGATACTTATATCTTCGTATATGATACTTACATCTCCTTATATGATACTTATATCTACGTATATGATACTTACATCTTTGTGTATGATACTTATATCTTCGTATAGGATACTTATATCTACGTATATAATACTTATATCTTCGTATATGATACTTATATCTTCGTATTTGATACTTATATCTACGTATATGATACTTACATCTTCGCATATGATACTTATATCTTCGTATAGGATACTTACATCTTCGTATATGATACTTATATCAACGTGTATGCTATTTACATCTTCGTATATGATACTTATATCTTCGTATATAATACTTACATCTTCGTATATGATATTTATATCTATGCATATGATACTTACATCTTCGTGTATGATACTTATATCTTCGTATATGATGCTTACATCTTCGTATATGATGCTTATATTTTCTGTTATGATATTTATATCTACGTATATGATACTTATGTTTTCGTATATGATACTTATATCTCCGTATATGATACTTATATCTACGTATATGATACTTATATCTTCGTATATGGTACTTATATCTACGTATATGATACATATATCTACGTATGTGATACTTATGTCTTCGTATAGGATACTTACATCTTCGTATAAGAAACTTTTATCTACGTATATGATTTTTATATCTTCGTATAGGATACTTATATCTTTGTATATGATACTTATATCTACGTATATGATACTTATATCTTCGTATAGGATACTTACATCTTCGTATAGGATACTTACATCTTCGTATAAGATACTTATATCTTCGTATAGGATACTTACATCTTCGTATAGGATACTTACATCTTCGTATATGATACTTTTATCTACATATATGATACTTATATCTTCGTATAGGATATTTACATCTTCATATATGATACTTATATCTACGTAAATGATACATATCTGTATAAGATTTACGTGTACAATACGCATATCTTCGTATAGGATACTTATATATAAGATGCCTACGTATAAGATACTTACATCTACGTTTTATATGCTTACATCTTCGTAGAAGATACTTGCATCTACGTAGAAGATGCTTACATCTTCGTATAAGATACTTACACGTACGTGTACGATACTTATATCTACGTAGATACTTCTTACATATTCGTATGATACTTACATCTACATAGAAGATACTTATATATACGTATTTGATACTTACATCTGCGTGTTTGATACTTTCATCGACGTGTACGATACTAATATCTACGTAGACAATAGACCCGTGAAGATCCGGGGTAGAATAGTTCTTCAGCAACCCATGTGCTTGCCATAAAAAGGCGACTATCTTGTCGTAAGAGGCGACTAACGGGATCGGGTGGTCAGTTTCGCTGACTTGGTTGACACATGTCATCGGTTCCCAATTACGCAGATCGATGCTCATGCTGTTGATCACTGGATTGTCTGGTCCAGACTCGATTATTTACAGACCGCCGCCATATAGCTGGAATATTGCTGAGTGCGGCGTAAAACTAAACTCACTCACTCACTCACTCATACGTAGACAATACTTACATCTGCGTATAAAATACGCACATCTACATATAAAATACATGTTCGTTTTATATATGTACATCTTCGTTTATGATACTTACATCTTCGTATATGATATTTACATCTTCGTTTATGATACTTACATCTTCGTATAAGATTTACGTGTACGATACGTATATCTACGTAGTTACTACTTACATATTCATTAAAATACTTACATCCACATAGAAAATACTTACATCTACATATAAGATACTTATATATACGTATATGATACTTACATCTGCGTATATGATACTTTCATCGACGTGTACGATGTGTATCTACGTAGATAATACTTACATCTACGTATAAAATCGACGTAGATAATGCATTCGACATATAAGATACTTACATCTACATATAAGATACTTAAATATACGTATATGATACTTACATCTGCGTATATGATACTTTCATCGACGTGTACAATGTGTATCTACGTAGATAAAACTTACATCTACGTATAAAATCGACGTAGATGATGCATTCGACATATAAGATACATCCATGTATGATATACTTACATCTACGTAGATGATATTTCCTTCTACCAAGTATATACTGTTTTAGTTGCCTCAAATACACTTCCATACACACTCGTATTCAGTTAACTGTCTTATAGTTGTGTCTGTTCAAGTCAACGTATTGTTATATTATATTCAAAGCGACTTCCTTATCTTAACTCCAGGGGTTTTATGCCACCAAAGGTTCCTAATATATCATTCTTATCGGAAAAGTCGACTAACTGGATATCGGGTGATCAAAATGTCCGTTCGGTATGACTGATATTGGAATGGATGATCAACGAGGGAGAGGGTTTTCCACTAGTCCCGATCCACTAAGCGTTCGTAGCGTTACGACATTCATAAGCCTATGGTAAACAATAGAGTTGTGACCTGTCGTAACGTTACAAACACTTTGTGGATCCGTTTAGACGGATGATGTGTGTTATTCAGTGTAGTGTAATTGCATCCTTCTTGGTATTTAAAAATACATTTCTCTCTTTTATTGAGACGTAGTAATTTCCTCTGAACATGTCAGCCCATTAATCTCACTTTTTGTCGATTAGAATACATAGACACTTGAATCATTGTTAAGTCAAAATATCTTTGAAGACAATGTGTCTATGTGGTATATGCAGAATACTTTTTGGTATAATTGTGTTGTATTCCGTTTATTTTATCTTCGCAATTTTGTACTTGAAGAACGTTATCATATTCTATACATATAATTTATTTGAATTTGTTTACAACAGCTGAATAATCTGTCTAGGGAACCAGTCTAAGTAAACTTATGCTCAATATTATTTGTTACACTGCTATACTGAGTCTAACAAAACCTAGTAGAAGGTCGCATCAGCTAACCTTTGAGCGACATATGACCGTCCAATCAAACGCGAGACGGACGAACGGATTTAACCAATCAGACAACGACTATTTGTTAGGGTTCGGCGGGACTTACAAAACGGTTTTTGGATTTTCTCTTCCCTGGTCGCTGACACTGATCTATCAACAAACAAAAATCCGCATAAAACACAGATATCTGACCTGTAGTATATACGCTTATGGGTTTCTATCTACTTATATTTTCGCAAGATGACATCCTTGAATATGGACAAAAATGCTATTTTCAGCGACTGTTTACTCATTGCGTGTATCACTCGGAAGCGATCGTGCGGAAAATAGCATTCGGAATCGTTCGACTTTATGAGGTAAAGGCTCAAACGGTATGTGCGAATGTTAATTTCCGTTATTTGGTAAGCTGTGTTCTGATTGGTCAGTCCAAAAGGTTAGCTGACGCGACCTTCTACTAGGTTTAGCAGTGTAACGTTTAATACTGAGCCTAACTTTACTTAGACTGTCTAGGGAACAGTATGTGGATAGGTTCTTAATGTTCACTGGCCCGGATGTTGTTGCTGAATAAATGTTGCAAACCCTTATTATTTTACTAGCCAAAAACACTACCGATAAACTATTAATTAGAAAGCAAAAAAAAAATGGCACAAAAACTGTGACATTAAATGATTTGATAATTGGAAGAAAAACGTATGTATGTATGTACAAGAACATTCAAATAGACAGTCTGTCCAGCGTCACGGACATGTTACTTGACAATTTAAAGGTCACATGCAATTCTGATATCAGGCTTCATGGGTGGATCCAGGAATTTTGAGTGAGTGTGTATGTGTGTGTGTGTGTGTGTGCGTGCGTGTGTGTGTGCGTGCAGGGGGTTCAAACCCCCTTAACCCCCCATTGGCTCTGCCAACGCAAAAAACCCAACTTCAATGTGGTCTTAAGTCATTTTCAAAAGGGGGGTTGTCGAACCCCCTGAAACCCCCCCTCTGGATCCGCCAATGGGCTTTCAAGTAGGTAGAACTCTGTTGAACTAGATATCATAGTACTCGACATGTGTTTTGATTCTTTCGCAGGTGAAACAGCCGAAATGCGAAACAGCGGAGAACGGGTAAATATTGTTTGTTTGGAATCAATCAATTCTGACTTGAAATAGGTATTCTCTATCACACACCATTTTGTCGTAAAATATCACCCTAGTAAGTATACGGCTGTTATGCGCTTTTGGACTTTATTGACAGGGTGCCTGTTTAAACAGGCGAAGGACGATCTCTTGTAGGTTGCGTTTGGTCGACACATACCAGAGCATCATTGGTCATCGTCTCAAATAATCGGAGTCATTGAAGTAAAAGCTTTCTGTCAACAAACATGAACTCTTTGTTGTAACTTTTATCGTAACATCTATCATGTTTATTTACTCTTGTATAAGGACGCCACGCATGCGTATTGATAACCGGATACGATACACATATATACCACTTTTATCTCACGATTGTTGGCTAAAATAGCTGCGCAAACCAGCTGTGGGACCAGTTTAAGTCTTAAGTTGTCGTGCATCCAACATGTGTATGTACGGTATATCATATCGTGCAAGTTTCTTGACATCCGTAGATCATTTTTGTGTGAGTGAGTAAATATTCAAAGTTGCAATGGCAGTATTTCAGCCATACCGTGTCTTAGGTTATGACTCAGTTCAGACACCTATGGCTTACATATATATTTTTTATATTATAATTATTGCTGAAAAAACAATGCATGTATTATTAATTATACAACGTTCATGTATATCTCACTCACTCACTAACGAAGCAGATGTGCCTTAAGTGAGTTGGTAGATAGATTTGCCACTAAGGGACCGTTCATAATTTATGGCTAGGTGTGTGTGTGTGTGTGTGTGTGTGTGTGTGTGTGCGTGTGCGTGTGCGTGTGCTTGTGCGTGCGTGCGTGCGTGCGTGCGTGCGAGCGAGCGAGTGAGTGAGATTTTAAGGGGGTCACCCATTTTGTTCTGGGAACTTGGGGGTCAGGAGGGCAGCAAGTTTGTACACATGTAACATGTACTAGGGGTCAGCAAGTTTGTACATAAAATATGTTTAAAAATTATGCTTAGAAATTATGGGAAGGGGAAGGGGGTAATTGATTTTGTACATGATATGCAGGGGGGCGTCACTTATTTCGTACATAATTTTTAGGGGGTCATTCACATTGTACATGCTTCTCCATACAAATTATCATCACCCCCCTAGCCATAAATTATGAACGGTCCCTAAATGTAATAGTATCAAGTTAAAGTATCATGGCCGTTATGCTTTGACTTCAGGTCTCAACAACTGAGAATCCATATTCCGAAGTACTTCCTTTACTGCCAACAGCTCCCCCGGGACAGGAACATGAAACGGCGAACGTCTAGCATGTGCGTTTACATACTCTTGATCGTTTATCAGATTTATAATTGACTTACCCTTGCATGTGTTTGTGACGGATGCCGCCGGTTAAATATAGTATTATCAATGTAACTTTTAATCTATCCCTTTGTACATTTTTGATCAATATGAATCGACGTATTTAAGCTCACGTATTTTATATATAGTCGTCGCCTTGTCCGTCCGTCCGTCCGTAATCATTTTGTTTCCGGAGCATAACTCAAAGACCGTTTTTTCAACAAGACTTGGTTGATATATCAAACAGAACCTTAAGTGGCGCCTTTTGCTATTTGCAGATTTTGGGTATTTTTATTTTCCCCGGTTTCCATGGAAACGATTCGGACTTAGTCCCAAAAGTGAGGGGTGGGCTTACGTTTCTGGAGCATAACTCAAGAACCTTTCAATATTTTTCAACAAAACTTGGTAGATATATCAAACAGAACCTTAAGTGGTGCCTTTTGCTATGTGCAGATTGTTGGCATTTTTATTTTTCCCGGTGTCCATGGAAACGATTCGGACTTAGTCCCAAAAGTGAGGGGTGGGTTTCGTTTCCGGAGCACAACTCAAACACTTCTTAATATTTTTCAGCAAAACTTGGCAGATATGTGAGGCAGATCCCAAAGTGCATTCTCTTCCCACAGAGGTTACTCCTGTCATATCTTCCTACGTAACCTCTGTTCTAATACGGCCCTTTCATGGTGTGAGCGTTCAAGACTCGTGATTGGAGGCAATCAGATTTAGTTGTGCAATCAGCGACGTTGTTTCAAAAGTGATCATTCGCAAGGCCTCGGTAATTTCCGTATGCTTCGAGAAAAACTAAATTTCTTCCCCTGCGCGATGCGCAAACGTTTCTTCCAGACAGAACTCAGTCATGTTATGGCGGATCAGTGGCGTCTCCATCGCCCTCGTTGACAACGGACAAGCAACTTCTTAATATGTTTCAGTAAAACTTGGCAGATATGTGAGGCAGATCTTGAAGTGGTGCCTTTTTGCTTTTTGCAGATATTTGTCATTTATTTTTTCCATGATTTCCATGGAACGATTTGCACTTAGTCTAAAATCAAGCTGGACTGATGATTTGTTCTTTCAAAGATGTGGGGGCCGGGGGGATATGTCATCTTCTGATGACTCTTGTTTGTATGTTTGAAAGGTCTCCATGTGGGAGATATTTTTTTTACCAATCAGAATGTTACGTTCCTCAGAGTGAGTGAGTGAGTGAGTTTGGTTTTACGCCGCTTTTAGCAATATTCCAGCAATATCACGGCGGGGGACACCAGAAATGGGCTTAACACATTGTACCCATGTAGGGAATCGAACCCGGGACGTTCCTCAGAGTCACTGTTGAAAGTCGATTGATTAATCGTGTTTTAGTATTTTGAATGTTGCAGTGTTGTTTATCCTTTCAATCAGCTTCTTGTTGAGATGTGAATTTCCTTTGAGCTTTATTTGTTTAATAAAATAGATGTAAAATTAAACTGTCCCGATTCGGGATTTTTCTATTATATACCACCATTATCAATGTATGTCTGCTGACTGCAATTTTATACATAAACCACCAGGAAAAAGAAAGTGTAAACAAGAAATCTGATGTGACGAAAACGTTACAAACGTTATCAAGACGTTATATCCTGCAAACACTCGCCCAAACGTTATCATGACGTTATATCCTGCAAACACTCGCACAAATGTTACAAACGTTATCAAGACGTTATATCCTGCAAACACTTGCACAAACGTTACAAACGTTATCAAGATGTTATATCCTGCAAACACTCGCCCAAACATTATCAAGACGTTATATCCTGCAAACACTCGCCCAAACGTTACAAACGTTATCAAGACGTTATATCCTGCATACACTCGCCCAAACGTTATCAAGACGTTATATCCTGCAAACATTCGCCCAAACGTTATCAAGACGTTATATCCTGCATACACTCGCCCAAACGTTATCAAGACGTTATATCCTGCATACACTCGCCCAAACGTTATCAAGACGTTATATCCTGCAAACACTCGCCCAAACGTTACAAACGTTATCAAGATGTTATATCCTGCATACACTCGCCCAAACGTTATCAAGACGTTATATCCTGCAAACACTCGCCCAAACGTAACAAACGTTATCAAGACGTTATATCCTGCACACACTCGCCCAAACGTTTACAAACGTTATAAAGACGTTATATCCTGCACACACTCGCCCAAACGTTACAAACGTTATCAAGACGTTATATCCTGCACACACTCGCCCGAACGTTATCAAGACGTTATCAAGACGTTATATCCTGCAAACACTCGCCCAAACATTATCAAGACGTTATATCCTGCACACACTCTTACAAACGTTATCAAGATGTTATATCCTGCACACACTCGCCCAAACGTTATCAAGACGTTATATCCTGCAAACACACTCGCCCAAACGTTATCAAGACGTTATATCCTGCAAACCCTCGCACAAATGTTACAAACGTTATCAAGACGTTATATCCTGCACACACTAGCCGAAAAGTTACAAACGTTATCAAGACGTTATATCCTGCAAACACTCGCCCAAACGTTATCAAGACGTTATATCCTGCACACACTCGCCGAAACGTTATCAAGACGTTATATCCTGCAAACACTCGCCCAAGCGTTACAAACGTTATCAAGACGTTATATCCTGCAAACACTCGCCCAAAAACGTTATCAAGACGTTATATCCTGCAAACACTCGCCCAAACGTTACAAGCGTTATCAAGACGTTATATCTTGCACACACTCGCCCAAACGTTATCAAGACGTTTTATCTTGCAAACACTCTCCCAAACGTTATCAAGACGTTATATCTTGCACACACTCACCCAAACGTTATCAAGACGTTATATCCTGCAAACACTCGCCCAAACGTTACAAACGTTATATCCTGCAAACACTCGCCCAAACGTTATCAAGACGTTATATCCTGCAAACACTCGCCCAAACGTTATCAAGACGTTATGTCCTGTAAAAACACTCGCCCAAACGTTATGAAGACGTTATATCCTGCAAACACTCGCCCAAACGTTACAAACGTTATCAAGACGTTATATCTTGCACACACTCGCCCAAACGTTATCAAGACGTTATATCCTGCAAACACTCGCCCAAACGTTATCAAGACGTTATATCCTGCAAACACTCGCCCAAACGTTATCAAGACGCTATATCCTGCAAACACTCGCCCAAACGTTATCAAGACGTTATATCTTGCACACACTCGCCCAAACGTTATCAAGACGTTATATCTTGCACACACTCGCCCAAACGTTATCAAGACGTTATATCCTGCAAACACTCGCCCAAACGTTATCAAGACGCTATATCCTGCAAACACTCGCCCAAACGTTATCAAGACGTTATATCCTGCAAACACTCGCCCAAACACTAAGCCAAAGGGTCTGAACACGACAATGATATCCATATCAAATACATCACTACAGCAAACCAAACTAGATAGCATATGACTGTATAAACAATTCAATGACTGTATAAACAATACAATTAAAACATAACATGATTGTTGTTTTTTAAGAAGTGTTGTTTTTCGGGGCAAGTTCTGTAACGAATCTATGTATTCATGCTTCTGCTCCCCTATTTAATGAAGATAACCCGATCTGCCGTTTGTGCCATTTGACCTTCCGGGTCATGCATATTTAGAGTAGCACAGGTCAAGCTGAACAAGCTGTACATGATGCCAAAAACCAACCGTTAGTAAAAGACCAGATTTAACAAACAGTGACACATAGTGAGGTACCTGTTAAAGAATCCTAGATACACAACGATTGATTGTCATTTAATCGTACGTAGGTCTCCAGGTAGTATAGAACCGGATTAACAACCATGGTTACAAAGCGATGTAAATTAATCGTACATAACACTCAGGTACCTTACGGACCGGATTAACGAACCGTAGGTACACACCGATTGATGTCATTTAATCGAACTTATCTCTCCAGATAGCATAAGAGAGCATTAACGAACCACTGGTACGTATTTAGATGCATAGCTCTCACGGTTTTAAAACAAGATCGTCATTCTGATTTAATTCTGTAATTTTTGAATGAATGGCTAAAGTTTAAGGTGGATGAATCGGTGTACCTGGCAAATGTGACATGAGGTCTCGCACACGGTGAATACAGTTAATATATACCTGGCAAATGTGACGTGAGGTCTCGCACACGGTGAATGCAGTTAATATATACCTGGCAAATGTGACGTGAAGTCTCGCACACGGTGAATACAGTTCATATATACGGGAGCATTATTATTTTCAGACACCAAAAGACTGACAGAAACTATTGTCGGTCCTGGCGTGGTGCTATTTTTAGATGACAAATGCGTCAATGGAGGGACGTGGTTCTATTTTTGGACAACAAATGCGTGAAAGGAGATCCTCTCGATTGTGACGTGGTGCTAATTTTAGACAGCTTTTGCGGTAAAGGAGCTCTAACGGGTACTTACTTGTAACAATTCCCCATTGCCCGACACGGAGGCAATATGTGGAGCAGGCACCCATGACGATACGTGTGAACCATAGCCAAGACTTGGCGCTCATTGGTCAAAACTGAAAACTGTGCGCTTACTGTTCAAGGCTATCGCTGCCTTCCCCGTGACCGAATCAGTCACAGCCATTACCCCTTATAGGCATGTTTTCAAGTGTGAATGAGGAATGTAAGGTACACATACATCACGACGAGCTGACATTGACCTCGTCTGCCTGCTGTGATACCAACACGTGAATCGCTTGATAATTTGACCTGGTTGTTCAAGAGTCCTCATCTTCAGTTCGGTGTCTTACTGTCATAATGTCAAAATCATCTATACAGACGTTAGACGGTTTTGGATAAAATCCATGGCTGGCTGGTTAGGTGATGTTTGCTGTTAAAGATCACATATACTCTAGGGGGGTACAAATACATAAATCACTAATTGGCATCGTTATAAATGAAACCCCGTCATTAAAACTACTCATTTCGAACTTTAATTAACTTAAATCGACCTTTTTGACAACAGTGCACAATTCCAGCGTTCCAGCTATGTGACGGTGGTCTGAAAATATCGAATCTGGACTAGAAAATCCAGTGATTGGCATCATGTGCATCGACTTGCGCGTGTGGAATACGGTGACATCATCATCGAGCTAGTCAGTGAACCCAGCCTCTCTATCTCTTTTGTCCCTTTCGCGACAACCATTCAAACTCGTATCTTCAGGGGTGATGTGTCAACCGAGATAGAACCCTTGACTCACCCAGTTTCATTTATATATTTAGGATGGGGATGCGATTTAATTATAGAGTGAATATACATGTACAGATTCAGCAACCAAATAATCTCAGTATGGTTTTGCCCTGACTCTAAAACCCGAAGATAGGTCTATTCCTCTTTTGCACTAGATCCCACAAATACCACACAAAGAGAGATAGATATTACTAGACCCACCAGATGTGACCAAACATCTCAGAGATTAATCATAATCCCCAATATTTAAGCATATGAAGCAGAATTTCTGCAAGGCTGTCTGTCCAAGAAGTTTGAGAGCTTTTTGTACCCAGAATTCACACAGCCTCATGCGACTCTTGCTCGATCAAGGTTACAGCATTCAAGGCCGCTTGGTGATCATCATGTGTGTGAGTTATTCGTTGATAGGTCATCTATCACATTGCCTTAGGCAAGCTTCATCCCGGAGCAGAATACACACACACGCGCGCGCACACACACGCACGCACGCACACACGCGCGCACACACACACACGCGCACACACACACACACACTGGTGCTCTAGTATCAATGCTGTTGTTGATCTAGCGGTCCAAATGTACTCATCAATATGGCTCGTTGCTCATGCTGTCGATCACTAATACTTCAATGACGAGCAAAAGGATTTGCTGACGGAATAGTGTTAGTGTTGAACGAACCGAAACTAGCAGATAGTAACATTATTAGTCCGCGAGGTAACCTAGTGGTTAAAACGTACCGTCGTCACATCGAAGGCCCGGATTCGATTCCCTACACCGGAATTCCTTTAGAAGTCGTTTTCAGGAGTACCTCGCCGTGATATTACTGCAATATTGCTCAAAGCGACGTGAAATCGAACTCACGCACTCATTGTTCGGCAACAAACAGGCTTCACTTAGAGTACAGGCAGTACACAACCCGTGAAGGTCCGGGTTAGAATGAACCTTCAGTAACCCATGCTTGTCGTAATAGGGTTGTCTTGGTATGGGTGGTCAGGTTCGCTAGCTTGGTTGACACATGTCCTCGGTTCCCAATTGCGCAGGTCGATGCTCATGCTGTTGATCACTGGATTGTCTGGTCCAGACTCGATTATTTACAGACCGCCGCCATATAGCTGGAATATTGCTGAGTGCGGCATGAAACTAAATTCACTCACTCACACCCATTCCACAACAGTTATAACGAACTCAAAGGACCACTAGTTTTGGTTATATGCACTTCGACTAAATATATAGCATGCGGCATTTCGTGCAAGTGTGTTCGTTATAAACCTAGCTTACTGTAAACATCGAACTATTTGGCAGCATTTTAAACCCACGATGTCGCCTTTGCTCTTAGCCCGAAGATTGTTCCAGAAACAAGGTCAAGTCTAATCGCTGTGGATGAATTGGCATCCATTTTTCAATCAAGACGGCGGACAAGATTTAAGTACGAACTTCCGTTAGGGACTTAGTGCTGGGGATCAGCAGTTGGCATTTGTAGAGGACGGTCGTGACAACACATGGGGTTACATTGTTCACCGTGAGGAATTATACCCCCAAGGTCAGTCCTCAATGCAATGTCCAGTCAACACTGATGCAGATGTCACGGTAAACAGTGGTGGCTTCTCTGGCAGCTTCTTGAGAGAGGAGCCAATTTCTACTTACAATGATAATAATTAGTCCATTTGTATTGCGCTATATACTCCACAACGACAGCATGCTCATAGCGCAGACAAGATAGAATTTACGAGTCACTTAGAGAAAACATAGAGAAAAAGTATGTTTTTAGATTTGCTTTAAAACGTGTGACTGTTGGGCTTGTTCTAAGGTGAGCTGGTAACTCATTCCAGTTCATGGCGACCGCAACTTGAAATAAGCGAAAACCATAGGATTTCAACCTCCATTTTTGAATGTGAAGTAAGTATTTGTCACTGGACCATACTTCTAGATCATGGTCAACATCTGGAAGCATCTCCCCACACAGGCCTACATTACAGTTTTCTCCGAAATGAATACGATAATGATCATCTGGTATATAATTATATGGATTTGTTGAAATCCGAAGATTATTTTTGAGCATGCAGTCATGGTAGTTCTTAAAAAACAAACTTCGCTGGTGTTTATTTTATGTGTTATTGCAAGTGGACATCGGACAGGCATGACAGGTATGAATTGTTACACAGGGGATCATGCTCAAGCTGCTTATATTACAAGTGAAGTCCCTGTTAGTTGCGTTGATGGCTTTCAGTTAAATCAAATGGAAATTATTCCAAGAATGTATTTTAATCAACGGACTGCTTCACAGAATAGCAAAAACGAATTACAGGAGTCTAATGACGACAAAAATATTGAAATGCCTTTTTGAGAGACTCTGGTTTTCGCTGTATATTATGACGGGATTCACAAACTGCGTCCATGTGGAGAATCGACTTCGGGCCTATGGAACTACTGTCAATGGGCAGTCCCAATGCCTTCGAGACATGTATGGTTAAAACAATTGTCATATTCTGCCTAACAGACTGAAAAAAGATAAACCTACAGCAGACTAATTACATTTTTCGAGAAGAATACTGACTGACTGACTGAGTTTGGTTTTACGCCGCTTTTAGCAATATTCCAGCCAGATCACGGCGGGAGACACCAGAAATGGGCTTCACACATTGTACCCATGTGGGGATTCGAACCCGGGTCTTCGGCATGGCGAGCCAACGCTTTAACCACTAGGCTACCCCACCGCCCCTTCAGAAGAATAAATGCTGTCAGGAGTAAAGTAATAAAGAAAGAAGATGTTTGATACAACACATAATAACCCGAAACCATTTGATAACCTTCCAATCATCACAGTGTAGAATTATTATTACAAATACTGATATGACGAATCTAATTAATAAACACTTTGTGAAATGCCGACAAAATTAATGTTTCTTAGTTTGTGCCGTATTTTAGCTCTTAAATGGAAGTCTCCCCCGGCCTTAGTCACACTCGCCAACCAAACACACGCACGCACGCACGCACGCACGCACGCACGCACGCACGCACACACACACACACACACACACACACACGGGGATTTGTGATAACGAAATGCCCTCTGTCTGTCTCTCTCTAAATGGAGGCGGACACAAGGCGGATCCAAATAGGTAGAAAATGTTAACAACGAAAGCTCAAAATTGACAGAAGCGCTCCATAAATCACGGATTCTTCAAATAGTACTCGTCACCTGAGAACCAGAGTGTTCTATCTCCACTTTTGAAAAAAATGAGTTAAGGTTTTCTGGGTACTTCTCATGGTGTATTCTATC